CAGGGACGGGCCACGTTGATGGCTCTTCCGTTACCTAGCGGACGCCGAGTTCTGCAGTTGCAAACGAGCCAGTCCGAACATTGGTACACAAGTCTCTGTGTAAACCTGCGTTTCTCATTTCTTCCGACAAAAGCCCAGGAGTAAATCCACGTGGTCGAAACGCCCTAAGCAGCTGCCAGATCTTTTTCCAAGGTGATCGTATCATTGTGTGTCATCCAACCAACCAAGTGTGCACCCCACCCACACCAGCGATGAGGAGTGGCGATCTATCTCATCTTAGCTGACCTAGTAGGTGTGCCGGAATGTCTCACTCGGGTTCAATGTGCACTGTCCTGGTCACCCATGATAAGCATAGTTCCATATGTACACGCATATGATATAACATGTATATATGCACAGTCTTATTAAAACCCTTTGCCCATTATTTATTTTGGTAAACTTCTCATTATTTCTGGGTTGTTGTCAGAGTTTGTTATGTATTCAGGACAAGAGTCCTTTGTCAAATGTGTTACAAGCATGCAAGTATTTTCCTTCCAGTCAACAGATACTTAAGGGTTAGGAATGTCACGTCAGGAATTGATCACTTCATTACTATGAAATGCTTGTCATTACCCCTGGTAATAATTCTTATTTTAATAATTATTTTTTAGTCATTTTCAATCTACTTTGTCTGATATTAACATGATCATACCAGGTTTCTTCTGCATATATTTTCCCCACATTTAGATATTTAAAGAGGGCTCCTGGGAGAATCTGATTGAGCCTTGTCTCTCTAAAACGTGCCTCTGCCCGGCTGGCGTAGCTCAGTGGATTGAGTGTGGGCTGCGAACCAAAGTGTCGCAGGTTCTATTCCCAGCCCGGGTACATGTCTGGGCTGCAGGCCATGACCCCCAGCAACCGCACATTAATGTTTCTCTCTCTCTCTCTCTCTCTCTCCCTCCCTCCCTTCCCTCTCTAAAAAAATAAATAAATAAAAATTTTTAAAAAAACGTGCCTCTGGAGTGAAACATTTGGGTCATTCGCACATATTGTGATTTGTTCATAGACTCGGGTGCACACTTACGATCCTGCCCTTTGTTGTATGGCTGCCCCACAGTCTCTTGTCTCTGCTCTGCCCTTTTGCCTGCTTTCTCTCGGATTCATACTCTTGCCTCTATGCTGTACACTGTGAGCAGTGGCTCTCCAGTTTGTAGTAAGCATCTTTGCGTAACCTCGATCTACGGGCAACTCCCACCACACCACTCTCAGGGCGAAAACCTGGAGGCGATACCCTTCCATTTCCCCTCCATCCTGTGTGCTCTTGTTCCTTTGAATTTGCATAATCTATCAACTCCACAGCACACTGTCATTATTTTCGCTCTAAAACCAACCTTTTAAGTAAATTAAAATTTTTTAAAAAACAAAGTTTTTCCTATTTACACAAATATTTACCATTTCCAGTGTTCTTCGTTGTTTTGGGCAGACCCAAGTTCCGATGGAGCGTCACTGCATTTGGCCTAGAACAGTTCCTTGGCTGTTTCTTGTCGTTCAGCTCATCAGACAACTGGTAATCTCAGCTTTTTTGTACGAAAAAATGTTTTTCTGAAAATATTTTTACTTCATATAGATATTCGATTGGCAGGGCTGTTTTCCCCAAACACTGTCAGCATTTTAAGATTCCCCATTGTCTTCTGGCTTGCATAGCTTCCATCGATTAGTCTGTAATAACTCTTGCTTTGGTGGCTATTCATAATACGTCTTTTTCCTCCAGCTTATTAGATTTTTTCCATAACTTATTTTAAGCAATTCAATTATGATGAACCTTTTCTAATCCTTCTTGAGATTTTTTACTTTATTAAGTATGTATATTTGTAGTTTTCATCAACTTAGATAATTTTTTACCATTACAACCTCAACAAATATCTTTTCTTATTTCTTCTGGTCCTCCAACTCCATGTATATTAGACTATGTTAATTTTCTCATGTCACTGAGGTTCTATTAAGTTTTTCAAGCATTTTTCTCTCTGTGCTTCAGTTTGAATATTTCTGTTTCTATATCTTCAAGTTCACTAGTATTTTCTCTTCTCTGTTGTGTTGTCATTTCATCCAGCAATTTAAATTGGGATTTTTAAATTTAGAAGTAACACTAGGTCCTTTATGTGTTTTATTTCCTTTCTCAATATATTTGTATTTTCTTCAATTCTATGATCATATTTATAATATTTACCATAGCTGTTTTAAGATCCTTGCCACTTCTAGATTTATGTGTGTTGCTTGAATTCATGCTGAGATGAATTCCCTTCCTCTCTAATGCATGGTCTCTGGCGAGCTGGTCACAATGAAAGACCAGTGGCCAGGCTTGAGGGGTTTTCCCCTCTAAATTCACCAGGGAAGGAGGAAACCCCATAGTACAAGTTCTTGAGGACCTCCTAGCACAAATTCCCATCTTTAGGCTAAAAGTTTTTCTCTAAAATAAACACTTTCTTATGTTCCCTACTGATAACAACTATAAAGTTACCCACAAATCGTATCCAGGCAAAGAACTTCACAGTAAACATTTTCAGGTATTCTAATGGCTTTAAAGATGGGACCCAAATGATATTCAGAAGGTACTTAACTTAATAATTTCTTGAATTCACTTCAGTATTTCATGGATCAATAAGAAACAGAGGCAAAAATTCCTGCGATGGCGGACTTCACAGCAGGAGAAAGCAGAAACCACCCGAGGAGATCTGAGCCTTCTACACTCTGCGGAACATCTCACTGAGGTTTACTCTGTGAGCACTGGCAAGCCAGGTGTGGGGGCGCCGGACCCAAGCGGCCAGCGTCATCTTGTCCGATGGTGCCATTAAGACCACAATCAGTACAGGCATGTAAAGGCACAGGCAGATGGTGCCACATTTGTGAAGCCCCTGGACCCCTTACTACCAGCCAAGGATGGCCAAATGGATATTAATGATATGACTGCATTCTATTAAGTGCCCACCTGTAGGTTTGGTCTGCATTGCAACAGTGCTGAATTTCTTATTCCTATCCAGTAACTGGAAGTATTTTTCCCTGGAAAAAGTTATTGAATAAAAGCAAAAAACACTCTAAGAACTATTGTTATAAATATGTAAAACTATACAACACTGGAGAAATTAAGGAAGACACAAACAAATGGAAACATGTACCATGCTCATGGATTGGAAGAATTAACATCATCAAAATGTCCGTACTACCCAAAGCAATTTACAGACTCAACACAACCCCTACTAAAGTATCAATGACAGATTTCACAGATAGAGAACAAACATTTCAAAAATATATATGGAACCATGAATGACCTTGAATAGCTGCAGCAATTCTGAGAGAGAAGAACAAAGCAGGAGGGATCACAATACCTGATATCAAACTGTATTACAAGGCCACTGTAATCAAAACAGCCTGGTACTGGCATAAAAACAGGCACATGGACCAATGGAACAGGACAGAGAGTCCAGAAATAAACCCAGGTCTCTATGGTCAATTAATATTTTGACAAAGGAGGCAGCAGCATAAAATGGAGTCAAAAATAGCCTCTTCAACAAATGGTGTTGGGACACCTGGACAGCTACATGCAAAAAAATAAAACTTGATCACCAACTTACACTATAAACAAAAATCAATTCAAGGTGGCTAAAATACTTAAATAGAAGTCATAATACCATAAAAGCCCTAGAGGAAAACATAGGCAAGGAAATCTCAGATAGTCCACACAGCAATGTTTTCACTGATATGCCCCTAGAGCAAGGGACATAAAGGAAAGAATAAACAGATAGGATCTCACCAAAATAAAAAGCTTCTGCGCGGCTAAAGAAAATAGCATTAAAATGAAAAGAGAACCAACTGTACAGGAAAACATATTTGCCAGTGATGCCTCACACAAGGGTTTGATCTCCAAAATATATAAGGAACTCACACAACACCACTCTAGGAAGACAAAAAAAAAAAAATTAAAAATGGGCAAAAGACCTAAACAGACATTTCTCCAAGGAGGACACACAGAGGGCCCAGAGACACATGAAAGGATGCTCAGCATCACTAGCCATCAGACAGATGCAAATTAAAACCACAATGAGATACCACCTCACACCGGTCAGAATGGCCATCACAACCAAATCAACAAACAAGTGTTGGAGAGGATGTGGAGAAAGGGGACCCTAGTGCACTGTGCGTGGGGATGCAGACTGGTGCAGCCACTGTGGGAAGCAGTGTGGAACTTCCTCAGAAAATTAAAAATGGATCTGCCTTTTGACCCAGCAATTCCACTGCTGGGACTAGACCCTAAGAATCCTGAAACACCAATACAAAAGATCCTATGCACCCCAATGTTCATAGCAGCACAATTTACAATAGCTGAGTGCTGGAAGCAACCTAGGTGCCCATCAGTAAATGCGTGGATCAAAAAACTATGGTTCATTCACACAGTGGAATTCTATGCAGCAGAAAGGAGGAAGGAGATCCTACCCTTTGCCACAGCGTGGATGGAGCTGGAGAGCATTATGCTGAGTGAAACAAGCCAGATGATGAGGGACAAATACCATACGATCTCACCTTTAGCTGGAACATGATCAGCAAAAGAAAAAAGCAAACAAAATACAGCCAGAGACATGGAAATTAAGAACAATCTGACAGTAACCAGAGGGGAGGGGGAGAGGGATAATGGGGGGAAAGGAGGGAAGGGTTTTCCGGAACAACTGTAAGGGACTCATGGACAGAACCAAGGTGGGGTGGGATCAGGGGAGGGAGGTGGGGGTGGCTGGGTGGGGGGATGAGGTGAGGGGTGGTAAATGCAGACAACCGTACTTAAACAATAAAACAATTAATAAAATAAAATTGATGATTAAAAGTTAAGAAACACAAAAGTAAAACTATCACACACACACATGTATTTATTTCAATATCTTCAGTGAGACATATGTACCACATTAATTTTACTGGAAATAAGAGTGACAGAGTGAGGAGTAGCTGCATCAGTGTACACCTCGCCACCGTCCGCCCTACACGCACGGCACTTGTGAGTATTCGTAGAGCACTTTTCCAGCCACTTGAGAGTTGTCATCCGTTTCTTTTAGCTTTACATAGTCTTCAATAAACTCCCAAATGTCCCTTAAAATGCATAACAAATAAATATAATAAATTAGAAAAAGTTCCCTGAGCATAAAAGAAAATTTCAACATAAACATGTATTTCAGGACATATTTATTCGAAAACACAAACTGAGTCTTTGCGACCCTCCGTTTCCATCCCAGAGACCTTCTGGGCGGAGCTGCGGCCCCGGACCAGCGAAGACTCTCTCTGCAGCTGGGCCAACTCCCCGCAGCCCTGTCCAGAGCGAGGATAACGTGGTGGCCAAGGCAGGCACACACCTTGAAGATATCTAAAATTTAGATCTGTTTATTCCCTCGGCCGAGGCTAGGGGAGGAGCCTTCCAAGTTTGTATCTGTAACTCCATGCTTTCCTTCGAGGACACCCAGCATCATCCGGCCTCGCGCAACCAGGACCCACCCGTGTGGCTCACGCGGCACTTGCTCTGACACCCTTTCCCCGTGACTTTCTCCGCCACGGGAAAGCCGGGAGTGAAACGCCCTGTTCTCCGCACCCCTTCGCAACAGAGCACGGCCTGTGCCCACTGCGGTCTCGGCACATGGTGCCGGCCAACGAGTCAAGCGGGAGTGCCTAGGGAGGGCTTCTCTTCCCAAACAAAACAGAAAAGCCTCATGCTGAGAAGCTCTTCCCCTGTCTGCCTCCGGGGGACACAGGCCCTGCGCCTGCAGACAGACATACGGACGCTCGGAGGAAAACTGGAGTCAGGGGATGGGAAGGAAGACAGAAGAACTCAGTCCGATGACATCATTGGGCCTAGACCGCTCACAACTAGATGTCTCTTTACTGTTGGAAGGACGAGCCCTTCCCACACTCAAATCCTCAGTGGTTTCTGTCGCTCCCCGACTTACCAAAGTTGTAAGATATGAACTGCCTACAAACGCTAAGAAGTTCACCTATATCGGCTCTAAACTTACGTAACAGATCATATAAACCAGCCACTGTATTTTTACATTAAAAGTTTCACAGCAATACATGTGCAGGCTTTTCAAAGACTGAAAATCGATGAATGCCGTGTCCTTTGAGAAAAGGAGGCCACCCACAGCCACGATGCCTGGCCCCTGCCCGTGAGGATTGACCTTCGCCTCTTCGGTGTTTTCCAAAGAAATTCTTTCTCTCTCACTAAAAAACACGGAGAGACTTAAATCTTGGGCTAAGCACTCTTAAGCCTAGGAAGGGATGTAACATTTCCAGTTAAGACTCTTAAATGCAGATGCCTCAAAAGGACTGTCCGGTCTGGTCGAACTTGAAATGGGCGGCGTTGAGCAGAGCCTGACCTCTCGCCCGCTCGCCGCCATGGTCCCCCCCCACTCACCGCCACTCCCCCCCACTCACCGCCGCTCCCCCCACTCACCGCCGCTCCCCGCCACTCACCGCCGCTCCCCCCACTCACCGCTGCCCCCCCCACTCACCGCCGCCCCCCCACTCCTGCTGCTCCTCCCCCCACTCACCGCCGCTCCCCCCACTCACCGCTGCTCCTCCCCACTGACGTTCTTCCCCACGCACTGCTTCACCTGGCACTCGACCACCTGCCAACGGACAAACAGCGGCCGCTCACGTGAACCCAAACAGACGGCCCCTCCCAGAATCGGGCATCGCATTGTAATGTGTAGTGTATATAATGCGCAGAGAGATGCATACGTAACAGAAACAGAATTGTAATCTTTATAATCCATTAGCGGCAACTTGTCAGCGTGTATGTGACACCCAAAAGGTGTCGGAGGAGCCGGTCCATCACGCTCCCTGTACCCAAGTCCACTCACTAAAATTAACTGTTTTCTGTGGACGGGCCAGAGAACTGGTCAGTTCTGACCGGCACATTCAACGGTCTAGAAACATTTTTTAACACATTAGCTTACCCTTTCCAATTCGGAGCTAATGTCTACCTAGCCAGCTCTTCTGAGCGTTACAGAAAGTTACCATTTAGAAAGCTACTGCACAGGTTTTTATTTGACTTATGACATAGTATAAGAAGGCACTATAGGACATGTTTCTATGGAAAAACGTTGATTTACAAAAACTTACGTTTATTTTCCTCATTAAAATATTGTTTGTCTTTTCCAATTTTATAGCGTCAGTCTGAAGGGGGAAAAGGGTTTAAAGAGAAAGACACTTGGTTAAGAATAGTTAGTACGTAGCACCCCCACTTATGGAACGCAGTGCGTTATGTGAATGCCATTGTTCTGACTCAGAAGTACCCAGCTGCGCCCCATTCAACAGAGATGAAGGAGCCCTGGCTGGCGTAGCTCAGTGGATTGAGCGCGGGCTGCGAACCAAAGTGTCGCAGGTTCGATTCCCAGTCAGGGCACATGCCTGGGTTGCAGGCCATGACCCCCAGCAACCGCACATTGATGTTTCTCTCTCTCTCTATCTCCCTCCCTCCCCTCTCTAAAAATAAATGAGTAAAATCTTAAAAAAGAGAGAGAGAGAGAGATGAAGGGACAAGGCACGCCCGGAGGGACGTAAAGTAAGACAGACGGGTCCTCCGCTTCTGAGTCACAAATTCCAGGGGGTGGGGGCTGATGTTGTAAAACACTAGAGAACTTTAGGGAAATTCTAGAACAGAAGAGTCCCTCACTTTTCAGAACTAACAACAGACTCTGTTAAGGTGACCCAACACAATATAAAAATACAAATGCCAACGAGTCACATATACGCCAACAATGACTGATTATAAACCACCACGTGAGATTATTTTACGTTTTCATTTATAATAGTAGCAGATGCCATAAAGTCATAGGAATAAACATAACATAAAATACTTAAAAGCAATACCTAATGTAAATTAAATAAATATAAAATAATCCTCAATGGAAATGTGAATATTGTAAAGCTGTCATTTCTTCTCAACTGAATCTATAAGTTCATTGAAAGCACAACTGAAATACTGAAAGTATTATTACTGGGACTCAAAAAGTTAGTGAACGCTATGAAAAATACGCAAAATAACTGCGAACAGAGGACGGCCAGCAGGGGTCGCCAAGACCCGCCCTCCCAGACGCCCGACCGTGGGAGCGGGGCTGGCAGTCCCAGGTGAGCCCGCGTGGTGCAGAGTCGAGAACCCGGGCTGAGCTGAACTGCTGCGCCCTGGCCTGGGTCACAGCGCACGTCTGTGCCCGGGTGCCCCTACCTGGAAAAGAGGGTTAATAGTAGTGCGCCTGTTTCTTACTGTCTCTAAGGGTTGCTGAGAATTAAATGGCATAGTATTTTTTTAACTGTTCATAGCCTCATCTGGTGCATTGTTAACTGATGACACATTGAGTTATTTTTCTTTGGGTTAGAAATAATGTACTTCATAGTTAACACCAGAAATCAATTACTTAATAGGATAGTAAATGCAGTTTTATTGCACGTGCCATTATTTGAATTAAGGAACCAAATATGAATAATAGATGAAGTAATATAAATTCATAATATGCAGTCATTATAGGGAATCTTCTTTTTCATTTAATCCAATCCACTTAAGGAGATGCTAATAGTCAAAGAAAAGTTCATATGATTTTGGCATCACATCATGATTACATTAGACAAAGCTGTAACTCGTTATTATTTTCACTGCTTAAAAATCCAACTATAAGTCGGTGTCTGTTCTCAGAACATTATTTAGTTTTCAAAAATAGTTTAAAAAACAAAGACACTGGAAAAACCCACAGAAATCTGAACATGTGATTTTAAGAGAGAGAAATCAAAACAAGCGTGGGCCACGCCACCTTCCCGTGCACTGTACAGTTCTGCCCGGGAGGGAGGAAAGGAGGGCTTGGAAATACATGCAAGCAAACAACCCCGATAGGAAAGGATAATTCCATATCGGTGACAAACTCTGTGACCAGAGGTTAACCTGCCCGGATTCTGCACGAATTAAAGTGACGTGAGGACATATAGAAAGTAGGGCACCCTGGCATTTCAAAACACAGATTATCATTTACAATATATCACTCGTCAAGAACATTATTACAATAACTGTAAAAAAACAAAACTACTTTTAACACAGTAGACTCTCCTTTGGATGGCCGTACCTCGTTCCCCTCTGCCAGCATAAGTGTACCACCAACTCCAAGTCTCTTTGTGAGTCCGTGTGGCCCGGCAGGAGTGGCAGTGGCTTTGGGGCCCCAAGCGAACGAAGCTTGAACCCGCTGGGCCACCTCTAAGCTGTTTCATGTTGGGGGGGGAGGTCACTGAACTACTCTGAGCTTCAGCTTAAACTACTTAGCACATATTAGACACTAAGTTATCGCAGCCATTGTTATTACAACGATTTTCTATACAAAATATTAAAAATGTTTATAGAGACATCAACTGACCTGAAAGAGATCTGACCCTTACTGAACTGAACAGAATGTTAACCACCTTCATTTTTGTTTTGTCTTGTTTTGTTTCATTAGCTGGGTCTCTCAATTATTCTAATCATTTGTGAAGCATTGGCTACAAATGTTTTGAAGTGAAAATATATTTGGACCAAATTTTATCTAATTGTTTACCTTATTGCAAAATCAAACTGCTTCGTGTGTTTGCCAAGATCAAAGGAAAAATAATGTAAACACTGACATAAATAAACCGCATACCTCTATGCTTTTAATCCTGTTCTCGGTGATGTGTAAGACCCCAGTGTGAACCAGAGTTGTTTTAATCTCTGTTTCGAGCGCTTGGATCTCCTCCAGCTTCTTCAGTATCTCACATCTCTTCTTTCCCACCTTGTCGCTCAGGGCCAGGTGCTCCTCCTTCCCCACGTTTTCCTCACGTGGTTCTGCAGGGATTTTTTTTAAAAGCAAAGCGTTACTGTGTTTACTATCATAGCCCCTAGTCCTAACATTATGTATTACTAACAATATGATGTTGCACATAGCTATGTGTTTTCTGTAGCTGTAAAATATAATGTAACGCGATCTCCAAGCTCATCAATAAGAAGTATCCGATTCAAGAACGGGGGTGTCCCTCCTTCGATCCGGCTATGCAGCCGCTGTGTTTATTGGAAGCTTTCCTTTGGCAGCGACACCACGCAGGGAAGACACACGAGTGACTCGGCCAGAGAACCGTGACTACGCTAGACTCGGAAGATAATGGGGGTTGACAAGGAAAGGGGTGGGGGCGGTGGAGCAGCAGAACCTGGCGCATCTGCTGGAAAAGACGGCAGCCACCGGGCCCCGGCGCTGAGTGGCGGGATGCGCCTACAGAGAAGCAGGGGCCGACCTGAGAAAGTCCCACAGGCGATGTTAAGAAATCAGTCAAAGGTGTCGGGGGCTCTGGGAGAAAAGCCTCCACACCTCTGGGAGCGACCAGGAGACCGTGGTCACCGTGTGTCCGGGACCAAGCGTGCCCAATGCGAGGCAAGACCGGAATCAGGAAGACGCCCCAGGAAGCCACCGCGGTCACTCCAACAAGCCCAGATGGGGACAGTGCCCGCGGCGCACGGGGAAGCGGAGACACACAGAGCCGACTGAGGACGCAGGACACACTGGGACCGGGCCACCGACCAGGCCCGGCTGCAGTGAAGAGGCAGGCACCCAAGGCACCTCCAGGTCTCAGCTCGGCCGGAGCCGGGACAGACGTGGTGGGAGGGAAGCAGCGAGTTCCACGCAGCAGAGGGGTAAGCTCTGGGGTGGAACCGAAGTCAGCCCCTCGCTACAGGCCGAGTTGAAGTGGTGGGGGCAGGGGGGAAGGGAAGGGGAAGGGCTCCGGCCTCGGGCTTGCTGACCCAGCCTCCCTGTGCTTGGTGAGACGGTTTCATGGAAATAGCCAGGGACACGGTGGGGTGGGGGCGGGGGGAGTAGGGGCGGGAGGAGTAGGAGGGGAGAGACATGAATCCATCTTGGACGTGCTGAGTTGAGCCTCAGGGGCCTTCCCACTAGGCAGTTGGATGTACTGATCTCAGGACTGAAAAACAAGATTCCAGTAAGAAAGAGAGGTTAAGTCACAGACAGGTGCACTGACTCAAAGACATGCCCGGAGCCAGCAAACAGCAGCGCTCCCGGGGCGCAGACAGGAGGGGCCCTGGGGGGGGGCTCTGCTGGGGCGCAGACAGGAGGGGCCCTGGGGGGGGCTCTGCTGGGGCGCAGACAGGAGGGGCCCTAGGGGGGGGACTGCCCGGGCGCAGACAGGAGGGGCCCTGGGGGGGGGCTCTGCTGGGGCGCAGACAGGAGGGGCCGGGGGGGGCTCTGCTGGGGTGCAGACAGGAGGGGGCCCTGGGGGGGGGCTCTGCTGGGCCCCAGGTGTGCATTAGCGAAGAGCTCAGGCAGGTTCTGATTAGATCGGCGAGACTTAACGTTGTGAGAAAGAACAAGTCTTTTCTGATGGGAAAAAAGGCAGAAAGACAAAATACTGCCTCGTGCGTAGCGGGTAAGGCCAAAGGCATCGCCATCACTCAGTTTCGCCAGATCTGAAGGGAGGGCCAACGCCGAAGTGACGTTGTGGGATTTGAGGAAATGGGTTACGCAGACACACGGTGAACGAACAGCCTTCCAGACCAACTGTGAGAAAAGCCACCGAAGGAAGCCCTTGGTCTCATCCCCGACCTTAGCGGAAGGCCTCGGCCTGAAACCACCGGCAGCAAAGACCCCAGGGGAGCGCAAGGCCGGTCACATGACCCCTGTGTTACCCCGTTCTTGCTGACGAGGAGAAGGACGGGGCACCACGTCGAGGGAGGAAATGCCCAGGGGGTTCTGGGGCGGGAAGCCTTCAGAAGAGCACTCAGGAGGGAGAGCACGGCCGCCAGGAGCCTTCCGGAGCACAGAGCGTGGAGAGCGGCAGGGCCAAGGCCGAGAGAAGCTGCTTGAGTTCTGGCAAGTGGCGGCTTCCTGAGCCGGTCTCCCCCTCGTACTCCGTGGGCAGTGAGCCGTCAGCAGTGAAAACACAAAATGATGGAGTGTTCTCAGAGACAGCAGGCGGGCAGCAGCCCCGGTCCAGGACCCCAGGACCTGTCCGTGAGAAGCACCCTGACCCAGAAAGAGAAACATGGGTGCAGGCAGACAAGGGACCCCACCCACTTCAGGCTCGGAGGTCAGAGGTCAAGCACAGAGCCGGCCCAGGACAGAGAAGTGGCCTCGGGGACTCCGGCGACAGGAAACAGCAGGAGCCGGGGAAGAGCACGCAGTGGTTCCCTGTCAGTCACTGCCTTGTGTTTCACAGACTCGGGGGGGGGGAAGGCGTTTGACGGAATCGTCGTGGAAACAGTCAAGATTAATGAGCAAGAAACGTAGTTGAACTTACTTTGATTATTTAATCATATTTTAAATCGTGCATCTAATTTCAGGTCATTTGTTAACACCCACTGAATGCATCCGTCTTTACAAATGTAATTCACTGGCCATGAACTGTGTGTTTTTCCGCACAAGGGACGAGGCCAGAACAAAGGAGGTACGGGCAGCGGCTCCCTGTGGCCAGCTGCGTCCTCCGCGTGCGGGCCCGCACGTCGCCCCTGGCCCTCCGGCCAACCCCGAGAGGGGCGTGCTGCCGTCAGGCCCACCCGCAGTCGGGCAGCTGACGCTGCTCAGGCCGAAACGACGAAGCTCAGATCCTGGGGGACCACTGGCCACGGAGCCCGTCCTTGCCCCCTCCCCCCGGCCCTGAGTCGCCCTGCGCGAGCGGCCCCGCGGTGGGCAGGGGTGTGCCAGACCGCAGGCCGGCGACCGCGGACAGCCTTGGGAGCTCGCCGGGCTGGGGTCTGCGAGGGCGGGCTGCTGTGAGCCAGGGGTGGAAACCAAGGTCGCGCTCACCGCGAGACTCTGAAAGCCCCCGGAGGCCCCGCCCACGCCCTCAGGTGCGCGCCCATGCGGGCGCTCAGAGCCAGAGGCCCCACGCCGCCCCGGAGTCCGTTTCGTCTTCTTGGACGCTTCCTCTGGGATGAACAGGGCTGAGCCCTCCGGCGCGTCCCGTGGGGTCTCATCCCCACGTTTAGGTCACCAGTGTGTTTCCCAGGATCTGTTTCCAATGTCTCGGTCGACACTTGACATAATTCTCTCTACACAAGGCCCTGACCTCAGGCAACGTTCCCCTGGAAACCACGCCGACCTGGGCAGGGGCGTCCGCTGCAGCCCGCGGGCCGCACGTGGCTCAGGATGGCTGTGCCTGCGGCCGACGCAAAATCGTGAATTTGCTTAAAGCACGATGAGAAGTTTCTGTGATGCGGTGCCAGGACGCATTTGACGTGCAGCCCAGGACAACTCCTCTTCCTCCGGCGGGGCCCAGGGACGCCACAGGGCGGGGCCCTGCTCCCGGGAACAGGAAGCCGGGCGAGCGTCCCGCCGGCCCCCGGAGTCACACACCACCCGCAGGGGCGTGACACCCCGGGCCCTGGGGGGACGTCCGGGCCCCCACGCCAGCTCTCAGACAAACTCCTCCCCGTGCGCCTAAGGCACTTCCCCCAAGGCCCGCCAGACTAAACAAAGCTCACCGAGCTGGACGGAACCGGAACTCTCCGCGGTGGCGCGCAGCAGCCTGCGCTCCGCCTCCAGCTGGTCTCTGAGCCTGCGCAGGGGGAACAGACGGTGCGGCCTCAGAGCCCCGGTCCTCCCTTCTCCCTCCGGGCTATTTCGCGTCTGTTTCAAGGTGAGAAAGAAAAACGAACCCTCTCACTTTCCAACCAAAAGCTCATTGGGAAACGTCCATAAAGACGTACGTGAGACCTTAAGCGTGTCCAGTTAAAGCCACCCACGACGACGTCCTCACGGAGGATGCACAGACCACTATTTAAAGGAACCAACTCGTGTAAAACAAAGGATTTCCCCACGTTGTTCATCGATATTATTTTGTGACTTGAATTCCGAAAAGGCAAGGGGGCAGAACCCTGGCATTTTCTGTTCTGAGGCAAACGACAACCCGATGACGACGGAAAGGTCTCGCTGGAGTCCGAGTAAGATCCCACTTTTTCCGGTGCTACGTCTTCATCCACAGACACAACTCACAAACGCCACCGTATTTAAACTCAAAGTAAAATGCAAGGAATGTTAAAAGAAGAAAATAAAAACCTTTGCGATCTCTTCCTTTTTGTGTCCTCTTCCTGGTTCAAAATAAACTTCATTGACTATCTTATTTCTAACGGACTCAGCGTGAGAATAATAAAGGGATCTAATGTGTTGTGTCTACTGAGGGGAACCCCGTGACCTTGGTGAAAACATCACCAGCACAAAAGACCGCGCCCTGCGTGTCTGCAGGGGTCCCGTGTCTCAGAAGGCTTTCAGACACACGGGCTCATTTTATCACAGGTTAAAAACAAAAACAACAGAAAAGTATTGTGATCCCCAGTTTTAAGAAATTGAGCTTAACTGGATTGATCACAGCGGTAACAGCCTTCTCAATATACACGTTCAGAGTGTTTCGTTTCTATAGATTTTCCAGGTGGTACAGTTTTAAACATGACTTAATGTTTCCCTTCCATTCCTTTTTCTTCTCCAGGGACTTGAATCACACGTACAGTGGGTTTTCTTCGCGGGTCTTCCACTCCAGCCACTTCCCCGCCACCCCCCCCCCCCCGTTCATCCCTTTCACCGTCTTCCTGCTCTTCTCTGCCGCCCGCCCTTCACTGCGTTCCCACCCACAGGTCCGCCTCGCCGGCCAGCCATCGTGGAGCTCCTGGTCTCTGACTCGGCCCGTTCGCCGCTCTTTCCCCGGTCGTCACATCCTGTTTCGTGTCTCCTTTTTTTTTGCTGTCTCTCTCTGTGCTCAGGTTCAAGTGTCTGACTCCGGGTGGTTTTCACAGCCCGAAAGGCTCTTCTGAGGCTCCCGGGTTCGGTCCGGACCCTGGGGCAGCAGCTTGGCCAGCCGTAGGCTGTCCTCCCACACGGGGATCTCCATCAGCTGAAATTGGTCCGATTCTCGTTTCCTGCTCTCTCTTTGGGTTTCACAAACAAGACATGTTATGCCTCTGCACTGTGTGGGCAGGGCCAGTGCTTTGGGGTAGTGGGTGTGTGGACTCCCTAATTCAAGAGCAGCAAATGTTCATGCACGGTGGTTTGGGTTTCTTTGCTTTGTTTTGTTTTGATCTTTATCTGGATAGCATTTTTGGAGGGGCGGAGGGAAGGAAGGCCGGTGGCGGGAAGGGTTGAGTGCCCTGCAAGTGTCTTCTGCTGCGGGGTTCCAGGTCCCCCCGACGGCCGCTCTTTCTACGCCGCGCACTTCCGAAGGACGGTGACCACCCTCCATCCCTCTTCTCCACTGCCTCGCCACGGCTCCACCACTGTTTCTGGCTTCCGCGCTCACCTTCAGTCCTTCCTCCCCCGCCGGTGCTCCGGGACACCGGCCAGGGACCCCTCCCTGCTATGCCTCACCCAGGAACACCCCCTCGCTCCCGGGCAGTGGGTGTAGAACGTTCTGGGGCATCTGCAGGCTCCCTTCTTTCTCCCCCAGCGGTCCCTGCTCGTGCCGCTCTGCAGCGAGGGACAACGCCTGCTGACACTCCATGATTATTTCTGTTTTCAGGTCTTCTGAATTCTCACAGCTTCCTCTCTTCTCACAGTCACACCGAAGTTAGAGGGTTCTTTGAGGGTTTTCTCTTTGGTTGGTGGGTTTTGTTTCTCAGTTTGTTTTTCTGAGAATAGTTTGGGCATGTCGGATCTGCTTTAATTTTTTTTCAATCCGTCGTCATTGCTTCCGGAAAGACTAGTGCACAGAGAGGTAAACGGGGTTCCTTAGGTTGATGAACAAGGGCGTTCACGAGGTGTCTTGACTTTTCAGCTCTCTCGACTATCAAGGGAAGCCCCCGGGGACCACCAGAAAAGGTGTGAGAAATACAGAACTACCACCCCCCCATGGAAACACACCAGGTCCTGGTCTCATGTGACGGCTCGTGGGAGAGGTCACACGACCGGCGGGGTGAGGGCAATGGTGCAGAAAAGTGTGTGTGTGTGTGTGTGTGTGTGTGTGTATACATATGCTGCCACTGGTGTTCAAATGTTGTGAAACGGGGCACGCCCACCGCAGACCAGACCAGACCGCGGACCCTCACTTGTCGTTGTGCTCCAGGGCCGCCTTGGTGGCCGTCACGAGCGCCCGCAGCTGCTCCCGGGCCCGCTGGACGTCCTCCGTCTTCACCGGCCTCTGCTCCAGCCCTTCGGCCTCCGCCCGCAGCGCCTGGAAGGGCAAGGCCCACGGGCGACACAAACCCACAGGAGGAGTGAGCCCTTGCCTTTTTCTGGGGGCTACCGTGCACTCGAGCTGGTCCGGGTCAAAACGGGAAGTGGAGCGAGGTGAACGGGGGGGAGGCCTGGGGGCTGAGCGGGGACACCTCGTCACGTGAAGCTATGCCAGCGGCGCTCACCCAGCAGAGAGCAGTGCGTGGGGGTGGGGGCCGGGGGGGTCAGCCGGCAGGCAGGGCCGCTGAGCGGCGGCGGCAGCCGGAGGTACGGGCAGAACACGAGCCGCGCGCGTGCCCACCGCCCCACCCCTGACTCTGGAGCGCAGTGAGCAGCGTGAGCAGGTGGTGAGAAGTGACTCCTGCACCGGCGTGTCCTTCAGCCGGCCCAAGGCGCAGCCCTTCCCCACCCGCCCCGGCCGCCCCAGGTTCCGCGGGCACAGAGCGGTGTCCCCTGAGCCCATGAGCCGGGCAGCACCGGGCTCGCTCAGGCCCCCTCGGGGGAGCCCTCACCTGCTGCCGCTCTGCCGGCCGGGTGCGCAGGAGGATGGCCATGTAGAGCTCGTACTCGTCCTGGGGGAGGGGAGAGGCCCGGCAAGGCCGGGGGTTTGCACGCGTGGGCAATGCACACGTCAGCGTCAACCACGTTGAGAGGACAAGCCATTCCCACACTAAACAGGGTGCACGGCCTAGAACGTACACACACGGCCTGAGCGACTCTGAAGCATGTTTGCACAGGAACCACCGGTCCCCACAGAGCGCTGCCCTCGCATGCCTTGACCCGTCTACACAGGGGACCACCTGCCGCACGCAAGCTCCGTGGGTGTGGGTGTGGGTGTGGGTCCTGCCAGGGACCAGCCTCCCCTGCCCGGCCTGGGGACCCGCTCGTCACACGCTGTCACCGCAGGGCTGCTCCGAGGTACGTCACGTCATTAGGAACCTGGAGGAGAGCGCACTGCGTGCACAGCCTGAGTTCCGCTCGGCTTCCGCCTGGAGGGAGGTCTCCCTCATCAGGACACCGCAGCGCGTGTAAGCGTTCATGCGGTTCGTGGAGATTCCACATGCGTGACTGTAAGTGCGTATGTCACCCGTGCACGACTGTGTAAACTTGTAAACAACTGGGAAGCTTTTGTGAAAAATCGGCTCTGGGTGGGGCTGAGCTCGCAGGGTGCCTGCTGCACGCGGCCCGTGGGAGCCCCGGGTGGCCGCAGGCACGTCCCTCCGCACCTCTGCGTGGTCCCCCGAGTCTGTGGGAGGGACACCGGGACACGGGGAGGGATTTCGGCCAGGCCTGAGGTCCGGTGTGCAGGACATTCAGGCCCGGCTCTACACTGCCGGGTGGGAAAGGCATGCTTCTTACCTTAACCTCTTTCAAGAGGTCCCCAAAGATCAAAGAACTCTTGCAGATGTCTCCAAAGACCCCGCTGAGGACCTGGAGTTTGTTGTGGGGGTCGCAGAGGCACACTTTCTGCAGGTCCTGGAGGAGAAGCAGGGCCGGCCCCCTCAGGACGCCCGTCTCCCTTCCCGGGCAGTTCTGGGGCTGCGGACCGGGACCCCCACGGGCCGCCATCGGGGCCACAGCCCCCACCGCCCCTGGACCAGGCCCCAGCGGAGCAGGGAGGCGCCCCGGGGTGTCTGATGCCCTGCACCCGGTGCTGAGAACCTGCGGTGGCCCGCGCGCCCGGGAGTCCTTCCTGCCTTCTGTCTCCTTGGTTCGCTCCCCTGCACCCTGCGGCCAGGGGTTCCCTCTCTGCGTCCCCACGTCCCCACGCCTCTCCCTATCCATCAGTCCTCTGGTCCGCTCACACCCGACCTCTGTCCTCCTGCCCACCCTCCCCTCCCGACGTGAGGCCCACCCTCGCTCCCTGCGCGCAGCCCCGGGCAGCTCTCTGGGCTCCTCGCGTGGCCCTGTCCACCTTCTGCAGACACAGCGGTGGTGGCCGCTGGCAGACGTCCCCAAGTGACGTGACTCGCCCTCCCCCTCCCCCTCATTTCGCTCCGCCTGAGGCAGGAGGCCCTTTTCCCTCGGTGCTCCCGCGGCCTGTGGACATCTGCTTACTATCATGCCCGCCGCTCCCAACGCTCAAATCACGGCACCACCTCCCACGTACCACTGCCACGCTCCGCCCTCCCTCGCGTCGCCCCAGCTGCGACCCCCTGCGTCACATGGGATGTTCCCAGTGACTGGCGGCTCTGTCACCTCCGACTTGGGGGTGGACGGAGGTGTCCGAGGGCCAGACTCTGCCCACGGCATCCAGCCCCCAGGGACAGGGGCAGGTGCGCCGCCCCCCGCCCGGGGCCACACGACCGCCCCCCTCACCTGCTCCAGCTTCTTCTCGTGGCCCGCCGCCGCCCTGCGCCCGGTGAAGTCGGTCCCCAGGCAATCTTGCGTGGCCAGCACCTCCCTCTGGAAACGCAGGAACCTCCTGTACTTGTCCGCCTTGGTCAGGCCGGCCAGGTAGGAGCTGACGTACCGGTACTCGTCCTCGCCCCGAGGTGACGTCGCGCACTCGCGGCTGGACCGCGCCGCCCGGGCCTTCAGGACCTTCACGTCGGGCCAGCGCAGCTCCTCCTTCCTCCGCGGCGCGGCGCCCGCCTCCCCCGCTGCCGGCCTCGGCTTGGCGAGGACGTCCTCTTGGGAAGCGCGCGCCCCGCCCGCCGGGGGGTTCAGGTACCGGAAGAGGGGGGTGCTGGGGCCGTCGTTGGGGCCCAGGGCGGTGTTGACGGTGAAATAGGCCCAAGCGTCCCTCATCCTGGCGACCTTGCCGTCGTCCGACGGCCTCTCCCCGCTGCGGACCCGCCGGCCCGCCGGCCCGCCGGCGTTGCGCCAGTGGCGCAGGATGGTCTCGGGGGGCCTGTACAGCTTGTGGTGGTTCAGGTGGCCGGACGTGTACAGCAGGACGTCCTCGCGGTGGCTCTTCTCCAGTCTGTTCAGCAGCCTGGTGAGGTTGCACAGCGTGCTCACGCCCCGGGTCTCGCAGTGCTTCCACCGCCGGTAAACTGCACGGGAGACGGGGGGGCGGGGCGGTGAACCCCACGCTGGGGACGGCTGCGCGCCACCGCGGAGCCGGCTGGCGCGTTCCCGAGGGCAGAGCGGACGGCGCGGAGAGGGGAACGCGGATACGCATGCGCCGGCCGGCCGGCTCCTGCCCGGGGGCAGAGACCGGAGCTCGGGGCACAGTGTTTCCTCCTCAAGAGAAGGGAAGGGGCGCCCAGACAAGCGAAGGAGGGCGACAGCGGCTCCTACAGTCCAACGACCCCCCACACGCAGCAGCCGCCAACCCCAATTCGGCTCCCAGTTCCGCGGGTCGGAACCGCAGCCGGGAGGGGCTGGGGCCTCTGCGCGGGGCGGCGGCTCGGGTGGGAAGACGTGGCCCGGCCCGGCCGAGTCCTTGGGAGCTGGGGGGAGACCGCCTCCAGGCCCATCCCCGTGGTTCTGCATGCTCCCTTCCTTGCCCCTGTAGGGCCGAGGGCTCCCAGCCCCGGGTTTGCTGTTGTGGGTGACTCCGACCCCAGGAGCCACCCACCTCCCCGGACACTGGGCGCCCCCACCTCGGAGCCAGCAGGGCCCCCACGGCCTTCCCACGCCCTGTCTTCTGCCCCGCCTCCTGCGGCGATAGGCCAGCCGCACCCCCCACCAGGACACAGCCCAGGGTCGCAGCGCTCGCTCCTCGTGTTCCCAGGCCTGAGGACGCTGCCAGGCATGCCCACTAGGGGGCAGGGGACATCCCGGAGCTGGGCCGCCTCAGGGACGTCACCCACCAGGAGCCGGGTCTCCCTGGCCTCATCCCCCGTGGAAACCAGTCTCCTCCCCCTCCCGTGGGGCCAGGGACCCGAGCAGCTGCTCCCAGCAGTGTGACCAGTGAGAACCTCCGCTGCCGGTCCAGACGGCGCCTCGAAGAGACCACTCCGGAAATGTTAGAAGAGCCACAGAACACGCCTTCGAGGCCGATGGTGATCCTAACTGATCAAAGGCACCAGCCCACAAGGAGCGCGCTGAGACCTCACCGCACTGGTCGGGCTTCCCCAGGAGACAGACAGACAGACAGACAGAGATGCATGGGATTATTACGGGGGGCTGGCTCGCAAGATTCTGCAGTCCTGCGAGGCCCCAGCCTGGAGGCGGGCCAGCAGCCTGGGGGCCCCGTTTTTGTCTCAGGGCCGTGGCTGGAGAACCCCCTCTCCCTCTGGGAGGCCAGCCTCTGCTCCGTTGAGGCCTGAGGTCGAGCCGAGGGGAGCGCTTGCCTGTGTGACAGCAGGCAGGCGGCTGCCCTCAGAGCCTCCCGATTTACGTGCTCGTCCCATCCAGCCAGCAGCCTCCACAGAGAGACCCAGAAGGACATCTGACCAGATACCGGGGCATGTGGCCCGGCTCGCGGGCACCTGAGTTCGCCATCACACACAGAGTCCTGACTCTTTCAGGGGACGGGAGGCAGCGGCAGCTTAATTGTTATATTACCCTGCATTCACTTCTTTCTTCCAAAAAGGGCCAGAAGCAGCCAGCACCTGGCTAGCAAAGTCGTTTTCCTCCTTAGAGAGCTTTTCCTTGGACTTCCAGAGACCTGGAGAATCCAGAGTCCAGGTTTCTCTCCGGGGGTCCTGTGCTAGGCACCACGAATCCATTCTGGGGACAGGCGTCTCACCTTCCTCACTGAGAACACGGGGGTCGCATGCCCTTCCGCTCACGGCGACAGGACCCCGCACCTGCGGGGGCTCTGAGGTGGCAGCCGTGGGCAGGGGCCAGGCGGAGGCCGGGGCTGCCGGTCGGCCAGGGACGGGGCCTCAGTCCCACGACCGCAGGGCACTGCCGTGCAGCTGGCGTGCGCAGGCACCTCCGCCCCGCTCACCCCAAATGCACCGGGTCACGGGGTTTGGTTTATCCGGCAGCTAATTCTCCCTCCTAGTGTTTAATTTACAGAAGGTGTGCTTATGAAGAAGTGCCAGAGTAAGACGGGACACTTTCCAATGCCACCCACCAGGTGCGTTTGCACAGGAAGGGCCTGGTGGGAGTCTGGGCCGGCACCATTGATACAAAGGTGCGAGGCGGACGGCTCAGAGGCGGACACCGCGCGACCTCCCCGTCCCTCCACCCGGCGGGACCACAGAGACGCAGCTCAGTACGCACGGAGGAAGTCGTGCAGAACTAACCGCCTGGAGGACTGGCCAGGAGCCCCAGGCAGACATGGCCACGCCAACGGGAAGCCAGCACAGCCGGAGGCAGAAAAGGGGGAAGCAAAACGCCCAAGTTCACGACCAGAACTGCTTCTCACGCCGGTACCAGGACGGCTAGCCCAGGGACCAGGCCAGCACAGCCGTTTAGCTCTTCGTAGAGAAGAGGGTCTTCTTAGCGCAGGAGAAACAGTCCAGGAACTCACAGGAGGCGGCGCTGTTGCTTCCCCCCCACCTTCCAGACGGGGAAACCGTGTCAGAGGCGGTTGGAGTGGGCGGGGGGGGGGGGTGCAGGCTGCGTGCCGGGCCCTGTGCGCAGAGAACGGTTCCACGTGCGCTTGGAAGCCATCAGATAGAAGTTTTATAAAAGTATTTGGCCCTAGCTGGCGTAGCTCAGTGGATTGAGCACGGGCTGCGAACCAAAGCATCGCAGGTTCGATTCCCAGTCAGGGCACATGCCTGGGTTGCAGGCCACGGCCCCCAGCAACCGCACATGGATGTTTCTCTCTCTCTCTCTTTTTCCCTCTCTTCCCTCTCTAAAAATAAATAAAATATTTAAAAAATCTTTATAAAAAATAAAATAATAAAATAAAAATATGTGATAACTTTTGCTCAGTCCAACCAGGGTTCTCTCAGCCCAGGGTGCGCCCGGGCCACCGGCCCCATTTCCGTGCGCACACAGCGGCCTCAGCAGTAACGACCTGGGCTGAGGCTCCCTGCCCCCCCCCACTGGTAAGTTCACAACAGCCCCAGGCCAGAGAGAGACCCCAGATAAAGAGGAAGGGGAGCGCCTGGTGCCCGGGGGCGGTGGGGGGGGGCTTGGCCAGGAGTGGGGAGGGGCCGTGCGCGGCAGAGAGTGCCCCGCAGTGCGGCTTGTTAAAAGGAACACAGGAAGAGCGCCAGAAATCCCCTCCTTCACCCCCCTGCTGCCAAGGACGGGGACGCACCCACCCACGCAGGCCCCTGATCTGTCTCCGTTGCGTGTCGTAACTAGCTTTCCTGCGTGGGCAACTCAACCCCACACCCAGTCCTAACCCCTGGGGAGGCAGGCGCTGAGCTGCGGCCACCAGAGAGATCTCCATCTCCCACGTGGGGTTCAGAGCCGCAGGTACCCAGGCAGCCCAACCTCTGACAGACACGTGACAGCCACCACGAAACACTCAGGGCCACTCACAGTCCGGCTCCGAGTCCTCAGCCATCGCCTCCCCGCAGCTGAGCTCCTGGCCGCCTGGCTGGGAGTCGCCGAGGAGACTGACAAACATTCTGAGCCCCTCCCACCGGGTCCCCTGCTGCCAGGCAACCAGGACACGCAGCCCCACTGCCCCCCTGCGGAATCTCTCCCCTGTACCCGCCCTCCCTGAGCCTCTAGCCTTCTCCAGCTTGCTGGGTTTACCTTGTAAAACAAAACACTCTTTATAATCTGAAAAATCATCCGAACACCCTTGTACTCTAATTCCTCCCAAAGCCTCGGGAGCTAAAAAGCTAACTGGTCTCCAGTTGGGCATCTTGTGGAGAGAGGTTCACATTGGCACAGTGCACAACCCACCCCACTGCGCTGGGAGCTCCCGCACGCAGTAGGGGCTGCGCCCAGACCTCGAGCACAGAGTGGGGGCAGTCACTAACCACCAGGTAGTCATTTCAGTGCGATGACCCACAGGTATCCCAGCAGGACAGTGGGAGAGGGTGAGGTGCAGGAACTCCCCTGAGACTGTCGCAGGGAGGAGGAGGTTCGCCCTGTACAGGGGCCGGGCCCTTCCTTCGGGCCACCCGGTGTCAAAGGAGGAGGTGCTCCAAGGCTCTGTCTTCCTACCTGAGAGCGCTCCAGGGCAGAGGCGCAGTGAGGGGCTGCTCCCAGGAGGCTGACTTTACCCTTTTTTGCATAAACTACTTTATTGTTGTTCAGTTCCGGGAGACCGACTTTAAACGGCTCTCCCTGCCTGGGCTCTGCCCCGAGAGGCGACCACCGCGGGGCCCGGAGCTGTGACCGACCGTCAGGACGGCAGGCGCCCGGGAAGGCGCTTGGTCAGTGTCTTCCCTCTCGCTCGGTGCTGCTCGGACTCGGCCCCCGTGAGCGCTCAGAAGCCACGGGGCCACCACGAGCCCGCACGCCGGAATCAGGTGCATCTGAACCTCACCTGCTGACGGGCGAGGCCAGTGTTTTCGGATCTCCTCTCTCCGGGGCTCGTGGTGTCGGCCCAGCCAGGACGGGAATGTGGACGCGGAAATGCCCACATCGCGTCTGTCTGGGGGCTAAGCCTCGACGCTGGGGAGAGGACGCTTCGTCTCTGACCTGCCATTGATTGTACACTAGGCTCAGCGCCCGGGGGCTGTGCTCCGGCTGTCGGAGGTGAAACAGCGAGTGTCTCTGCTCGGAGCTGCTGGGTGGCTGAGCGCCGCGGAGGGTTGTCCTGCAGACTGTGGGGCATCCCACAGCCACCCCCCCTGGCACAGGCGGGCGCCTTCCACGGCCCGGCTGGGGGACGGGCTCCCCCCGGACCTTGGCAGAGCCAGCCCCAGGAAGCGTGGCCCCCCCCCGGGGCCGGCGGGTCACCTCCAGCGTCCAGCCTGCGCAGCCCTCGCCCCGCTCATTGGCACACGCGAGGAGGGTCTGGCTCATCTCCCATGGAATTGCAGTGTCTTCGTTTAGATCAGAAAGAAAACTTATTTGCTCCCGAGACTTGCGTTTCTGCCGAGTCAGCCCTCCCGGCAGGGCGCACGTACAGTCGCACTGACCCACCGTCCACACGCTCCAGGTCGGCCGGCTGGTGGGCAAGTTGATATCACGCCTCAAAAACCCCCCTGCGATGCTGCCCCGTCTAAACATTGCCACAGCGTGCCCGAGGCAGAAGCATATAGACTCGTATGTTCTGGTGCAGTGAGTGGTCCTGCCGACAGCAGGCAGGACCTTCGCCGAGGCCAGACCCCGGTGTGGGCGTCACCAGGAACTGCTCACCGTGCACACTGGCTGTGCAGGGGTTCGGGTTGGCACGGTGCTGTTCCGTTTCCCGGCTCTAGATGGCGCTGGGAGGCACGTGACAATACTTGATGGAGCAGCTGAAAACCTGCGGCTGAAACCACCATTCCAACTAATTCATTTTTCTGCACATCCGTCCAACCGCCCTGTGTTCAACCAGGGAAAAGGGGGGCATGTCTGCTCTGGGCATCTGCTAAGAACGCAGAAATGCAGTTTATCCCCTGCTGGAAAGCAGCCCCCGGGAGGGGAGGTGACCTGGGAGGGTGACCCCTGCCCTGAGTGGGGACGAGGGGGTGCCTCTGGGGCCACCGGACGCAGGGGCCAGGGCCAGCGAGCAGCGGTTCCTTGTTGTCGAAGAGGGAGGAGCCTCGTGTGTGGCCACAGCAGCTAACGGGCTGGAAATCGGTCAAAAATAAACATGTTCAACCTGGCTGGCATAGCTCAGTGGATTGAGTGCGGGCTGCGAACCAAAGCATCGCAGGTTCGATTCCCAGTCAGGGCACATGCCTGGGTTGCAGGCCATGGCCCCCAGCAACCGCACATTAAAATTTCTCTCTCTCTTCTCTCTCTCCCTCCCTTCCCTCTCTAAAAATAATCTTTAAAAAAAAAGAAATATCAACTTTAAAAAATAAATAAACAAACAAATAAATAAAATAAACGTGTTCAGTCACTGCTCTTTTGCTGTTGGAACTTGCGCAAAATGGACGAAGCTGAAAGGCCTCTTTATGCCTCGGTGCTCTCTGAGCCCTGGGGGCGTGTGAGGGACCCCCGGTGGCCGGGTCTGGGACAGTAGCCCGGGGGGCTCGGGTGCAGGGAGGGGTGTGCTGCAGGGACACGCAGGGCAGGTCGGGGGCACGCCAGGACAGTCCTGCCGCAGCAAGGTCCTACTGAAGATTCCACGCCGGGGAGAGGTCAGGAACTTCCACTTCAGGAAGAGAACTCTTGTGACATGGTGTGGGGGGGGGGGACACAGCGGGGGAGGGGGTGCACATGGAGCAGCACGGGGTGAGGGGGCCGGCTGCTGGCCAGCGGGGGGCGCAGGTAAGTGGTGCCGACTCTGACCCCCAGGCTCTGACCCTGGAGCCCACACTATGGATGGAGAGTCCTCCACCCTCCTTCCCCAGGCCGAGGCGCCAGCAGCTCCCCATCCGTGTCCTCTCGCCCTTTGGGGGGCCCCCACCTAGCCATCTTCCCCTCGCTGTCCCGTCGTCCTCTCCCTGTGTCTTTTCCGGCTGTGAAACCGCTGTCCTGGGTCAGGATGGAGGAGCTGGTGATTCTGCATTAAGAACACTGAAAGCACCTGCGACATAATGACTTCTCACCTAACGTCTTGGTTTGCCAGAGGAATCTGACCATCACGTGAGGGATGGCGGGGCGAGGGAACAGGGTCTGAGGGGGTCTCACCGGGTGAAACCGAGAGGTGGGCAGGGCTCCGCCCCCCAGGGGCTTCAGGGAGGGTCCGTCCAGCCTCCTCAGCTCTTGGCTTCCGTCTCCGACTTCAGAGCAAGAGACGGGCCACAGCTGCCCTTCTGCCTCCGCCCCAGCCAGGAGGGACCCTCGTGACAGCACCGGGACACCTGCACACCGGGACACCTGCACACGGGGACACCTGCACACGGGGACACCTGCACACCGGGACACCTGCACACAGGGACACCTGCACACCGGGGACACCTGCACACGGGGACACCTGCACGCCGGGACACCTGCGCAGGGGGACACCAGCACACCAGGACACCTGCACACGAGCACACCTACACACCGGGGACACCTGCACACAAAGACACCTGCGCAGGGGGGACACCAGCACACCAGGACACCTGCACACCGGGGACACCTGCACACGGGGACACCTGCACACCGGGACACCTGCGCAGGGGGACACCAGCACACCGGGACACCTGCACACTGGGGACACCTGCACACAGGGACACCTGCACACCGGGACACCTGCGCAGGGGGATACCAGCACACCAGGACACCTGCACACGGGGACACCTGCACACGGGGACACCTGCACACCGGGACACCTGCGCAGGGGGACACCAGCACACCGGGACACCTGCACACGAGCACACCTGCACACCGGGGACACCTGCACACGAGGACACCTGCACACTGGGCCACCAGGCCACCTGGACACTGGCAGGTCACTTCCTCTCCCTACTGGGCAAAGGTCAGCCGATCAGTGCCTCCTCCCACCTGCCACCCCACCCCGCCTGTCCCACAACCTGACACAACACCTGCTCCAGGTGTGAGGCCGTGAACTTTCCTGGGGACCATCCCTGTGCCAACAGTGCCCCCCGCCCCAGAGCTGCCCACACGGAGGCCGCCCCCCGAGGCTCCGGGCGCAGAGCCGGTGTTGGCACGGGGACCGCAAGGCGAAGGCACCGCCGGAGACCGATGCAGACCCGTCCCCAGACTCCCGCCTGCGGTGACAGTGGAGCTCCTCGGGCAGAGGCCGGAGCAGCGGACGGGAGAGCCTGCTGCCCCGGGGTTCGCTGGAGTTGGTTCATTTTTGTTGTGTCGTGTTCGCAGTCAGAGAGGTCTGAGAGGGTTGGAGGAGCTGGGCTGCGGAGGAGGGAACGTTGAATGAAAATGAGGACATCCCATCCCAGGCCCTGCGCACCTCTGAGAGGCACGGACCAGCTGCCCCAGGGACGCAGGGCACACAGGGCACACAGGGAGAGGCCCTGTCCCTGCAGAGCACGACCCAGAGCCAGACAGACCTCCCAGTCACCCCACTGCTGAGGCTCAGGTGACCTCGATTCCCGTGTCCCTGCCCCCGTGGCGTCAGGAGCGGGCAGTGGCTTTAGGCCCAGAACCCCGTCCAGAGCGGCTTGTCAGAAGCTGGACGCCTTGTGCTGTGGCCTCTCGATGTCCCCAGGGGCGGCAGCGGGCAGAGCCAACACCAGGGACATCCCCGAGATCGCAGCAGGGCCACCCCCTCGGTTCACGCCGACGGCTGTGGGACCGGGGGACGTGCGACAGTCCCCCAGCTGCTTTCAGAAACCCTCGGAACGGCCCTGTGGAGGACCCCCTGCAAGTTCCGGCCCGCACTTCGCACTGTGCTGTCACTGGGAGCAAAGAGTTGCGCGCACTTAGCGCTAAGTAATAGTGATGGCGGAGGTCAGAGCTGTTGCAAGCAGCAGGTCGGGACAGCGGGGTCTTCAGCCCGGGCCCTGCACCGCCCCCCACCGGCCGCTCGCTCGCTCGCTCCTGCCCGACCTCTGAGTTCCAGTCCCCTCACCGCTCGGTCGGGCCGTGGCCTGCGTGACTCACAGCGTGGCTGTGGGGACTGCGTGCATACCAACGCTACCGACAGTGCCTGGCAAACGAGCGTTCGCTGTGTGTAAACGTCTGTTGTCTCGGTCTGGGCGTGTGGCCCATGACAGGATGGTCCCAGGCAACCTGTCGCTGACGGGGAGCAACGGAGCTCCTCCTGCAGACGGTGGGGGGGGGGGCGCACCGGACCTCCTCGTGAGGCACTGATAACTCAGGAAGGGCACATGAGCTCGTTCTGGTGGGGCACGCAGCGTGGCCTTTCGTGGGAGCACGTGGACGGCTCCGAGGGCCACGTACTTCCTGCGGCTGAGCCCCGGGAGCCAGGAGTGTGCCAGGCCCCTCATGCCCACCCACGAACTTGACTCACTCCGTCATAAGGACAGACCCCGCAGAAGACCGCAGCGAACTTGGGGGGTGGGGGGACATCAAACACAGCACAGGGCCCCAAGTCAACTCCCGCTTTTAAGAAATAAAACTTCTTCCCACCGAGCCAGGAGGGTGTGACCGTGAGGACGCAAGACGGCTTTTCTCAGGAGAGTGACGGTGAGCCCGGGAGGGGCTGTCGAAAGAGGCGGCGGGCGCCCGCTCATGCGGCCTCAGTAGCAGAACTGGGATCTTGGACCAGAAATTATAAAGCTACGGATTTCAGGACAGTTTTCATAGAACTTTCTGGCAATGAGGGCCCCAAACAGCAGCCTGGCTTACATCACGGGAGTGTGTCCCGCACCCCCAGAGAGGAAGGAAGTCGGAGGACCCCCGGTCCCACCCCCGGGTCACGATTTCCCATGGACAAGACTGAATCACCCACAGGGCCTCGGACACGGGGCGTTCCGCTGTGGCTGCCGCCGTTGCTGTCCTGGGCACAGGTCAGGCACCGTGCAGCGGGTTCTGTGGGCATGCATGAAATTCTCTGCTGAAGCGTGTGCCCTCCCCCCGTGACGGAGCGGTCAGCGGGCCACACACACAACGGGCTCTGCAGCGGCAGACGCCTGGCTGCACGCACGCCGTGACCGGCAGACGCCTGGGGCGTGACGTTTCAGGTCAACTTTGAATTTACTCCCCAGTCACTTTCCTTCCTCTGCTGAGCACCTGTCGAGGGAGCCCCTGAGCTTGTTGGGGGAGCAGGCGGGGGGCTTCCATCTGACCCTGACGGTGGCCCGGGGGCGGAGGTGGGGAGATGCCGCCACCAGGTGCTGCCGGGCTCCTGCACTGTGGACTCGGGAAACGTGTCGAAGGCGTGACTTCAGGTCTACGACCGTGTCGTGTCCCCCTCCCCTCTCACGGCACCGTGACCGCGGAGGCCATGGTGACACAGAGGCACCGCCGCACGGAGGGGTGACAGCCACGCGACAGAGGCTCGGGCGACCTGACGGTGCCACGGCCCGACCGAGGGGCCTTCCATCCCCCCTGGTCCCCCTCCCTCCGCCTGCGATCCCCCCTCACCTGGGCGCCCGGACGTGTTGCAGAACAAACCCCAGTCTGACAAGGTGCCGCCCCCCACAGCCCTCGGGGTGCAGTGAGGCCGACAGAGGTCGAATGGGCACCGTTAGCGTCAGGTTCAAGTTCAGATCAGCCGGCCAGAAGGATCAGCGCCTTGAATTACCAAGTGTGGTCAGGGGTATGTTAGCTGGGGACGTTTACTTTCACACAGTGAACGCTCTGTACAGCTCACGGAGAAGGGCTCCAGCACTCACAGGGCTGTGTGCCCGGAGGTGCCCGGAGGTGCCAGCAGGGATGGAGGGCCGGAGGGTTCTGGTCGAAGGGCTGGGGACACCGCCCTCTGAAGGACGAGGCCGTGGACACCGCGTGAGCGCCCGCAGGTCCTCACTGCGGGAAACGCCGGTCTTCTTGGCCCCCAGTCTGCCTGTGGTCAGCCAGGGTGTGGGGAGGGGCTGAACTTTCCGCTCGGGTGGTGAATGTCTGCCGTGTGCCCGCCCGAGCGGCAAGCAGGGGTGTCCCCGCCAATGCCATTTCTTTAAGCAGAGCTCTGAACACAGAGCCACGAGTATAGCCCCCAAGGTGCTGCACAGCGAGGGGGAGCCTAGCACGTTCTTCGCTGCGGCAGGAAGAATCCCAGCCCTTGCAGGTCCACCTGCTGTGCTGCGGGCTCCTTCCCACGGGGCCCCGAGGGCGTGACCGTGCCCGGCCCCTGTGGGCCCAGGAGCCACTGTGGGAGCCCTGGCGCGGCCTCGGGGTCCCCAGCCAGCCCTGCGACCTGCGGCAGCCCTTCCCGAGGGCCACAGCGCCCCGCTGAGTCCCCACGCTCCCTGAAACCACAGGGCAGAGTCGGTGACTCACCCAGGGAGACGGAGCGTCCCTGTCTCAGCCTTTCCGCCAGCGCACAGCGGAGCAGGCGCCCCTGTCACTGGCGCGTGAACGCGGCGTCTCCTAGCAACGGGGCCTGGGGCGTCTGCCGCGGAACTTCCCGCAGCCCCTGCGCCTCCCGGGCCGCTGACCCCGCCTCCTACCTTTCCCGCAAATGACGGCACGTGACCAAGGAGGACCGTGGTGTTTTAAAAACTCTGTATTCAATTATTCACACGGAAGGGTAGCCATTAAAATTATGAACATCTCTAAATATAGTTCCTGTATCGTACATATATATACTGTATAGGTATAGTTACATATCGACAAGACTTCTCGCGGCTCCTAAGCGTGTGGGTGGGACAGAGGCAGGCCCCGCAACGCCACGCCCGTGCGGGCGTGCACGCCGGCCTCTCGGGTGACACGTGTATTTACAACTCGCCTTGGGCGATGGCGGACGGTTACTGCTCTACCGTACAGACACGACGGGAAGGGGCTCCTTTACATACAAAGACCGCAAATGGGTACATGAAAAATTACACACATGTACAGTATATATAATTTATAAATGCAAAGTTAAGACCTCTTTAAGTTATTGCACTTGTGCATCTTACAAAGATTTTTTTGTTACACGTATAAAATGTTTTTTTGAAATTTACTCACTCAACTACAATGCAGTTGGATATTGGTTCACTTGAAACTCTTTCTCCTTCCAAAACAGAGCCCGGGGGCACTTGGGGTGCAGACCCACTGCCTAGAAGCCGGTGTGGGGGCGCTGCCGTCTGGAGGCCGGGGACCCCGCCCCACGGGGTGGGGCGTGGCTCGGCGGGGAGGCGGCGCCAGCAGACTGTCGTCGGGGGCGGCCCGAGCCGGGCAGGCATCCACGTTCCTGCGGACGTGTGAAGAGAGTCGCCCTTTCTTTCCGGAAAGAGTCCAAGAGCTGCACTCCTACACATTTGGTAACTGTCTCACAGTGTCCGGAGGGAGCACGTCATCCCAGACGGGGCACAGGGTGGGTCTGGTAACAGGTGGGGGCGTCGCACAGCCCGGCCTTCTGCAGAGAGGCCTGCTGTCCCTTCAGCCGGCGCCCTAGCTGGACGCAGGTAGCAGTGACCGTGCACGCAGCTGCGGAGGGCAACGGTCCCCCACGTCACCTGCTCGGGCCGGCGGTGACGGGAACAGGGCTGCGGCGCCTGCCCCAGCACGGCATTGTGGGTGGGCTGGAGCCCCGGAGCGCACACGTTTGAAACTTCCGTTACAACACCAGCAGCGCAGAGGGTCCCCTCTAACTTCTGCGGACTGGCCACACCTCCCAGGCAGGAGCTGCAACCGGCCCGGGCACCCGACCTCTCCACTCCGCCGCCTGCCGCGTGCATGCCAGGGGCCCGGCTGGGCCTGCGGGTGGGCAGGCGCCCGCCCCGCCCTGCCCCGCCCCCGCGGGAAAGCATGGCCCCAGGGGGGAAGAGACTTAGCAGCCGAGTGAAGAGAACGATGCTGCTTCAGAGTTTCAACGTGTTTCTCGGGAAGCATCTGTGTGTTTCTCTTCGCTCCATCTTTTAACGATTTACAACCAGAACGGGACTGGTTCTTGTCACTGTTTTTATCATCACGGAAATGCATCTAACGCTTCCACCAATCAAAACGTCCAGTTTAAAAAAAAGACAGAAAACAAGAAGTGTACGCACTGGACTGGGGAGCACGAATCGATGAAAACTTAGGACGAGTCTTTAAAGAAACTGGCGAAATGAGTATCAGGAGAAATACTGATGCAAACGGGCCGCCGACAAGCCCGGGCGGGAAGACCGCCGCATGCTCGGCTGCTTGCGTCTCGCGGTGGCTGGAAACTCAGACTCACACTCGCAACGGAGGGGAAATGCTATGTGGCTAAATCAACGTCTGCAAAGAATCAAAGCCTAAGTCAGCAAAGTGCAGAAAGCAAACGCATGTCAGAAATATATAAAGATAGAAGCGGTTTTCAAAGTCGAAACCATGCGCGGGTGCCTGGAGCCCGACCACGCCGGGTCGCCGCCAGTCCCAGGTCCGGGAAGGGCAGGACGAGACTGGGCGTTCACCAGCGCCACTCACGGCGGCCACTGAGGGTAACTGGAATCCCAGAGAGGGAGGGACCGGTCAGGGGACTGAGGTCCTGGTCATTTGACGCGGTGACTTCACCCAAAGATGGGTCCCTTTCAATGTCTTCGATTATAGTTAAGCAAGAAGAGCAAAATAAGAAATAGATGAAGATGAAAAATTACAGTATTTAAAAGAAAGGCACGAGCAAGGTATGGTAACTTAGTCCTATTTAAAGCTCAAACCTCAACTTCGAGTTCAAAGGCCGGAACGTAAAGCTGAAAACTACGTGTGTTGCTAAACACCTAGGTAGCAAAGGGTGTGTGTGGCTAGACTGCGTTGCGTACGAACACGCCTAGCATGCCCGAACATTCCAACGAAGCAAAATCCACTGAGAATGCACAAAAGTTTAAAAAAAAAACTAAAAATCATGCGAAAAAGAGGAAACCTACACTGAACGAGTCTCGTTTTGAGGGAGTTCTGCTCCGTGGCTGTGAACAGTCACCTCGCGTGGCCTCGTCTGCGTGAGGGACAGTCAGAGAGGAGGGGAGGTGGGGGCTTCGCACATGCCCCTTAGAAACAGCCGTCGCCGGGGCCCAGGCCCCCTCCCCGCCCCGGGACAAGGGCCTTCCCTGGCAGCCACTCTCCAGACCCGCCGCACCCCCGCCCGGTGTGCCGCAGTCAACCACTGAGAAGATGCCTGCATTTTCCAGAACGTCATTCCACTGCCCAAGATCCGTGTTTCATGTCGTCGGCGTGCATTTCCAAGAAAATTTCTAGTTAGAAAATAGGTTCGTCATCTCTGAAAAAATAATGGAATAACTGCATTTGGTAATAAAAACTGTGTCCATTATAAATCAGCACAACCCATGAAAATGTCTGGAAACTGAACATTCTACCAACACTGGTGGCTTGTTACCAGGTTTAGACGGAACAGGAAACTTTAGCCCAACAGAGAATACCAGCTTAACGAGCAACTCATCAAAACTTTTGGTGATAAAAACCATCTACCCTTTTAAGAAAAAATTTAGGAAAAAAATGAGAACACCACTATGGAGTTTGCCTGCTAAATATATCCACTGAAATAACAGAAAAATACTGCTCACTGCACTTTTTCTCAAAAGCAGATCATCGACTAAGTACCACCTTGTCCTGGGAGCACTTACTTCAGACAGACCTGTGATTCCTAGGTCAATCTGACACACGGTGCAGGCAGTGTTCATCGTCAGCGTTAGAATACAGTCCTCGGCTCAGACTTTGTCTCTACAATGACAGTATTTCACAGGACATCAACCAACCAACAAATCCACACACATTTTCAGGACACTGTTCAGAAGTCCATGGAGTACACCTGGCTACACTGAAGTAAAAGAACATTCTGCAATCCTCTAGTGGAACAGCGACCTTCGAATGCCATCGGACCTCGCGAGCTGTGTTCTACGGCAAGGAGCAGGGCCGGCGCGCCCTCCTGCAGCCGGCGCTTGGGACCGGCCGTCCCCAACGACACTCAGCCCTCGCAGTGCGGTCTCCAGGGTGACCCGCCGGCCGAGTTCGCCTGCCACTGAAGTCAAATTTGCTGGGGAAGTTTCATCAGTTTAGATGCCAAAAAGTATGAAGCTTTTAAAAGCTCAATTCTGTGAAAAGACTAACATGAAAGGGTACCGTCTGGTCAGTGTTTGGTCAAACACTATTACATGTTCCAACACGAAAAATCACTGTGTTTGAAGGATGTGGCTCATTTCTGTTTTTCATAGATGGGTTTGCTTCTCTCACACACGTGTTTGTGTCTACATGCATGTGTATGTCTACATACATGCATGCACACAGCTACGTGTGTGTGTGTATCTAGCCAGAGCGGTGTTTCTCTCTCTAGCTGGTGCACCCACCTCCTCCGGTGCAACCGCCACAGCACTGGGGGCTCCCTGCAGGGGAGGTGGCAACTTTCAGGAGCCCGTAAGGAAATTGAACACATGGTGTTAATTTTTTAAAAAGAACAATGTTTATGTACAGCTCTCTTTGCTGCAACATAAATAAACCCTGTTGTAGAAACAACTGATTGGTATTTGCAAAAACCAAGCTCATATGAAAAACCCTGTGTACAGTACTGAGTATGCAGAAGAATATTTTAAAATGTGTTTTATTGAAAGGATTATACCAGTTTCTTGCCACATAAAGAGTAGACTTGTGGTGGGTCAGCCTGTCACATGCTGAGACGCTCGGCTAATTCCTCCAGGTCAGGACTGACCGAAGGCCCCACGTTCGGAGGCTGCTGGGTTGTCCCGACAAGGCTCTCTGTAGCCACACGCACTGGAGCGTTACCACGCACCAGAACCACACTCCTGGGCTCACAGGGTCCACAGGAAAGGGTCCACACTACTACCACCTCTGCGTATGCTCTCAAAACGTTTACACTGGGGAGTGACACCAGCCAAAGTGACGCAAGAGAAACTCCCCAAACTACAGGTTCCTGTGCAGACTCCGGGCGCTGAGCCGAGCGGAGCAGAGTTCTGCTCTGATCGCTCGCTCTGGGCTCCTGGCCTCCCCTGCCCGATCGCCCGCTCGGGCTCCGGTCCCTCCCCGAGGTCCACCGGACCTGGGCGGGAAGACTGAGCGGCAGGAGGAGGGGCGGGGCGGGGCGGGGCGATGCTGCAGCAGGTAAGAGAAAAATTACAGAAGACGAAGTTGATGGTTTCATTTGATTTCAGGGGAAACGAATGCTGATGAAATGATTTGCCGAGTAAACCTTTCATTCTGAACGTGACTCTAAAATTCTGCCATGACGCGGAGTGACAATAGAAAGACATCATTACTCAAAATTCACATTTTTTTATCTGTAAGACTTGTCCGTTAAAAAAAAAATCATATGCCTTGCTTTAATTTTGTTCTTTATGCAAAATGACTAGTGAATTTGCCAAGACTGCAAGGAAAGATTTTTTAAAAAAATATTCTCTGACATCCTGTGAACCGACACGGGGACTTCTGCAGGCGACCCGCGCGCGAGCCGGCGGCTCCTCTCGGGGGCCAGGAGCCTGCCGCCCGCCCGCGGGGTTCGGCCGCCCACCTGAGCCCCCTGCGCACACACGGAGGGCCCAGGGCAGACGTCCAGCCCGCCCGGCTCGGAAGCAGGAGCCCGGCCCCCACCGCAGGCTGCAGAAAGGGCCTCCTGGGCGGCAGCCGCACCACCGCCCATCCCGGGGCCGGCCATCTGCTGCCACTCACGCCACGCACAAGCAGACCACACAGGCGCGTCCACGACAGTGATGTGTAGAAATCCCTATTTATAACCGACAACATCGAAGCAACACTGGTGCTGAAGCCAAAGCACGGCGTCGTCACAGTACCATTGCACACCCTCCCTAGAGAGACGCAGTGGGCAGGACCCCGGCCGCCTGCCTTCTGTCCGTCCGTCCGTCCCCTCGAGGCCCGGGCAGTGTCAGCCCGCTGGAAAGGGCCGGCTGGCGAGGCTGGCGCAGCCCCCGGATGCAGCTTCCCGGCCCCGCCGGGGTCCTGCCTGGACACTGTCTGGGATGAGACACCGACGAGGCGTTCGGGGAGTCGTCTGCGGGGCGGGTCTCCTCGGCGTGACCTTCTGGGTGAGGCCGGCATCCCGGTTTCCGGGTGTAGGTTCCCCCACAAAAATAAAAGTCAGAAAAGTCAAAGCAGTGGGACGAGCATCTGCAGGCAGCGCGGCTCGGGCATCAGTCGTCGATCTTGACGGGCAGCGTCTCCGAGGGGCCGGGGGCCGCCGGCTGGGAGGTCAGCCACACCGCGCTCTCCTCCCCGCGGATCACCTTCTCCCACTGGCTGAGGTTGTTCCTAGGAGACAAGATGCGGGGACAGTTGCTGCTGAGACGCGGCTTCTGGGCCACGTTCCAGCAGGGAGCCACCCCGCCCTGCAATACCGCTCAGCACTGGGCCGGCAGCACCGCCCCGCCCCTGACCGGCACCAGCTGGCCAGCCCAGCAGCCGCCCCTACCTACGCCTCCCTGAGGACAGCAGAGCTCAGAGTCCCCAGGGGAGCCTCAGACCACCAGCGCCTGGGGGCCCCTGGCCCCCGACGGCAAGGGCAGAAAGCAAGCTCGGGGAGAGGTCATTGTGAGCCGGCCAGGAGGAGTCACAAAGCAATGTGCCATCGGGTTACTGCCGGGACAGGGGGTCAGGGGACACTGGGAACAGCCAAGGCAACTGGGCTCCGTGGGGCGCCCCTGCCACATGGCACGTGAGGCCTCGCGGCGGACTCTGTCACATACAAACAGCCTCCGTGAGCTGCACCTGGGGCGGACTCCTGAGTCTCCCTGTCTCGGTAACACTGCACCTGGGCTCTGCCTCGGACTCCGGCCTCGGTGCGGCTGCGAGCCACCCCCGAGCTTCCTGCCCTTCTCTCTCCACGCCTGCGCTGCCCACGCGGGGGCCGCGGGGCTCCTCGGGTCGGGTGCCGGCCACCTGGCAGACCCGTCTTGCCCAAACTCCTGGTTACAGAGAGCAGGCGACATGTCGGAGGGGCGGGGCTTGTGGGGTGAGAAAGGTGAAGGGGGTAAGCAAGCAAAAAAAAAACCCCAAAACAAACAAACAAAACCCCACAGACACAGACAAGGGAACGGTGACTGGCAGAGGGGCGGGGCCTGGGAGAGGTGGGAGACCGGCGGGTGGGGGGCGGGCGGGGCGGGGGGCGAAGGGCGGCGGGAGGAGACCAGGCTCAGGGCGGCGAGCGTGCAGCACAGCGCACGGAGGACGTGTCCCAGAGTCACACCCCAGAAACCACGCCAATAAATTCAATGAAAATGCAAATGAAAGATGGTGGCCGGTTATGGAGACACGGGAAGCTGGAACGGGTAGCAGACGGCTCCCATTTCTTTGACGGGCAGCGATCCCCGTCAGAGAGAGAGGCGACCCCCCTTCAAGGCCCCCGCCCCCCATCCGTCCTAAGCTGAGCTCCCCTCCCAGGCAGCCGCCTGCACAGACGTCACTGTCCTGTCTTTTCACGCACGGTGCCGGGGGGAGGGGGGCAGGGAGGGGGAGGAGGGGGTGGCTGACTCATCTTTTTAAAAAGTCTTGGTCCTTTCCGGTAACTGAAGGAGCCCGTGTTCCTGACCCGGACGTGGCGCCTGAGCACACGCACAGCCAGGAGGTGATGACGGCTCGGAGGGGAGACTCAGACACCCACCATGGGGACGCCACAGGCCAGCCGCCCCCGCCCGCGCGGGCCGTACCTGCAGGCGCGCAGCAGGGGCTCCGTGGGCGGGAAGATCCGCATGAGGGTGGTGTAGCAGGGGATGGCCACCGCGTTGTAGAAGCCGAGCTGCGCAGACACGGGCAAGAGACACAACAAAGCAGTTAGTGAGCGCCAAGCGCCGCCCGCCCTCCCCGGGCACGTCCTGCTCCCCGAGCCGGGCCGTACACAGCCCAGGGCTGGGCTTTGCTACGGGTACCGGGGCTCCAGACCCCCACCGCAGGGTGCGCTTCAACATGCGTTGAACGCACCCTAGACGTGGAACCCAGGAACATTTAAACCACGTGGGAAAGGCCACTGTGAAACCCCAGGGCAGCATTCGACGACGTCTACTGAGAGGAGAGTCGGGCTGTGAGTCAGGTGCTGCTCCCGTCTCAGGCCAAGTGCGGGGTTCTCCCGCAGGTGTGCCCAAGCCAAGCCACCACGCCCGCACACAGATGGCCTCGAGGTGAGGAACCTCGGAGGGCTGTCGTGTGTGCTTGGCGCCCCGCCGGCTTCCAGTGCCTGACCGCCCCCCCAGACGGCGCTCACCCCCTCCTGCCCTTGCTCCGCCCCACAACACGCCCCACTGCCTCGCCACGCTTCTCTCTGCAACCCAGCTTCACCGTTTCCCAGCTGTGGCACTTCCAGAACACAGGTTAGGGAACATTTTCACCGGGAATTCCGGGCCACCGGCAGGCGAATGAGGCTGACTCTGGCCGGCCTGCGCAAGGGCAGGTGTAGGAACAGGAGTCCTGCTAGGCCCCAGGCCACCCGACTGTTGAGCTCAAGTAACTGCCCAGCAGCTGACAAGCATGGACACGGTACCTCTGGCCCCTCGGGGGAGGTGACCACCAAGCCACATGGCTCACCAATACTTAAAACAAAAAACTTCAATGAGATGCACCAGAGGACCTGGAAGGGTGCAATCTACTCCGTTCCTCCCTGCTCTCTCCTGCCGCCGGCTCGGCCGGCCCGGCAACCTCGGTGGAACCGTGTCTGTGCTTCTGTCTGTGACCTCACGGCTCGTGGAGAGGTGCCGGCTCTAACGCAGGGCGGCCAACCTGGTGGCGTCTCGGGGCCACACCGGAAGAAGGGGACTTGTCTCGGGCCACACGTTAAATACACTGCAACATGCAACCACAAAAAATGTTCTCAGTGATGTTCTAACTAACCTCACGACTCTGTTCAGCCACATGCGGCCCCGGAGCCGCAGGCTGGACACCCCTGCTCGCAGACCTCCTGGAGCAGAAGATGCCAAGGCAGAGATTATACATTGGGAAGGAGAGCATTTTATCAGTGTGGCAAAGAATGGTTTCATAGTAATCACAATTTAGCATGCAGTTGGTAAGATAAATACTGGTTGGCCACAGAAGGGGTGTATTTCAAACTCTCTCACACCGTAAGTGAACCTGTCATTTTGGAAAAACACAAATGCTTCTCGTCACTGAGTGACACCGGGACACAGCCCGACCCCGGACGACAGGCTCAGCCCCCTGCGTGTCCTCCTCTCGGGGGGACTGCTCAGCGACCCAGACAGGGAGACACGGTTTGGTCCCTAGCTTAGGCTGTGTCACGAGACAAACTCCAGCTAAAGCCACAAGCGAGTGGGAAGGGGTGAGACAGTGAGAGGAGAGAGAGCCGGCGAACGGCAGGACGTCTCGGGGTGGGGAAGCCGTCCACCTCGCAGCAGGGCCGGCAGACCCAGCGCCGGATGGGGGGAGGGTCTCACCGCCCACTGCACTCACGGGAAAGCGCCCTCCCCTGTGGGGGTAAGCCACTGAACTCAGAGCGTGTGTGCCACCTGCACACTCGGCACGCCGGGCTCACGCAGTCCCACGCGCCGGCTAGGGGCACGGGGCCGCCGGGCACTGAGGCCACAGCCAGGCCAGGGCGCAGAGGACAAGCACACGCCGCCATCTCCACGCCAGCACCTTCCGTGCACAAACGTCTGACCTGACAGTCAGTGAACGTAAATAAAGCAGGAAGGTCGGAGAACTTATTCAAAACCACCATCCTGTGAATCATCTGAAATCATCTCTACCCTGGAGTCCGTAGGGTAATTATTGGTCCATGACCAACTTCCTCGGGTGACATTAGGCAATTCGTGGTTTAAAAAGCCGTCATCCTGAGGAGTCTATTACGCCGTACATGTACACGTGGGGGATTAACAAGGCCCATGAACTCTCCAGACACAAATGATTAACATAAACTATGTATGTTCATATATATTCCCTGGGGAGGGACTAATTAATGTCCATTTACGATGAGACAAAACTAAGCATGGACTAAGATACTACACTTATTGGTTAGGAAAGGCAGACCCAGTCAAAATCTATCATGTTTCCCTTCCCGCCAAAATCTTCATATATTCAATGACAAAGTATTTTCTGCTTGTTAACAAAACATTCACAATCAGCCTCATCCATCCCCTCAATTTCGAGTCAAACAGCGCACCTGCGCACTGCCACTCCGTCTGGAGGGGCTGCGACACCCTGGTTTCCGGGGGCCTCAGCGCCGCACTCCAACTGCCAGCCCTCCGGTGACACCACGGCCGGCCACACCCTCAGCTTCCTGGGTCACCGGCAGCCTCGGGGACCAAACCGGAGGCTGGAGATACCCCTGGGAAGCAAACTCCCCGTCGGAGCCCACGCTCCCGCCGCCACCAGCGAGACCCCCCCGAGAGCCCCGAGCACGGGCAGGCGCACTGCCGTGGGCGCGAGCACGGCCGAGGGGCGGCGTCCGCCGGGGCTCAGCCCCTCCCAGAGGAACCCCAGGGGCCTCCACACCCAGGGTCAGGCCCGGGACGGCCCGGGCACCGCTCGTAAAACCCAGGGTGGGGCTGCTCGTCCTTCCCGTGGGACCGAGGACCACCTCACGGCTCGGTTCCTACCTGGCCCTGGGGGACCTCGTTCCTCTTGTCCCTGTCCATCATAGGGATGGGCTGAATCCCCAGCTTCTTCATCTCGTCGCCCTGCAAGAGGTGGGGACAGTCGTGTGTTCTCGGCTCATCGACAGTGACACAAGTGGGGCACCCGAGAGTCCTTCCCTGGATCTCCAAACTTTCTGGGAAACGAGGTTTGTTTTGGCCGACTGACACAACAGGAGGTCCAAACAACGGTAACGTGTCATCACTTGGTTTTTACCCGCAGTCCCCAGCACGGAACGCCCAGAAACCCGGCTGACCCCCTGGGTCCGCGTGCGGGAGTGAGGAGTCCCGGGGAGAGGGGACACGGGGAACACACAGTGAAGAGAAACGAGAACAAAACACGGAACGACTTCAAGAACTTCCCCCCTTGCTTCTAAATGATACCCCCTGCGCTGAAGTGGGTGCAGCTAGGCGCTGGGGCTGCCGACCCGGCCTGTGCCGGTGAAGGTGCGGTGTAAGTGGCCACGCGCACCGTCCAGGGCGGCACTACGGGCGTTCACCGGAGATTCCCTGTGTCGCAGGCGGGGCCCGGTGACCTACACGCCTTCTGTCCCCCACGTCCCACGGAACACGCTGCATTCAAGCTGCCTTTCCGTGTGCAGGGCCCTGGTTCAGGTGGGCTCATTCGAACCCCAGGATGCGATTCCACTCACTCATAACTCAGAAAGTAAATTAAGGAGTAAGACCCACACTTCTGGTCACTTAGAGAACTCCGTCAAGAAAAGGCGTTCAACAACAAGTAGTGTGCATGTCAGGAGCATCACGAACTGGCCGCGGACTGGCTGGCCAGCCCAGTGACCCTGCCCGTGGCGCACGACAGCAAAGCTCTGGAACGCCTAACCGCAGGCGTGCGCAGCCGCGACGCTGGGTCCCTCGGGACACCCGCTCGGTGCCCACCCCACGGGAGACGGGCAGCAGTGACTTCCGAGTGAGGGAGGGCCAGGCCCACTGCTGGACAAGGGACACCACCGCACTGTCACCCGGTGACACCGTCCCCGGGCTCCGCGGGTGAGACCTGAGAACTCACACCCGCGTCGGAGCCTGTGGCAGCGACAGGCGGCCTCACTTTTTACCTGCGTGAACGCTCCACCCGTCACTGCGGCACCGACTGTAGTTTCTGGGACACCGTGTCACGTGAGCAACACGCGGTCACTGCATCACCGATACGTGTACCCTCTCCCCTTCCCCATGTCTCCGTATGATCCAACTCGCAGAGAAACCACGGACCTACCTCAGCCCAGAACTCCGCGTATATGTCGTTTGCCGTCAACTTTGTAACCGGCCACAGCTTGGTCACAGAACAAAGGTCGCAGGCGGTCATCATCAAGCCGATGACGCGGTCCCTAGAACACAGGAACGCAGACCTGGTCAGCGCCTGCGCGTCACGCCGAGGCCCTGCAGGGCCAGGGGCGAGGCGGGGGCGTGGGGGCTGCGTGTGACCGGCCCCGCCCTGTGACCGCAGGCGGGTGCCCCGGGAACAGTCAGCACCGCTGATGCTGATGCGACCAGACAGAGCGCTCGGTGCATTCGTGATGTCGTGGTTTCTGAAGCTCTTCGTGGTTCAAAGGGAGAACGTTTATTTCTGGGTTCGGGCCCCTGGAGGAACAGGTGTGTTATCTGTTTGCTCCACAGGTAAATTCACTTAAACAGAAAGAGTAACATGAAAACCACTCTTATTCTGTTTACGAATAATTATTTCACGACATTGAAATCATTCAAACTCATTCGGTCTATCTTTACCAAAAAAAACTGGCTAACTATTCTAGTAATCTTTATCTCATAAATATTCCGTACATCATAAATGTATGAAACAAAAAAACACGTTAGTAACTAACTGGACTCTGTGACTCGCCCGGGACCCACGCTCAGGCCGGGGACGGCTCCACAGGGCGCGGCCTGGGGTTGGGGACACCAGGAACCAGCCATCGCCTAGAGCTCGCCGCCACACTGCCTGGACAAGACAACTACACAGCACTTCCTTTACTCCTCGCCAGTAAGTCAGTCAACTTACATGACATACTTCTAATAAAGAAAGGCACTAATTTTTTACTCTTTAATGACAAATTAGTCACAACTTTTCCAGGTCTGTTTCTAAGTTGTTTAAAGGATTTTTCAGGTCTTTAACGTTATATCTTTGACGAGCCCTCCCTCTGTCTGCATTAAGGGAGGTCTCTGGAGGAAGAGGGGCCCGGGAATGTCTCGGAAGGGCACAGGTGTTTCCTGGGACTCAGTCAAAACAAAATAATAAATGGAACTCGTATCTCTGGGGGCTGCCATGACCACAATCTCTGGAAAGTAAATGAAAGATGAAGGTCTTAGCAGATACGGATGATACATTTCAACAGTCACAGTAATTACACAGTATGATCACGGTTAAAAATCAGACAGTTAGTGTTCAGACGGCTTACGGAGTCCCAAGAGTTGGTCAAGCTTATATAAAAAAATAAATTCAATTCAGTGGAAAAATGAATGATTAATTAAGTGGTATTGATTCAACACATCCGGAAGAAATAGTTATATTCATAAAACTGTAACTCCAAAAGAATTAAGCTCTAAAATAAGAACTAAGACTCTATAAATACACAAAGAAAAACTTAAGTACTTGTCACCTAACCTGAAAGACAAGGAAGGCCTTCCTTAGTAAAACAGGAAACAAGATTTGATAAAAAACGACAGGCATGGCCTCACGTCTGAAATTACATGTATTTGTATTCAAAAGAAAATCTGGACAAGGGGAGCAAAAGAAAAAATAAACAGGACACAATCAAACTGACAAGTTTCTGCACAGCAAAGAAAACCATCAACAAAATAAAAAGACAATTCGTGAAATGGGAAAACATACTCACTGATACCTCTGATAGGGGGTTAATATCCAAAATTTATAAAGAACTTATAAAACTCAACACCAAAAAAAACAAACAATCCAATTAAAAATGGGCAAAGGACCCAATAGACACTTCTCCAAAGAGGACACGCAGGTGGCCAATAGACACATGAAAAGATGCTCAACATCACTCATCATCAGAGAGAGGCACATTGACACCACAATGAGATACCACTGCATACCCGTCGGAATGGCCGTCATCAATAAATCAACAAACGAGTGCTGGTGCGGATGCGGAAAAAGGGACCCTCGTGCACTGTCGGGGGGAGTGCAGACTGGTGCAGCCACCGTGGAAAGCAGTGTGGAGATCCCTCAAAAACTTAAAAATGGATCTGCATTTTGACCCAGCGATCCCACTTCTGGGACTATATCCAAAGGAACCCAACACACTAATTCAAAAGACCATGAGCACCCCTGTGTTCACTGCAGCGTTATTTACAATCACCAAGATACGGGAGCAGCCCAAGCGTCCATCAGCAGAGGAATGGCTAAAACAACTATGGGGCATTCACACAATGGAATACTACTCGGCCATTAAAAAGAACATTTCACCCTTTGCAACAGCATGGATGGGCCTGGGGAACATTATGCTGGGTGAAACAAGCCAGTCAGAGAAAGACAAAACATTTTCTCACTCCTATGTGGGAAATGATGAACGAACTGAACTGGGACTCGCAGACAGAGAGCAGATGGCAGCTAAGGGGGGGAAGGGGGGGCGGAGGGATGGAGCGAAAAGGAAAAAGAGCTCACAGACGCGGACGGCAGTGTGAGGTCGCGGGGGGGAGCAGAGCACAAGGGGAATACATGGCAATGAAAAATACAATAAAAAATAGAAACAAAAACCATGTGAACAAGAACAAAAGAAAGACAATCTGAATATACTGTGCTGGCCAGAAACTTCATTTGGTTTTTTCTGTAAGACGGCTCTGGTGGGTCTTGAACTTCATGTGAAGCAGTTCGGTCAGACTGTATTGTGGCAGCTGTCATATCAGCGTGCGTTTTTTAAAACAACTTAGGCCGAAATTGTTGGAGTTTTGTGCAGCCCTTTTAATATTGAAAATAGAAGAAAGCAGGCAGCATTTCTGGCATAGTATGCTTCATTATTTCAAGAAAGGTAAAAATGCAACTGGAACACAACTAAACATTTGCGCTGTGTGCGGAGAAGGGGTGGTGACTGAGCGAGCGTGTCAGCAGTGGTCTGCGAACTTTCCCGGAGATTCTCCACGGGTGGGTGGACCAGCTGGGGTCCACGGCAACCCCATCGAGACGTTCACTGAGAACAATCAACCTTCCACCACGCAGGAGAGAGCCCACACACTCAAAAGATCCAAATCAATAACGCTATTGGTGAAAGTGAAAAATGTGTCTTTTATTTTTACAGAAAAAAACTAAACGGACTTTTTGGCCAACCCAGTAATTTTTGGAAAATTACCTTGAAAAAAATGATTGGTACATATAACAAATTTTAATCCTTAACCAAAATACACATTGCCAACCGATTTATAAAAAAGTAAACAATTCAACAAAAAGAAGGAGGAGCTATGAGGCGGCGAACACACAGAAGTAGGAACAGCCCTGGCTGGCGTAGCTCAGTGGATTGAGCGCGGGCTGTGAACCAAAGTGTCACAGGTTCGATTCCCAGTCAGGGCACATGCCTGGGTTGCAGGCCACGGCCCCCAGCAACTGCACATTGATGTTTCTCTCTCTCTCTCTTTCTCCCTCCCTTCCCTCTCTAAAAATAAATAATATAAAATCTTAAAAAGAAAAAAAGAAGTAGGCACAGCAGTCCGAGAGCACGGAAAGAACCCCCCCCCCCCAGCGCGGGAGCTGCCAGAGACCAGCACCGTCAACGGGACCGCTCCCCACCGCGTGAGGAGGTGCGTGTCTCCACCGTCCTTCCAGAGAACACAGTGTGTGTCTCCGTTTCTGGCAGCAGGTGTGTGTGCTGCGTATTTTTTACAGGACCGGCAGATGAGACTACATAAGCAAGAGTTAATGCATCATTATTTATCATGCAAAGATCTTTCTAGAACTTTGCATGACACGTGACAAATTTAAATAAATCTTGACATAGTCCAGAGTTATAGAACTCTGAAAAAAGCAATGTACCTGGCAAAACCACATTTTTGTTTTAAAGAGTGTGAGATGAAAAGTGTGTCCGCATATACACACACACACGTGCACACGCATTTACTGTGCACACGCAGAGCCTGGTGCCCCCGGGCACGGAAGGGCCCGAGCCTCCCCGCGCTGGGTCCACGTCCCCGAGACAAAGCTCTGACGCCCCGGGCTTTCCGCTCGGCTCTGACCACGCAGGGCGCGGGCGCTCCGAGGCCCGGACCTGGAACGCGTATTTGTAGACCAGTGAGGCGAAATCCCAGCGCCAGGCGGCAATCCCGCGAGCGCGGTTAGTCCAGTTTGGATCCTGAGAAACAAACCGTCTGCACTGGCTTTGGAGCCCGGGCGGCCCGGGCCGACTTGCGGCATGCAGCGCAGCTCGCCGGGGCTCCCCTCTGAGAGCACCCACCCCCCGTGTGGGCCCCGTGAAGTCCAGTCCATGTTCCAAACACCCCCCCCCAATACACTGCCAGAAATCCTGTCAGACGAAAACACCCAGGGTCAATCAAAAGTGCGCACAAAACAAAACATATACAGGTATATCTACATTGTTACTTTCAAATGCAAACATGTGCCATGCTACATTTCGGTCTCTGAACACGCATGTGCTCCAGACCCCGCTCCCTGGGCGCCCGGCCCCCCCCAGAGACCCGCCTTACCTGTGGGCCTGGTTGTTCAGGTTCAGCGAGCCGGCCTGGTACATCTCCTCCAGCTGCTTGCGGTTCCCGAAGTAGAGCGCCAGGTCGGTGGCGATGATGGCTTTGCGGATGATCTCCAGCACCTGCTCGTACTCGCTGGAGCTCAGCGTGGAGAAGATGTTGTGCCCTTCCAGCTGTGGGGGGGGGACACACAGAGACACCGCCGATGACACGCGCGCCGGCTGGGACCCCGGGACCCTTTCCTGCCCCGGGAACCAGAGAGTGGGTCCGCTGGTGGCGTCCAGCCCACAAACGACAGGTCTGGGGGACCACAGAGCTGTAACCAACTGGGTTCACGTGTTGGCCTCCCTCTGAGCTACACCCCCGCGGGGCTGTCCCTGCAGTGAACTATTGAAACCACGGCAACATCGTTTGCTGCCACAAAATCCCAGTGATTTAACTGCGGACCCAGTTTGGGGACATTCCTAGTAAGAGTAATTAAAGGACTGTAACATGCAAAATATTTCAGTAAGAACTTTTCTTCTTAAATTAAAGGTGGCAGTAATTTTTATCTTACACGGAAAGGTACTGGGCTGAGAGAGTCGCCCGGCCCCCGGCCCCCTCGGCCCCCCCAGCGGAGAGCCGCACTGCCGCCTCCGTGTCCGCAGGGAACCACCCCGCGGCCTCGGAGCACTGTGGCCCCGGCACCCGAGACACTGCCCACGGGCCGGGGCGTCGACACCCACCAGTCAGTCACCCACCCAGCGCGGAGCCAGACCCGGCGGGGCACGTCCCCCAACCACCCCGAAGGGAATCTTGTAAAAGCCTTCACCGTAATTCCTCCCTCTGAGAATTTAAGGTTTTTATTTGCAATCGAGACAAAAACGGGCCTTTGCAAACAGAAAGACCGAGATGATTAAGACGCGTTAAATCCGTGCGCTCACCCATCATTTCTAATCACTTCACCATCAGCCGTCCTAGCCCTGCCTCGGCCGATTCTAACTGTTCTCACTTGTCGTGGGCCAGGACCGCGGGCCGACAAACACACGGACGCTTGACATTACGAGTGTCACTTCCTTGCACACTCGGACACTCGGTAGTACACAGCCCACTCCCTCCTGCTCCGGCGTGAAGCCGCCGGTGCGCCGTTCGTCGCCTGCGCCGGAACCCTGCGTCGCCCCCTCTGCGGGGTCACGGGTGTCTAGCCCTCCCGCGGCAGGGCAGCCAGCAGAGTCCGTCCGGGCGGGCTCTTCTCCCCTCTGTCTCCCCAGCACTCAGTCCGTGAGACACTTGCACACGCAAGGTCTCGCTCTCAGACCCCAAGACGGAGGTGCGTGTCCAACATCTATCGGAAGCGGAGTGTGTGCCCAAACGCCCACCAGCTGCCTCTCCGACTGAAGGGGATCCGCGGGGACTGCGCGTCCCGGTCACCAGGGCGGCCACCCCTCCCCTGCAGCGGCAGCGGGCCGGCTGCAGGGGGGCGCCCGGCCAGGCAGGGCCCGGCTCACTGTTCAGGATGCGCGTGCGAGACGCTGGGCAGAGCCGTGCACGTGGAGGCTGGCTCGTCAGGGCGGGCACGGGACGGAGTCGGGCACGGCAGCCCCTCCAGGGCCTCCCAGCCCGGGCCCCCCACCACTTCGCTGCAGAACGTCACAAAGAGGGACTCTCTCCCCTGCACGCTACACCCCCTGCTCTGCTCTGGTGTGGTCACAGCCGGGAAGGGGCAGCTGGCCGCTCAGAGCCCGTGACCGGGGCTTCCCCGCCGTGAACGTGGGTTCAGCTGCAGCGTGTGGGCCTGGCCCGACTGCACCCGTCTGCGACCCGCAGGGCGCCTGCGGGTGAACCACGCGCAGGTCACGCATTTCTGTGCTTGTCCGCTCCATCACGGATGCGCCACCCCTCACGGGGTGCACCCGACTCTGGCGTGCGCTGAGTGTCTCTCTCTCTCTGAAACAGGGACGCTCTGGACTGGGCTCCGTGAACCCACCTGGGGACCGCGTTTGAGTGGGCCATCGGGGTCACGTGCGGGCCCCCGATTCTAAAGCGTGCATGGTCCGGGACAGACGAAACCCCGTGTTAGAGGATCTAGGCGTCCCACCAGCTACTCCAGATTCACTGTTTCCTTCATTACTTCTCCATGTGGAAGGCGGAAAAGGTCAGGACTTGGATCACGAAAAGTTGTAACGGCAACGTTTGACTTCCACTTCCAGCCGTGACAACGACGGACAAGTCACCGAACCTCCGTGCTACCCAGGACTCTCATCCGTAAGCCGGGAAGAGTCCCTGCCTCGCAGGGCCCCACGCCGTGGAAACCACGAACACGTGTGACCGTGCCGAGTCGCCGGCTGGCAGGAAGCCCCGGTCAGTGATGTAACGCCGAGGATGCGACCTATCGGAGGGACGTCTGCAGTCGGGGTTACGGGACAGCGAGAAGGAGACGCCAGCAGGCAGACACGCCCGGAAGTGAACTTGGTGGCCCAAGGCTGTTTCCGTTCGGAACACATCTGTAGGCCGGGACAGACGGAAGCCAGCCTCTGTGTCTCACACACACACTCGGTTTTCCGTGAAGGCAGCAATTCGGTTGTAACCGCAGCAGACAACAGCAACTCCTCCCGGTGCAGTCAGACCGAAGGAACGTGTCAGCGGTGTCCGGGACACGTCACCGCTGGAAAGGGCAGGGAAGATGCCACGGGCCCCCAGCGTGTGGGGCGTAGAGGTGACCTTCTTCAGATCTGAGCATATCTCGAAAGCCCTGGATAACTCAAGGTAAGTGGAATATTGAGAAATTTTTCTTAATAAGGAGAATAGTCATTCCTAATTGGTCTGTTTCCTGAGATTTTGACTTTTCAGTACTTAACGTGGGATATTTACAGCCAGCAAGGGACAGAAAAAGAGTAGTTTCATTTTCCCAAACAATCATTAGCATCCCTGAAGGAAACAGGATAAAAAATGCACCTGATGTTCTGGCCCCAGCGGCTCCGGCAGAGTCACCGCTGACGAGGGGGACGTTCGGGCGAGAACACACAGCCCGTTTCCTTGGCTGTCACGGTCCCCACCAGTGGCGTCCCTTCCCAAGGGCAACCCACTCACACGCCCCCACGGAGCCCCCCTCGCCCGCCGCCCCACAGACTGATCTCCTCACTCCCCCGCGGTAGCGCCCACAGTGACACGCGCTCAGTCTCCTGCCCACTGTTCCACCACAGCTGAGTTCTCTGCCTCCCCACATCTGCTCTCACGGGACCCCCTGGGCCCACACGCCCAGACCCACGGGTCAGCAGCCGACGGCTACGGAGGCCAGTGCAGGGCAGGGACAGTCCTCCGGGCCCGCGACTCAGAGCTGAGGAAAGCTCACTGGTCCACAAACCACGCTACAACGGGGAGCTGCCGAGGCACACGCCCGAGCCAGGGGCTCGGGGCCACCCCAGGGCGCGCTGTGGCCCCAGCCGCGTCACAGAACAAGGTCCCGGGATGCGCTCCTGTGGGAGCTCAGCCGGGAGCCGAGGAGGGCAGGCGGGGGAGCCTGGCCCAGCAGGGGGTCGAGGCGGTGGCCAGGGGGACAGGCGGCCCGGAACTGGGGGCGCAGCAGGCACGGCAGGCCCGGATCAGACGGCTGCACGAGCAACACGTGCGTGTCTATTGGAAAAGAGAAGTGGTTCGGAGGCCCAGGAGCCCCTGGCGGCTGTCACTGGGAAAAAGGACGCGCTCGGACAAGCACTCGGGAGGCGGACCTGGGAGGCGCCAGCCTAGAGAAACGGCGGTCAGGGCGGGGAGGGGCGGTCAGACAGACACAGTGACAAAGGCCCAGTTCAGGGCGTCAAGCGGGAAAGCCCTGGAGGGACACGCCTGCGGGTGGGCCCGCTGCCCTCCCCCAAGGCCAGCGTGGCCGGCACACGGCCCTGCCGCCAGTGCCCACGGGACGCGGCCCCGACGCCCGTGAGGCCACGGGCAGCGCAGCGGAAGGCGAGAGCACGAGCTTCTCTGCCCAGTTGGTCCCGTCGGCTCCTTATTTCACTCGTGACTTTATCTGTCCCCCTGCCTGCTCCGCAGGGACGGCCCCCTGGTGCTGGCTGGAGCTGTGGGGGACGAGTCTTCCTGCCAGGTGACACAGGCTGGGACACCGGGGAGAGCCACGGCCTGGTGGCAGGGTGCGGGCCAGCAGGGCAGCGGCAGGACGGCAACAGGGCCGGGCAGGGCAACAGCGCTGTCCCCCCTCCCCCCCGTGACGGACGCTCCAGGACGGGGACCTGCGCTCGCTCTGCCACCGCTCGTGCCCGCCCATGGGGGGGGGGGCCCTGGGGGGCGCTCAGTAGACACACCTGCTACTGGACTGACTGTCAAGGGGCGGTCAGACGACTGAGGAGGAAACTGCTCCGAGACCGACTGTGAGCGTGAACGCAGAGTCGGCCGCAGGGTGGGAGCTGCCAGGGAGAGACGGAGCCGCAGCCCCGGGCTCCGCGGGCCCAGGTACGTCCCGCCCCATCACGGCCGGCACGGAGGGTTTGGTCCGTCTGCTACTCGGATTCAGCGTCTGACCAGGGGGCTCATCGCCGGGACCTAGGGCGACCCCCAGCCCCCTGCTCTGGCCCTCGACTGGGCCCTCGTCTTCTCCGAAAACGGGCGAACACGGCGCCCTGGGCGTGGCCTCTCCAGTGGCTGAAGTCCCATGTCCAGTGCTCGGGAACGACTACCCTCCCGCGACTTTTCAGACGCCGGCGGCTTGCCCCGACGCCCTTCTGCCACGAGCTCCTGCGCCCTGCTCCTCCTGGGAGCGCTGCATCCACCACGGACCCGGCCCACAGAACCCACGGAACCCACACCGCTGAGGGCTCACTGCCACGGCACGGGCCACGGCGGGCCCGGCGGGCACGTCTCCCCAGCGTGGGCTCTGCCACGCCGCAGCACACGCTTTCTCCTTCACCCTTCTTCCCGCACAAACAGCGCGGCACGAGCGTGAGGCCACAGGAGGCATACGCTGACATGAGTTTCCACGTCTGTCTGTTTACAAAAAGCACGTTTTACACACCTGTGTGCGTACACACAAATACATACACCCACACAACCCTTCCCGCCTGCTGAAATCTCTAGGTACGCATATCCGTCTGCGTCTGTCCGTCCATCTGTAGATGGTTGTTAAAAACAAAAAGAGGAAGAACTGGCGTCCGGGGCCGCTCTCGGGGACAGAACCGGCCTCGCGGGCGGCAGGCTCAGCAGGGTGCGACTCGAAGGCAAGCCGCCCGCATCTCCTGTGCCCGTCACCCGCTCCGGCGGGTCCTCAGGGCAGCACCTCGCGTCTGCCCCCCCTCGCCCAGCTCCTCGGCCGCACAGGCCCCCTGGGCGGGGCTGGGAGAGAGCGACAGGCGGGGGAGGAGAAGCTAATGGGGTGCAGAGGGAGCCCCGGGTGACATGAGGAAGCACGGCCCCTCAGAGACACCTGGTGGCCGGTCCCTGCCGAAGCCACCGCCCAGACGTTCCCGACCCTTCCCCCCACCCCGACACAGGACCTGAAGGCCCGCGAGGGTCCCTCTCCCTGCACCGAGGACGGACAGTGAGAGGAAGAGGAGGGGCCGCCATTCCCAAGTCAAACAGGAGCCTGGGTAACAGTCGTCTGCCTGCGAGAGGGCCCAGGTGGGAAGGCCTGGCTCAGGTGAGTGTGGGGGAGAGGCTGAAAGTGCAGGGGGGACACAGGTATTTCAGTGCAGTGACATGTGTCCTTGCCTAGATCCACCACCAAGAACACCCTAAATGCAATCAAGTGATGCAAACTTAAAGACACAGAAAAATTAAAAGGACCTCAGGAGATTGCCTAAGATTATCACTCAACGCGCCCTGGTTCAAGGCGACGGGAACCCACGTGAATGGAATTCAACGACGTGAACCTGTGCCGTGGGGCACCAGGTTCTCAAACATCAAACGTGGCCGCCAGACACACGCAAGGTCTCCATGCGGGCCCCGGCCCAGACCCACAGCGCCCGCGCGCCCGCAGCCGCAGCGCCGCAGTGGGCCAACCCAGCCGCCGCACCTGCAGGATGGACACCGTCTGGGAGAAGTGGTGCTGCTCCATGGTGGACGTGGAGTAGAGGGCGGCGAGCGGGTGGTCGAACTTCTGCAGGTAGCTGTTGCTGAAGCCCCTGTGGTCCAGGTCGTGGCACAGGCACGCGATCAGCAGCCCTTTGCGCTGGAAGACAAGGCGGCACGACGCAGGCCTTCAGGACCCAGAAGGGGGGAGGGAAGCGGGGTGGGGGGCCGCCGCCGCTCATCACACCGCACACTGACCTCCGCCCGTCCGGCGGCAACGTCCCCCTGGGCTCCGGCGTCCTAAGCAACCTAGCCTGGGTTGGGCTCCTGGCTGCTCTGCTTGCGAACCCGAGAGCCAAGGCATTCCCGCGTCTCCCCGCTCGACTAGGGAGTGAGTGCGGGCGGTGTCACAGGAAAGCAAACGCTCTAGTCCACAGGTGAAACAGAGCAGCCCGAGGAGAGGGCGGGGCCGGTCCTTCGTCAGAAACGTGCTCACGGCTCCGTGCTAGCGAAGCTAGCGTTTAATTAAACATTATGGCTACGACAAGGAAATCACACAGGGTGTGCCACACCCTGGGCTGCAGGGCGTCCCCGAGGGCCACAGGCGCTCAGGGACGCGAAGGCCAGACAGGGAAGCAGGGGGCTCTGGGAGAGGAGGGCCGGGGGCAGGGGGAGTGGCCGGAGTGCATGGCGGCAGGTGAGCCGTCCCCAGGAGTGCGGAGGGCCAGGAAGGTGGCCCGGGCACAGCGGGGAGAGGACAGAGGAGGACAGAGGGGGAGGCTGAAGACCACTCAGGCCTTGTGTTCTGCCTGAGCCAGGGACAGGGACAGCAGTCTCTGCATCAGGAGAGGACAGCGCCCCCCTCCATGGACGGATGTCCTCTGAAGCAGGACGCCAGTTTCATAGGACGGGGGGAGGGGACTCGGTGACGCTTTCCTGGCTTCGCTTGGGCCAGCGCTCGGCAGCCAGGCCGGGCGGGGCTGAGGGGCCCTGGCCCCCGGCACACAGTGGGGCACAAGCACACGAGGCCGCCCCGGAACCTCCCCAGCCTGAGCCCAGAGTTCCCAGCGTGGAACTGTCTCCGGGGGTGAGACACCGCGGGGCCGCTGCCCACCCCGCAGAGGAGCGCGGGCCCTGCAGGGGCCCAAACTGTCACTAGCGCTCTGGCTCTGGGGCAGCCAAGCAGCAGGCCGTGTCTCCTCATCCAGGGCACGGGGCCTGCGGGAGAAGCGCACTTTGGCCCATCCCTTCAGAAGGCTTAACGAGGAGGAAATCGCTCTTTCCTCGGGGGTCATTTCAGTGAAGGTGGAATCTGTGCATCTACACTTCCTACACAAACTAACGCGATAGATCTTAGGGGGAGCACTCTACGCCACGTGCTTCTACCGATCCACTGAGCCCCGTCTGTCCTGGAACACGGCGCACGTCCGTGCCACACACGTGTTCCGGACGCGGGTGCAGAGCCTGCCGGGCCGCCGGGCTCGGGGCGCGCGCACCTCCAGGTCGGTGAAGAGCCCGCCGTTGTTCTGGAGGATGGCGTACATGCAGTGCGCCACGGTCACCGCGTGCTTCCAGTTGTGGTACGGGACGCGCCGGTAGTTCTTCTTCACGGACATGATGAAGCGACACAGCTTTTCCAGCTCGAAGCTGCGGGGAAAAGACACGGGGGAGGTGCCGGCCGGGAGTCAGCGCGCTGCAGCCAGCCGGGTGCCCGCGCCCAGACCCCACCCTGCGGACCGCGAGGGTCTCCAGGGACCCCGGTGTCCCGGAGCCTCCCTCACCGCCTCCCGGCCAGTTCGCACAGGAGGCCCTGCGTGGCTCTGCTCCGGCCCGCGCACCACGGAGCGCCCCAAACGCAGGCCACCATCCTGCTCAGAGCGCTTCCAGCCAATGTTTTCCAAAGAGCACAATCAGACGCGCAAACCCCAGATGTTCACGGGCGCGCCCCGAGAATTGTCCTTCCGAAAGGAATCCAGACTGCCCAGGTCCACAAACTGTCAGCAGCAAATGACTGTACTCTGACACGGTCCATCACAGAGGTGACATTCGTGCTATCCAGTGTGGTGACTGTGTTTTGTTTTACATTATCGTGTACTTATGCCCACTTAAGGGTCAGCAACTTTCTCAATGGATTTTATAGCAGCTTAAAAGCACATCAGTACTAAACAGGGCTCTCTGAAACACCGAAGAAACGACAACGCAAAACACTTCCAAACACAGGTGACCTGTCTTTCCCCCACTGCAAATGTTCAAATGCCCTTCAACCCCAAGGCGTGTCATTCTAAGCGTCCCAAACGGCCGGCCCTTCAAGGGCCACCGGAGGCCTCCCTGAAGCCAGCTCCTCAGCACACGGCCTTTAAACAGGCACTGAGGAAAGTCGCTGGCAGACGTGGGAGAGAGCCCAGACACTGGCAGGAAATACAACGTCCCTCTAGAGCCACGGACAGCCCCCATCAGCCACCTGAGGACGCAAGCAGCAAAGGAAGAAGAAAACCGCTCCCCAGGCAGGGCCGGCCGGGCGGGCAGGCGGGACAGCCACTGGAGGCAGCGCCAGCCCTCGGACCAGGGGACTCGCTTCCCTCCCACCGAGTCCGACTAGCACGCGACGTCAGCTGATGCAAGCTGTGCGTCTCTGTGCCCAAACACACGCCCACACAGCGGGCAGTGATGTCTGAGTGACGCCCCCGCTCTTGCAGAGAATCGGCCTCTGTGTGCCCAGCCTTGATTGTAAGGGTCGCCTGGCTGGCTAGTGGCCGGCAGCCAAGGGGCAGCCGGGCTCTCGGGGTGATAAGGAAAAGGCCGTGGCTCGGTCCGACAAGCGTGTGAGCCTTTGTAACCTCAAACATTTAGAAAAAGCCATTTACACAGGGCACGTGTTAGCGGTCAATCACGAAAGCAGCAAGGCGCAGAGGGAGGGGAGGAAGAGGTCGTGCAGTTCCCCCGTTTAAAAAGGGAGTTTCAGCCCTGGCTGGCATAGCTCAGTGGACTGAGCACAGGCTGCAGACCAAAGCATCGCAGGTTCGATTCCCAGTCAGGGCACATGCCTGGGTTGCAGGCCACGGCCCCCAGCAACCACACACTGATGTTTCTCTCTCTCTCTCTCTCTCTCTCTGTCTCTCTCTCTCTCTCTCTCTTTCCCCGTCCCTTCCCTCTCTAGAAATAAATAAATAAATCTTTTTTTTTTTAAAGGAATTTCCAGGCTGTCCCTACCAGGATGTCCCACAGGAGCGGTGGATCATGTAGACAAAGATGCCGGGCCACATGTTTTCAAAGGGACCGATGTCGAAGTGGAACCTGGAAGGAGACGAAAAGGCTCAGCTCGTGCCCGAACCCAGCCGGCAGGAACCCAGTGATGAGGAAGGAGCGCCACGCAGCCCTGCCCACCGGAGAGAGGGGCGGAGGAGGCTCGGGGGCCCAGCCGCCTCCACCTCGGTCACGTCGCTCCTGCGTGTGGAGGAAACCCCACACGTTCCCCTGGGCACCTAGCTCAGTGCTGGCTCAACTGCCATCACTTAATTTTCTATGGAACAACCTGTGAACAAAGGACGCAGTGGTTACTGCCAGAGCGACGAGAAAGTGTGAAATACAAAAACACTGTAAGGAATAATACACATACATCACACAGCTTTTAGATACGGTGAGGAAACCTTATCAGCCTTTATTTTAGAGGTGAGAATTATTCTACTTCCTACTGAAATCCAGAGAAAACCTTCACAAACATAGACATTCAAAATTATTACCTATTTTCCATGTGCTAATTGAGTCAGCAAAGAAGGAGCTCACTGGCTGGGGTGTAAAGACACAACGAATGGGGCTCACTGATTGGTTGTGGAGGGAAGACACAAAGAGTGGGGCTCACTGATTGGCTGCAGTGTGAAGACAAAGAATGGAGCTCATTGACTGGCTGCAGTGTGAAGACAGACAAAGAATGGAGCTCACTGATTGGCTGCAGTGTGAAGACACAAAGAGCGGAGCTCATTGATTGGCTGTGGTGTGAAGACAGACAAAGAATGGAGCTCACTGATTGGTTGTGGTGAGAAGACAAAGAACGGAGCTCACTGATTGGCTGTAGTGTGAAGACAGACAAAGAATGGAGCTCATTGATTGGCTGTAGTGTGAAGACAGACAAAGAACGGTGCTCACTGATTGGCTGCGGCGTGAGGCCTCTGGGATGGTCTACCCTCAGTGTTTCCACGTCCTGACCGTAAGGCTTTCCCCTCCCGGGCCCCCGGGGCAGTGAGTGAGACCGTCTCAGTCTGACAGCCTCCCTGTGGGGTTGGACCACACTGTCTTCCCAACTCTAAGGCCATTGTCAGCCCTGGGTCACCTCTGAGAGTCTTCTGTGCAGTCGAACAGTGTTGGCCTTCACTTATGATGGGTGTGCGGGTTATCACACAGGTTCCACCCCCGGCAATCACACGTATTATTCAGCGTGGTCAGAAAACAAAGCATGAAAGCTGGATTCACACGAACGTCTCAAATTTAATTTGCAAATTTAAATCTATGCAGACATGTAAACTTTTAGATATCTGATACTGCCATTCAAATATCAGATATTACATAGGGTCAAGTATATAAAAGACTAATGAAAAAAGCAACCACTTAGGCTAGTTCATTTAAAACTTGTGCTCAGCCCTGGCTGGCGTAGCTCAGTGGATTGAGCGTGGGCTGCGAACCAAAGGGTCGCAGGTTCGATTCCGTCAGGGCACATGCCTGGGTTGCAGGCCATGACCCCCAGCAACCGCACATTGATGTTTCTCTCTCTCTCTCTCCCCCCCCCTTACCTCTCTGAAAAATAAATAAATAAAATCTTTTAAAAAAATTGTGCTCAGATTATTTTTCAAGATGACGACATCTGAACAAGCTGTAGCCTAAGATCTGGAATGCCGCCCTGGGAGGAGGAACCAGCGCAGTGAATGCGCACAGGCAGCCTGGGGCTCAGGGGTCCCAGCTCCACGCCGCGCCCCCCCCGATAGGGCGGCTCGGGCCCAGCGCCCCCCACCCGCCCCTGGCTGGGAGCTGCGCCCGCCCAGTGCACTCACAGCTCGATCTCCTTGCAGAGCCGCCCGGGCAGCGAGAAGCGCATGAGGCCCTGCCACTCCTCCGCGGTGCAGATGCTGTGGTAGGACAGCTTCTCCATGGTGACCCGGTAGATGCACTCCGAGTGCCGGATCCGGTGGTACATCTGGGCGGTAGACCCCGGGAAGAAAACGCGTGTCACCGAGGTGCGGCCTCCGGTGCGAGCGCGGCAGGACCACCGCCATCAAACCACGGCCCCCGCCCACTCGCCGCCTCCCCTGCCCGTTTCTGCCCACTTCCGCGCGGGCTGCAGGCGGGACTCAAACCGCTGACCCCGGGGACCCTGCACCCGGCCCCACGCGGGGCTGCCCAGCCGAGGGGACTGGGGACGCGCGGGTCTGCGGTTTCCCAGCCGCCCGGCCGGCCGGGCCTTCTGTTAGGACAGCCTGGACAGGTGCACACGGAGACCAGGTGCGTCGAGAGGCAAGCCGTTTTTCTCTCCTTTAAGTTTTTTAAAAACTTATTAATGTTAGCCTTCTTTTAAAACACTTAATGTGACCTGGCTGGCATAGCTCAGTGGATTGAGCACAGGCTGCGAACCAAAGTATCGCAGGTTCGATTCCCAGTCAGGGCACAGGCCTGGGTTGCGGGCCAGGTCCTCAGTGGGGGCCACGTGAGAGGTAACCACACACTGATGTTTCTCTCTCTTTCTCCCTCTTTTACTCTCTCTAAAAAAATAAATAAATAAAATATTTTTTTAAATACTTAATTTAATTCTTAGGGATCTCAAAGTCCTCTAGTCCAGGGAGCTTCTCAAATGTATGTTCGTGAAATCCTTTGCTGCCAAAGAATTTTGGGGATGCGTGCCCAATAACTGTCCATTCCTTTAGCAACTGTGGGCACACGCACTGTGCTAATATGCCATTTATAGTACAAAACACGCACTAAAATAGAAGTTCATAAAAGTATGTATTTTTTATGTTTTACTTGCTGAATGAGACCTTCTGCTATTACTGAACAATGACATATTTTAAGTGAAAACACTGTAATGAAACATACATTATCAGTTATCAAGCTGTTTCTTTACTACTCTGTAAACTAGCGATATTCACGTCTGCTTCGGTTTAATCCGTTTCAGCGCTCGGACCTCCAGCGGTAGTGTTTGGGAAGACCGCGCCAGGAACCAGGCGGAGTCAGAGGTGGTCCCGGCTGCTCACAAACATCCACTTTGAGCTTTGTTCCCTGACAGGTGACATTTTGGTTGAAATTGAGGTACATTTCCATTTCCACTACTGTCTACCAGTTAACCCTGAAAACCACTCAGCCGCATCTCTTTCAACAGGGGTGGGCCACGGCAGGCTCACGGCGGGGAGCATGCCGAAGAGAGAGCTTGCTCTCGCACTACCACTCACGAAGCATCGTGGTATTTCTCCGCACGGACGATGGCGAGCCCACCTCTGCCAACCTCTGTGCGGTCAGACAGGTGCGACACCAAGAAACGGCGTGCACGCGTCTGTCCCCAGAGGGCCGTCTTCAGGACGTGAGCGTGTTTGGAGGAGCAACTGTTTCGTTTTCGACGTTAACGCCACCCGCTGTGTGGACTGGGGCAGACCGCACTCTCCACGTCCATCTCCTCAAGGGACACAACGAGAACCTCACTCGGGGCCACCGTGAGACTGAGGTCGGAGCGGCCAAGCGCGCAGGGCTCAGAGTGGCCGCCGTGTGCCCACTGCCTGGAGCAGAAAAGACACTCCATCCTTGGTTGCCGGGGTCAGGAATGGTTCAAGGTAGAACCATGTATTAAATGTGTCCTAGTCGACCGCTTTCATCCTCATGATGATTCCGTCCATGTGCCTTTAACGTTAAATGTCTTCTGATCCAGAATCACCTGTTCTTAAGGAGTCCTCTTTCTGGGCAAAAAATGTAGCAGATACTACCATCCTTCCTGCTGGCTTTCCGAATCACCTAACTGTTCCTTTCAGATCATAGTATGTGTGAGAAAATTAACTGATGGTTTTAAAACACTTTCCGCCTTTTGAAATGGTTATCTTTCCATCGACACACCATCCATCACCTGTTAGAAATGATGTGGGAAGTGTCGCAGGTTCGATTCCCAGTCAGGGCACATGCCTGGGTTGCAGGCCATGACCCCCAGCAACCGCACATTGATGTTTCTCTCTCTCCTTCTCCCTCCATTCCCTCTCTAAAAATAGATAAATAAAATCTTAAAAAAAAATGAAGTGGGGAGGTGGATCACAAACCTCGCCCCCCCTTTAACCCCACAGAAGGGGTAGAACCGCAGAGAGCCACGGACGAAGGAAGACAGAACACAGACATAGCGAGTGTGTCCAGGGTGAGTGTGCCCGGCCTCTCCGACGGGCCTCTCAACCGAACGAGACCACTGAGCCGGACGACGGCGACCACGCTGGGGACGAGGAGCAAGCCACACGCAGGGCACATGCCCCCACCGAGGACACGGCCACCTGCTGCTCAGGGGCAGCAGCACCTGCACTCCCAGGGCCTGCGGGAGCTCCCCCGTGTTTACGGTCTACGTAGCGGCCTGTTCCTGGGTTCAGCCACAGCCCCCTCCTCGGGCAACAGCAGGTTCCGGTCATCCGTGCTCTCACGATTCTTGATGGTTCTCTGTGACGCTGCCTGGCGCGGTGGTTTCCTTCACACACGCCGACAAAGCCCATACGGCACCCTAGTGTCCCCAGGTGCACTAACTACACTGCCACGACCCCGATTTTAACTCTCACTGTCAATGTCCGCTTTGGAGTATTATCTCACGGTAATCGTGAAAATACTCAAAGCAGAAATGCATTATATTAGAATGCACTTTTGTAGGGTAATGGGAACACAGTCCAGAGAGGGAAACGATGCCAGCTTGTACAATCGTAACAGCCTGTCATTGTTTTTTTTTTTAAATGGACTGTACAGGGGTCAAGCTGCTACAATACTCACATTCCACTAAATTCACTTAAAAGATGATGAAAATCAATATTCGGAATATGCCGGAAATTGCTGTCTCTGCAACTTTCAAGCTACACAGGCGTGCACTGTCACTATCTTTATCGATGAGGGAGACACGGGAAATGTCTGAAGCAAACAGGTATCTGAAACCTGCATCAGCTCATTTCCAGGGAGCCACGCACGGTGCCTGTCCCCAGGAGAGGCCCCTGGTGCCAGCACAGGCGACAGAACGCGTGCTCACGAGCCTGCGCCCACTGAGCGGCCAACAGGGGTCTCCGGGCGCTGACGCACGCTTTTCGCCGTTTCTGTGCCCAGTCTTCCTCAGGCTGTTTGCGTCAGTTACCGTGTTCATCCCGCAAAACTTCTATTTCCCACGAAGGCACTCTCTCTAATTGCTAAGGTCATAACTCCCATTTATTCTGATTGAGCTTTATAAAAAAGGTTAATAAAAGTCTCCCCAACTTCAGAATTCCAGCAACATCACTGAAGGATCTCTGGCGTTTATAGCGTACTGACTGCTCACGTCGTTTAAAAATACTAAAATGTACAAGATGATCAAGCCAACTCCTTCACAGTGAGAGTTCGTAAAACAAACAGCAGCTGTTCTGTCATTCAGGAAACAGCCAAGACCGCTGTGGGGACTCCTGGGTGACGCCCAGGAGCACCCGACAGAGGCGCCGGGCAGGGGCAGCCCTGTTCCTTGGAGAACCCCCTTGGCCAGAGTGCGGCGCGAGCCCTAGCCCTGGCGCAAGAGCCGTCCCACGGCGCGCACCGCAGGCAGGGAGGGAGGCGCCAGAAAGCATTCCCTAGTAGATCCTGCGAAACACCGACCTGGTGCTAGAACACCTTACCTTTATTCAACCTCATTTTCAAAAATAAATTCACACCTCGAAATAAGTGCAAAATACTCGATTTTTTTTTCTTCCAAGGCATTTTAAGGCTTTCCCTAAAATATGAGCCACCAGGAATCAATGCTTTCAGGTTATAAAGGAAACTTATGTGGGAAAGAAACGCTGAACTTCTCGAGTGCAAAGGTTTGAAGATTAACCCTGAGTAGCAAGACAGGCATGCACAACCCCGCCCTTACGTTGGCACAGTGTAAGGCTAAAGCACAGAAGACGGCAAACATCTTGAAGTTGTTCTCGTCCGTTTTGGAGAAGGCACTGCCGCTGATCTTGTTCACCATCTGCACCACGCCGATCACGCTGCCGCGGCTCACGATGGGCATGCACAGGATGTTGCGGGTGGTGTAGCCCGTGTACAGGTCCACCTCTCTGGGGGCGCGTGGAGCCCACGGCGGCACAAAGGAAACAAACAGAAGAGACAGATGATAAACCACGAGTTCCACCCTGAGTCTCAAGTCGGTTTTGCAGTTCACACGCTTCTGTTACCACTAACTGTGATGGACTAACTGTTGCCTTCTGAATTCAAGGGCCAGGTGGCACCTGAAAGTGACGTATTAAAATGAAACCTTTTCAAAAAACGTTTCTGACCAACTTGTCCTTTTGTTTTTCCAAGAGTTTCCAGAACAGGACCCGGAAGGCCTCAGCTCGCTGGTCGGCGTGAGTGCCCAGCATCACGAAGAGAACGCACGCCGCCGATCCAGAGGAAAACGCGGGCGGTTTGGTGCGCGAGTGTGACCCTTCGACCCCGCTCACGGCTCTGAGGGGCGGAGCCTGCTCGGCAGGCATGAACGGGGCGCAGGCCGGGCCAGCACAGTCCCCCCCCGCCCTGAGGCAGAGCTTTCCCGGGGCACGGCCACGCCTCACCGGACGGCCAGCAGCCCCCACCAGCGCCGCCGTGGCCTCACGGCAGCAGCACTGCTGTCTGATCCCTAACGGGAACGGCAGGCTTTGACTCAGAGGAGGTGCTGGTGGGAAAGAAGACCCTCTGCCCACAGGCGGCAGGGTGACCACAGGCCGCGGGTCAGGCAGGCCCACTGGGCTGCACAGCGCCCCCCAGAGGCAGGTGCCTCTGAGGCCTGTCCAGGCGATGCACGCGGAGTGGCCCAGCCCCGTGACCGCTGAGCGCCACTCCAGGGTGTGGCGGCATCACACTTTATGTGTCCATTCACCAGGTGATGGACGTTACGACTCAGAGCCGTACCTGTGACTTACAGACACCTCTGCCTGTTGCGTGTGCACAGTCTGGTCATTGTTATTGGCGAGATACCACATGCTGCTGTGTGTGATGCACACCCACGATTAGGGGCGCATCATACACACGATATCATGCCCACGGTATGTAATCATTATACTCCTGTATAGAGTGCGTCCTTATTTGCCCCTTGAAAATTTGGGCAAAAAGTACACGTTATCCACAGCAAAATATGGGACCCAGCAGTGGAGCTGAGTATAGTAAGGCACGCTTAACTGTACAGGGAAGCACGAAACCGCTTTCCAAAGGGGCTGCGCCATCACCCACTCTTGTCTGCCAAGCCCGGGCCACCCTGCCCCCGGCTTCCTGGCCGGCCTGTGCTCACGGCGACCCCCAAGAACTGCAGACACTCAGGCTGGTGTGCGGCGGGGCCCCTGTCGGTGACACTCACACTCCCTCACGCTGAGCGTGCTGCCCTGGGTCCGATGGCCACCCGTGTCCCTGCTCCTGTGAAGCATCTGTTAAAATCCTGTGACCCACTTACCCCAAATCGGGTTGACTTATTGTTAGGTGGGAAATGTTGTTTGTATCTTCTGGGTGCAAGTATTTTGTCAGACTCATGCTTCGTAAGTATTGTCTCACAATCTGTTCCTGGCCTTTTCGTGTTCTCAAGAGTGGAACGACACATTTTTCCATATAGGTTTTGTAAAAGGAGATAAAAGTATTTCCAATGTTTAAGCACTAAAATAACAAGCTTAGGTATTTTTTTTTAAATTGAGATCTTCAGCATAGTCTTTGGTGATAAGACATATGACTAGGAGACGTCTGTGTTCATATACAAGTGGTGTATATTTGACATTATCAAACACCTGATAAAACATCCTATTATTTATTTTATTTCAGTGTCTCTTAAAATAAACCGAGTATTCAATTGAATGGAACAGTCTAGACAAAATATCTGAACTACTTACTCCTGAATAATCATGGCGTCGATCTTAAGACTCAAGTGCTGGAGACTTGCTGAAATTACATGTATGTAATTTGGCTTCTGGTTCTCCCGAGAAACCCAGGACGGCACAAAGCCGCCGCCATGAGTCACCCCAACCTGACGCTGACCACGCCCGGTGAGGCTGCCGTGTCCCCGGCCCCTGCCCCGTGCGTCAGCTGCGGCCAACAGGCATTTATGAACATGTCCTCCCAGCCTGAACGCGAGAACAGAACTGCTGCAGAAGCCCTACTGTGCCCAACTCAAAGATGGGGAAGCTGAGGCTCACTCAGAAGCGAGAGGCAGCCACTCGCTTCGGTTGCTGTAGAGCTAAGGAGCGACCCCGGGCAGGGCCCCGCCCGGGGGGTGGGGGGGGACACGCGAGGCAGGGGCGGCCCCGTACCTGTTGAACCGCGGGTCCGCGTAGGCGTCCGGGATGTTCAGCACTTCCCCCGTCCTCGCCACCTGCCCGGCGATGCCCTTCTCGATGGAGAACCTGCGCACACGGGAGACAGGGCCGGCGCGTGAGCACACACGGGCGTGTGCGCGGTCTGCCGCGGCCCGCCACCGCCCAGCCGTGAGCGGGAGGGCGCCGCCACGCCTGGCGTGCTCGTGCTGGCTTCACGCGTGCACACGCCCCGGTCGCCGTGTCACTGCAGAGTGCGCAGAAGCAGAAAAACGCCGCGCGGGGACCCCTGGTTGAAGGGGTTGTGACCCCTGGAGAACCTCGGTGTGAGACGTGATTCAGAGCATGAACTTACACTGAGTCACAGACTGAAACCGAGCAGTTCATTGGATTCTCCCGCACTGACCGGTAACGGCCCTTTGTATCGGACGGCAACATGCCTCCCAGTTCCCAGTGCGCAGCGACACACATGTTCTCAGTTCACTCTCGCTGTGGTGTGAGCGCAGGCCCATGTGGGGTCAGGCATTTGCTAAGATTCCTGAACTACTGACGACACGGTAAACACAGAATGTAGGTCCACCACGGTGGGCTTCCCACCCCATCTGAGACCAAGACGCCAGGGGTGTCTGATCTTGAGGTGCGAGGCGGGGCTGGAATTTAAGGCATTTGCCACACAGGCACTGTATAACAACAGCCCAGTCTGAAACTCCTGGTGTTTTTATTTCTCTCATTTGTTCAATGGAAACGCAGTCAAAACACAAGCATTATCTAAAGACACTTAACTATGTTTTAATGTTTAATACCAATATTTCCTATTATAAGTGCATCCTTTCACAGTTTTCTGATTGCAGTATTATCATCAGTCAAGCACTCATTGCAAAATGTAGTTAACAAAGATGTCTACAGTACACACTACATATTTCAATGCCTGAAAAGTAACTTTCATAATACTACATTTTGAACATAATAGGAGATCATCATCACTGAGATAAAGCTCCCCCGGAAGGGACTTGCACTGAGAAAAACTCGGAAGAGAACCGAGACAGACACCGCAAACACCAGAAGGGCACCCGGTGCCGCACACCGCACTCCGTCCCGGCTTCCCCGCGCCGCCGTGAACTGCGTGACCCAGCCCAGCCGGCTGCCGAGAGCGGCAAGCGCCAGGGCCCGCCGCTGCACCACCTGTGCTGGGCTTCTCGGCCTGCGGTGGTCTGACCAAGACTTTGCTCCCCGCCCCCCATATCCTAGGCGGCTGGCCACCATCCGTGGCGGGCCCGGGTCAGCGGCCAGGGCTCCCGCAACCACGACCCCTCACTGCTCCCGGCTGCTGGCGCGGGCTCCCCCCGATGGGACCCTCGGTGCAGCAGCAGAAGGGACGACATCCAGACTGGCTGAGGTCTGAAACACAGACCAACCAAAACACAACCACGAGGAACACTAACTCGTGACTGGAGGTCGGTGTTCCCTGAGTGGGGAACACGGGACAGATGCCCCCGGGACTGGGAACAGGACGTGCCCGGGGCGGGGCAGCGGTGAGGCACCTGCCGGACCCCAGGGTCCCGTCACACCTGGCCAGTTCCCTCCCAGACAGACGGCCCCAGGGGACAGCCGTCCTTCCCGAATAGGGAACGGTGCTGTCCTGGGGGCGGTGGCACGACCCAGGCACCCTAGAGCAGGCCAGTCCAAACTTGTGGCGTCTCGGGCCACGCTGGAGGAAGAATGGTCTTGGGCCACACATCAAATGCACCGTAACCACACAAAAGTCCCACCCTGTTTTAAGTAAATTCACAATTTTGGGTCGGACCGAATTCACAGCCGCCCTGGGCCCCGTGCGGGCCGCGGGCCACAGGTGGGACACCCCTGCAGAGTGTTACGTGGAAAGCAGTGGAACAAGACACATGAAGGGGGGGGAAAGCAGATGTCTAAAAAAGGTCAATGTCGAATGTCAGGCTTGAGTCTTAAAAGTTGTGCGACAGTGCTCCTTGCAGGCGTTCCGGCTGCAACAGGCTGTTCGTTCGTAAGTGACACAAGCTGCCACTCACAGAAGGAAGGGGGCGCCAGGGTCCTGACACAGCAAAGGCGTGTCCGAGGACACCCTGAACCGATGGCTCCATCACAGCGGAGGGTGCGAACGTCACCCGGCGCCGCGGGCCGGGCCCCACCGCGGTCTGGACTTTGAGACAGCCCCACGGGCGGGGGAGCGGTGGGCGCCCGGCGGCGTGAGCACGCCCTGCTCCTACACACGGGAGGACCTGCAGACCCCATCCAGGTGGGGCACACCTTTACCTACCTGGGAGCACTAGTAACTTTTTCCAACATGATTTCCAAAAGGACCGCCTCCGGAAGACGGCATTTCCAGGAGTGACGCTTAAAGCTTCCTAGGCGCGGATTCGCCGGCACTGCAATGTCATTCCCAAAAGCACTACCTTCAGGAGGCGGGTCCTGGTGGGAATGATATCACAGCGTGACCAGCAGTGTCAGCGCACCTGTGAAAGGCACACAACAGTGGGTGGCGGAACACCTGTGCGGCCGCGCTCACAGCACACGGACAGGCCGCGCCCAGCTGTACCTGATCTCTTTGGTCTTCTTGAAGACGGGCTTTCCTTCCTTCTCCTCCCCAATATCAAAAAGGTCCGAGTACAGCTCCTTGTTCTTGTGGTCCACCTGGAAAAGTGCACAGCGGTCTGCATTCACCAGGTTTTTTGCATATATCTGAAGACAAACAATAGAGCGAGACAAGCCGATGAGAACCTCGGGGAGTGTCCAGGTACACGTCATCACACGCGAATGCCACTTGCAGCTTCTCTGTACTCTAACAGGGTGGGGAATCAGCGCGGGAACTGGTGAGATAAAGGCATGTCGTCACAAAACATAAAATATACGGCCCCCACTGCGGGCGAGCACTGGCAGACCCCGACCTGACCGCACGGACAGCTGCTGGGCCTCTCCGCCACGTGCTGGACGCTGACCTGCGGCTCACCCCTGAACCACCCCCCCAATAGGAAATCCACGTGTACCTTCTGACTCCCCAGAACATGAGCACACCAGCTGTCTCTCGGTACCTGCAGGGGACAGGTCCCGAAAGCCACAGGTGCTCAAGCCCCCCCCATACGGCACGCCGCAAGAACTTTAAAGCATGTGGTGCCTGACTATTTAGTCAGGGCCACGGACCTCTCTCCCCTGAGACTGTCAAATGAAAAATGACAACAGCCAACACAGCAACAGCTGTCCGGTGTGAATGAATAGAAATCATTCCTATTTTTTTGTCAGACCGGCAGGATTTTGGTCACCAGTTCCTGTGTGCCACGAGACCGACAAGGCGGGAAATCACGGCTAGCGTCAGTGGCTCAGGTCAATGGCCACCCTTCCCCGTCTGCAGACTCCCAGCCGCGAATGGCGAACAGCACCGGTGTCTGCTGGAAAACCCCCACATTCGAGAGGCCCCGAGCAGCTCGCGCCCGGGTGGGTAGTTCAGAGGTGAACTGTAATGAGACCCTTCAGTACAGGGAGGAAAGCACCCCGTGCTCCGACCCCCTGCGTCTCTCTGCCACCCAGGCCCGTCTTCCAGGGCCTCTCAGACCCCGCTCCCCGCTCCACGCCACGGCCTGAGCCTCCGTCCGCTCAAAGGGAGCTGCATGCTGACCGGCCGGGGTCGGTGACACACCAGGTATGGAAAACGTGAAATATAACCCCTAGTAGAACACACAGTGTTCCTATTTGCACCGGTGGTATTTTATCTGCGGCACCGATAACAATGGGCAGCGATTATTGAGCGGTGAGTGCGTGCCAGACACTTCCCACGCCCACTCGGCCCGCACGGTGACAGCACGCAGTCAGGAAACGCGTCTGCTCCCATGGCACGCGGTTCAGGGGGCGGGGGCACAGAGACGGCGGCCACGCGTCCGCCGTCGCGTGGCTCGGAGCTGGGGGCCCGGGTGTCTGAACTCCACCCAGCCGTCTCAGCAGCCCAGGCTTTGCTAACAAATACGCTCTTCCGTTTCCAGATGAAAAACTCTGCACTCACTTCATCATCCTTCTGTCAGCTTCCTTCAACGAGCACCTCCCCAACGCCTGGCCGGCCGCGGCGCCCCGCAGGGCGAGCACCGCATTTACTGACACTGAGAATTCTGGCCGCCTCCGCCGCCCGCGGACAGACAGGAAATTCCTCCTTAGAGCGAGAGGAGGGGTTCTCTGAGAGTAACAGGTGTCCCCAAGCTCACGCGGGAGGGACAGGAGCCGCCTTGTGGCCGGAAGACAAGGGGTCATGTTGCGCAAAGCCCGCAGACGGACAGATCGAAAGGAAGCCAGCGTGGCCAGGTGCCCAGCTGGGCCCTGCCCCCCCTCCCCCCGCACACTCCACGCCACCGTCACCGCCCCTGGCCGCTCTCGGCCGCTCCACCAGCCCCGGCGGGGCCTCGGCAGCCAGGCACCGAGCAGCCCGGCACCGTGAGCACCGCCCGTTAGCCCGCGAGTTCCATGACAGCAGAGACTGCCGCTTCCCCCCACAGTCCTCCACGGGCCGAGACCGCGGCCCGGGACGGAGGGCGGCAGAAGCCCACAGGCCGCCTCCGCCCGCTGCCTGCTTTCCGAAGTGGAAGTTTAGGGGACACTGTCTGTTCCTCTGCGCACCACCTACGGCCGTGTGACGGGTGCAGCTGAGCAATCACAACGGGGTGCGGCCCGTGACGCCTATCTGGCCCCTTACAGAGAGGGTGCCCACCCTCACGCCGAAGCACACAAGATCTGCATAACCTGAGACCTGTCGCTAAGGACTGAGGAAGGACAGGTGGCAGAAAGGTCTGCAGAGAGGGCGGGGGCAGCGCGGCCGGCAGGACCAGAAGGACCGCCCCTCTGTCTGGCTTGGCCCCGAGACCCGGAATGACTCAGCAGCAGTGACGCCCCGCACTGCCCGTGGCTGAGACATCTGCAGCCAGCCTGCATCCCCCCCGGCTGCCCAGGGCCATGTCAGGGGGTTGGCACTCTTTCACGTGGCCCTGCTAATAATAATTATAAAAATCTGGGTGAAATGAATAATTGCCTAGAAAGAAGAAAGAAACTTAGGAGTTGAAAAGCTGGGAGAGATGCACTCACAAAGACGACTAGAAAATTGTCAAAAATGATATACATGGACATCATCAGGCCTAAATGATTCCAAGTATAAAATGTTTAAAGAATCTTTAACAAATAAATTCTTATCCAATTTACACTGTTGTAAGTTAGAAAGAACAAAACTTCCCCAGTTATTTTTGCAACCCCTATGTCAAAGATATTAAAAATTAACAAAGATATTGTACAAAGGAAAATCACAGACCAATTCTCCTTGGAAACAGAAGAAAAATCATACATAAAAGTAGTAACAAAATCAAACGTGGGAATAAATGAACACATTATAATATTTTAAAGTTATACTTTAGAACTGTTCAGTATTGTAAAGTCTATTATAATTATAAATAGCAAAAGAAAAAAATCACAAAATTATGTTTGTCAAAAGTGTATGTAATATGCCCTGGCTGGCGTAGCTCAGTGGATTGAGCATGGGCTGTGAACCAAAGTGTCGCAGGTTCGATTCCCAGTCAGGGCACATGCCTGGGTTATAGGCCACGGCCCCCAGCAACCGCACATGGATGTTTCTCTCTCTCTCTCTTTCTCCCTCCCTTCCCTCTCTAAAAAATAAATAAATAAAATCTTAAAAAAATTTATGTAATCCAATTCAATTGTTCATGATAAAAACTTAGCAAAATGGAATAGAGGAATATGTCTCCTAATGATACGCTCCTGAAAACAACAGTGGACCTCACAGAACATGGGAAAGTACCAGAATCACCCCATTAAGGTTAAGACATTCAAGTGAAAGTAAGACAAAGACATGTTATTGTGCTTATTAGGCCATACTTCGGTAAGAAAGGAGAGCATGCACCCTTGAAGAGGCAGAAGTTTCGCTATCTGGTGACACTGTTGCTGAACACGTTGAGAGACCCACTGGACAGCAATCCCGGGCGGTAAAGAAAGACTTCTGTCGTGAGCGCCCCGACCAGGCGCTCCCCTCCCGCTGCCCCAGACTGGACTGACACTCCCAGCCGGAAAAGGGGTTAACAAGGAAACCCCAGAGACATGCGGGCAGTATGTATGAACTCAACCCAACCCAAGGCAGGCCTGCTGTGGCAGCCAGAGAGCCTTCACGCAGCGCGCGGCAGAGCAGGAAGCAGCCACGAGCGCCGTCCGGAACGCCATGGGAAGCACGCAGGCACCCACAAAAGCCGACTCGGCGTGGCCACCTGGCCGCAGGGCCCGTGCAGCGGGTGGAGACCCTTCCGATCCACGGGCACCGGGCGGCGGCGGGCTGCTCCCGCATTCAGGGCTCGCCGGCTAGAGGCGCTGTGCGTCTGCGGGGCTCTGGCCCATCCCGTGCAAGAAGGGGCCTTCCTCACTGGAAAACACGGGACTGGACCGGCGCACAAGCCAGCGATGTGAAGCGCACCCAGCCTGCATCCGCGAGAAGCAAGCAACCTCATCTGCACTGTCACAGAGCCTCCCAAACACACCTCAGGTCACGCCCCGCGGGTGGCCTCTAACCCAGGGCTATCTTCTCAAACACGAGCCTGGTCTGGGCCCTCTGAGCGCTTACAGTCCCGCTGCCCGCAGGCCTGGACCACGTGGGTGGGTCTCCGAGGGGCTGCCCCCACGGCGGCACTCCGCCCCGCCTCCCCGGAGTGCGCCTGAGCCTCCCGCTGCACCTGCTCCCCGCGTCCCTGGGGCCCGCGGGCACGCCCAGGACACCCTGGTGCGGCTCCCCGGACTCAGTCGCGCCATTCCCACCCCCGCACTCCGCCCCGTCCTTCCGGGGCCTCCCGGGGCCGCGTCTCCCACTGACGGTGCACCTCCATCAGCGTCTGTCTGTTCCAGGTGATTGCCCAGACAGCCAGCCGTGACGGCCGGACGGGGAGACGTTCGCTCACCCTTTCAGAGCCCCAGCTGCTGTCTGGACAGGAACGTACCAGAGGCCCGAGATACGGTTCAGCAAAAACGGGCCAAGGAAAACCTGGAGGCATCAACGCCACGACAGACACTGGGCAGAGAACCACAGATCCAGCCCCCAGTCAGACCCGCGTGCTGTAACAGCTGGTTTGTGTCAAACCTTGCAGGAACACACAGCGCCTTCATTCCCCCGAGGAGTGGAACGCTGCTCGGTTCCTTCTGTAGGCGCAGCATGGCCCCAAACCCCTGGGCTGACCGCTTCAAGTGGATGAGTAGTGCAGTTTATGACTTACTCCTCACCAGGGATGTTTTTAAAACAGTAATAACACCAGGACCAGTCAATAAGGGCTTCTTGCACTCCTAGCACAAGCCCTGCCACTCTCTATTACACCCTTACCCTTTGACATTCTCCTGCACACTTTGCACTTCTGCACAAACGTTGAGAGCCCTGTCATAACCGAACGAGTTATCCTTCCCCGTGAGGGAAGCGCTCTTCTCATTGTCTACACGGCGCTGTCCCTGTAACTGATCACTGAAGGGACGTGCAGCAAGGAGCACGCCCTGATGTCGCCCTGGTCACCCTCAGTCACCTCCTGTCTCCCAGGACACGGGCCACGCGACACCCCACGCTCTCCGGCCCCGGGATCGGGGAGAAAGAGGCCAGAGAACAGGCGCCGTGAAATCCGGGCACGAGGCAACTCCTTCCCGGACAGGGTGGCTCTGTGTTTAGAGACAGACCAGGAAAACTGGGGGGAGGACGACCACTTATGAAAGTACACAGCGGGGCGTAAGCGGTCTCCATCAAGCCTGGTCACCCACGAGGGGCAGCACACGGCACCAGAGTGGTAGTGGCACTCAGACTACCAGAGGCCACTGCTTCGGTGGAGTGTTGCCGAAGCACCGGAGCGGCCAGGCAGGGAGACACCCACTTGCGGATAGAACCCCACTTGCGGTGGCCTTTGGCCCCGCGCGCCCCTTGGCCTCCGTCAGGCTGAAACTGAGCAGAGGGAACCACCGCATCGGCGAGACTTGGGTGAGGGTTCCCAAGGCCACCCACACACAAAGGTGTTCTGAAGGCTACGCAAAGAAACCAAATGTTTTCAAAACTCGCCACTGAGTAATGGGAAACTCGGAGACATTTTTCAAAACATTCTTCGAAACCCTTGGAAACAAACAGAAGGGATAAAAGACAAAAGCCCAGGCGGTCCCTGCAGGTCACTGTGCGCCCCCGGACAACCGCACGCATGCTGCCCACACTGCAGGGCCCCGCTGTCCTGTCCTGAGTCGGACGCGCGAGCATGGGAGGCCAAACAGGGCATCTGCGGAGCGAGGCCACGTACCATGATGTGTTCAAGTAGAGAGTCTATCGCGACGATGTTATCGAAGTATGTCCTGGAAAAGACACAAAACAGGTCAGCAATCTTACTGAGAACACCAAGCATACTGAACTTTGAATGCATTTCCCAGGTTTGTCTACATTCACATAAAAAAAAGGAAGATAGCCCTGGCTGGTGTAGCTCAGTGGATTGAGCGCAGGCTGCAAATCAAAGTGTCACAGGTTCGATTCCCAGCCAGGGCACATGCCTGGGTTGCAGGTCATGACCCCCAGCAACCGCACATTGATGTCTCTCTCTCCCTATCTCCCTCCTTTCCTTCTCTAAAAATAAATAAATAAAATCTTAAAAAAAAAGAAAGAAATATATCTGGTTTTTGTCATCTTGTGAAACAATCAATAACACTATTTTAAAGAGATAAAGGAAACTTGACTACCAACTTCAGTATGAGGATTCTAACTCTAGAGGATTCATTGAGTAACTATGTATTGATAAGTCCTGATGCAGAAAGTGTGTAGTGTTTAATTAAAACTATGAAAAAACAAAATTGGGTTCCCCACATTTAGCATCATCATTAATCATTTTCATCTGAAATGCAAATATTAAGGTAAATCTCATGTACGTGGTTAAAATGTAAAGTACCACTGAGAAATCAAAAAGTTCCTATGCAGCGAAACCGTCCTGAGCAAGCCCCAAAGTTCACTTGAGAAGAAACAGCAGCGCGCCGGCGAGGGGAAGGGCCGAACGCCCTTACGGGGTGGACGCATATTCGTTATCATGAACAGCTAGGCAATGTCTGGGAGGCGGCCGGCACACAGACGAACATGTGAACCTGAAAGCCAGCTGAGTTAAGAGTCATGTGTTACGGGGATGTAACGTGCAGAGAGGCCGTCTCAGTGAGAGTCCGTGGGCAAGGCGTGCCTGCAGCACAGGCTTGCGTGAGCTGAGCAGTGACTCGTAATCCAGACACCGCCACAACAAGCAATGCCTTCCGTTGAAACACGAATGACCTGGCTGGACCGCACGGAGACTCTGCCCCCTGAGGAACACGCCCAAGAAAGGCGGTCAGGTAAACGGGCTCCGGGCTGCAGGGGGAACTGGAGCGTCACGTGAGGGGCTGCGCTGGACTTTGGAAAACTGACCAGAACAAGAGAAGGTGAGCGGCCTCCCTCGCCCTGTGTGCCCACAGCTGCTACTTAATTTTCTCTCAGAGAAAATAGCTGAACTAGGGGGTCAGAGGAGGCCTCACTCAACCCCACGTTTCTCCAGTTTGATATTTCAGAGAGCAGAGCCACACAAAGCAGCAGCCTCAGACCGACGGGCCACGGATGTCCCGAGCGCGACCACGGCCCAGTGCACCTCCCCCTAGCGGCCAGCTGGGAGGGCAGGACCCTGACCATGCCTGGAGGCGCAGGTGCCAAGGACACGCGCGCACGGGCCAGGTGACCAGCGGGCTGCCCGTGGAGCCGCGCCCACGCGGGCCTGGGGCTCCCCGGCGTCTGGAACCTCCAGGGCAGCCCGGGGTGCTGTTCCCAGCCCAGCCCCCAGCCCCCAGGCCGGGGAGCAGCGTCCCTGAGTGACACCTGAGCCACTCGTCGGGAGGAAGCTAGACCGGGAACAGGAACAACTGGTTTTAAGGGGCTGACACCTGTGGGGGACGCCCCAGGGGACCTGACGGGGGGAAAAAATCGAGCAAGAATGTTTCCTCTCCCGCGGCGGCTCGTTTTCGTCCTCAGATCAGAGACACCGGGTGTCTCCGGCCCGTCCCAGGGAGTCTGGGGGGACACACACAGCAGACCGCAGCCTGAACCCACCGCAGAGATGCCTACAGCGCGCAGTCGCACGACCGCGGCGGGGGCCCGCCCGCCACCCGCAGCCCGCGCCGCGCCAGCCCCCGGCGGACACTCACTTGGAGACGTCCAGCAGGAAGTCGTTCAGCTCCGTCTGCTTGGCCAGCCCCCTGCACACCTGCCGCAGAGAAGAGAGGTCGTTAACGGACGCCCGGAGCCGCTGGCCTCACTCGTGGGCTCCAGGAGGCGGCCGACCTTACTTCATTTTAAAAGGAGTGACACAGTCACTCAGTTATGATGCAATGATAGCATCAACAGCAATTCACTTTTTTTTCTTGAACGCTTCAGTGGCCACGCACTTCATCTTTATGACCTCACGCGACCCCCGTGGGACAGGGTGGGGCTGGGACCCACTTTCGTGACGCGGCAGGGGGCCCTTCGGGACCTTCTCAGCCCCCCGAGGGGTGCAGGGTGGGAGGGGGCCCCAGGGCCGCTCCTCAGACCACGCCCCACGTCCCACAACGGACTCGGGGACTCGGCGCGTCCTCCACCCGCACCCTCCCCGTCGGGGCCAGGGCTCCCGCCCTCGGACCGTGGGCAGCACCGAGCCTTCTCCGCCAGGACACAGGCCCCCGGACCCGCGTGGCGGAGGTGGGCGCGGGAGAACCACCGGCCACACGAAGCGGTGGCAGACAGACACACGGCAGAACGGGCCCCACAGGGTCCTCACTTCAGACGCCCAGTTCCCGGGGAAACTCGGGGCCGTCTGGGAACTAGATCCCTTTCCCGGAGAACCGGGCGTCTGAAATTTAAGATTTATGTTCTCTCCTACCATGTGGCATGGGGGAGGCTTAAACTCAGGAAATGGGGTCACAAAAATACCAGTGTTGTCGCCGGTGGGAGGTCGCCCCCGGGTGTTAGTGGAAACACACCTCTTAACAGGACACCCACCGTCTACGGCACAAGGACTGTGCAATTACGTGTGAAGACATAAAGTAACGGCCAGGTACTTCAGATAGAAAGTATATTTGAGTAAACAGATACAAACTGCCTAAGACGCAGACAGGAAACGCAAGGCCCCTCCCTGCCTGCCCCACCCCAAGGCCAAGGCCGTGAGCCCCAGCCCGGAGCGGCTCCCCGCCAGGAGCCCCGATGCGCCCCAGGCTCACCTGCACCTGGTGGATGGCCACGGAAGCCCAGGCGAGGTTTGCCGTTGCGACCTGCGAACGGGATGGAAAACACTCCCATCAGCCACATGCAGACACGCCCACGCAGAACCCTCGAAAAGGGTTTTTCACGGGTCGCTGTGCTTTTGCGTATTTCACCCAACACAAAGCCCCAAACATGGCCAAGATTTCTCTTCTACATCCTCCCTTTTTTACAGTGGAACTGAATGGTTCCGTGTCCCTCCTCAGTTTGGACAAAAAGGAGGATAAATGGATTGAGAGAGCTAGAGTCCCATGATTCCAACGTACAGTAATTATTTTTAGTTAATAAAGATACTACTGAAAAAACCAAAGTGACCGCGCTGAAGTGACGGAAGGCTTTTCACGCTTGCTGCCAGGTGCGCAAGTCCCCACCCACTCGACTCTCCCCGTTCCCCACTCGCCCTGCCCTGCTCCCCGGCCGCCTGCCAGTGCCAGGCGCCGTTCTCGGTGCTGGGGGCACAGCACCGACGACCTCGGGGTCGACGTGGGCACAGGAGAAGGCGGGACACAAAGGGAGGCCGTGCACCACACAGGCACACCCGTGGCCGCGGGCTCTGGAGGGCAGGAGGCGCCACAGAGGGCGGGACGGGCACGCTGGTCAGGTGTGCTCAGGCCTCGCCCTGCTGAGCGGGCCACACTCTCGTTCCTCACTACAGGGGCGGCTGGGCGTGGGCAGGACGGTGGCCCCTGGAGGCCTCGCTCCAGGGCCCAGTGTGCCTGGAGGAAGGGGCGGGGCAGGCAGGTGTGGCCCAGGACAGCGGCCGGGGTGCGAGCCCCCGGGCGTGGCGGGCAGGTCGCTGTGACGCTGGATCTCAGTGTGAATAACCCAATTCCAGGTCAGGGGAGAGGGGACAGGACTCATTGTTTCCCAAACGGATTTGGTGTGGGAACCTTTGTTCAGGACGCACTCTAGGGAGACGGCCTTTTTAAGAAAACGAAGACCACCAGAACGTGAAAACCCTCCAAAGTCATCTCCTACCTTATTTGATTTACAATATGACACACTTTCCTTTTCATGGTTAAAATAGACTCTGACTGTAAAAACGCCTGTATTTCCAGGTTAATCGTTCCCCTCTCTGTATATGAAGCGCCAAACAAAGAAGCTTTCTGAAAACCTATCACTGTCACAGCAGCGCGCATCAGACCGCGGCGCGGCGGACAGCGGACAGTGGACAGCGGACAGTGGGCAGCGGACAGCGGACAGGGCGTCGCCCCGCCCGTCCCCGGCCGCCCGGCCTCACCTCCTGGTGGCTCAGGCAGAAGGCCTCCTTGCCCCAGTGCCGGTGCAGCTCCAGGATGCCCACGAGGTCGCCGATGGCCGTGACGATGGGCAGGCAGAGGACGGACTGGATCCGCGTCCCCGACTCCAGCCCCGTGCCTCTGGGGAAGCGTTCGTCCTGAGGAACCAAACGGGGCGGGACGGAGATTGAGCAAACACCAGGAGTCGGGGCGGTGCAGCCTCCTCCCTTCCCTCGGACAGCACCAACGCCTCCCTCGCTCACGCGCAGCCCTTCCGAGGAGCAGCCAGCCGGCCGTGGCCGCAACGACAGACGCAGACCTCCAGCATCACGGGGCCTGCCCTCCGCAAGCCTGCTTCAGTCCGCCTTCGCGCACACAAGGGCTCGACCCATTACCACACGTCAACGCCACGCAATAATGCAGCAACGATCGTGGCCAGCGATGTACTACTCTTAGCCTTCTCTTGTGCCAGGGCTCCCACGAGGGCTTTGTAAGCCCAGGTCGCCAGGGAAGGCCACCCCCGATGTAAGTACCTTCCATGCGCGAAGGGCATCGTGGAGATTACGTGTGAAACGTCTCTCTTCTATTTGGAAGGTTGGAACAACACAAAAGCGGAAGTCGGTGACAGTCATTCCAACTGAGACTCAAGGACTCATATTGAATATTCAAATCACCCAATCTATCCGTTTTTTATCATAAGAAATGAAACTGGCTCTTTGACTTTAATAATCTTCCAGCTGAGCAAAATCCCTCGGAAGAACACAGGGACATCAAAAGAACTAACAGCGAAGCACCGCCTCTAGCCCCTCAGCCTCTGCTGTCCGCCGGGCGCTGAAATCATGACTAAGAACAACACTGGCTGATACTTGTGATTTGCGAATGTTTCAGAAGTCCACATACGTAATTGGACATTTCCAATGGCAACTGACATAGTGTCTACGTTCAATCCTTTTTAAAACTGAACTGCACTTGACACGTGACAGTGTGGCTGTAAGGTCACAGCACGCGGACGCGACGGCGCAGTCACAGGCTGTGATGTGACCGCCACCGCAGCCCTTGGTCAGCGCCTCTGTCATCTCGCATAATCACCTTTTCTGTTTGTGATGGGTATCCTCACGAGGTGGATAATTAGAATACGCTGTCATTGCCTATAGTCAACTGTATGATTCAACACTTACTTGAACCACTTTCCTGTTTTTGCCTTTTTTTGCCTTTTTTAAAATAAAATAACTAGTTACTCGATTTGGTCAAGGTCCTATAGAGGCAGAACCAAAATTAAAACCCAGATGTCAGGGGTCTAATTAATCATTTTCAGAGCAAAGTCGTTCCACCTAGAAACTTGCCTGTGCATTTGTCACCTGGAAAGGCTAAGTGTGCGTGGCCACACTGACTGTGTCACTGTGCTCATGTGGACCGCGCGAGACTGAGACCGCACAGAGCTCCACGCAGTCATGCTTCTTGGGCCCGTGTCCTCCACCAGGGCCCCGCCCCGGACGGAGTCCAGGCCCGCCCACGGGGTTTGCTGGGGCCTGTGAGAGGGGAGAGCACCTGACGTAAGCTTACGCTGGAGAACGCCCGTGCGTGCATGTCCTGTCTCCTTCTTGAGGACCCTGCCAGGCTGCCCATGCTGGGCGGGGGGGACGCGGCCCACAGGGAGGGTGAGGCCCTCTGAAACCAGCCCGCTCGGAAGTGGGGGTCTGCCGACATCAGACGTGGAAGCGACCCAGCCAGCCAGAGCCCAGAGCAGCGGGAGTCCCCGGCTCAGAGACTCACGGGAACAGGAGGGCGCTGCTGCAGGACACCAGTGGAACTCGGGGTCACTGTCACTCGGCAACGGCTACTCACTGACGCCCACCCTGCTCGGGCGTGGAGCACAGGACAGTTGTCATTCAGCTCCCGCAGAGATAAACACACGTCTGGGAGCCCCCGTCTGCTGGTGCATGTTCAAGCGAACCGCTCAAACCTGCTCTCGGCGGGTCTGGACGCGGCGGGCTTCTGAGCACACAGGATGCGTGCACTCCCGAACTCATTCACTGACCTGCGTCTTGCCTCGCTGCTTTGATAAACTGCCTTAGATTGCAACATCCACACGACACGTCACCGCTCTCAACCAGACACTGCCGACCGCCGCCGGCGCGGAGAGGGAGAAGCCACGCACCCCGAGGATGTCCTCCACGAGCAGCGTTTTCCGGGACTTGGCCACGTAGGCGGAGGTGGTGGTGCCCTGGGCGATGGGCCCCGCAGGGACGAGCCGCGGCCGACCCTCCTTGACCCCGGGCGGGGTGAACACGCACAGGCTCTGGCAAGGAGAAAGGAACGTGCTTTGTCGAACCTGCTGTGCTGTGCGGGGCACGGAGAGACTCCTGCACACGAGGGGACAGGCCGGAGGGGTCCGGGTGCCGAGGAGGAGGAGGAGGAGGAGGAGGAGGACCCGCGCAGGGACAGTGCTGTGCCACGGTCAGGCTGCAGCACCCGGGGCGGACCCCTGCCCACGCCGCCTGCACACGGAGGCAGGCCAGAGCAGGGCAGGGCGTGGAGGGCTGCCGGTGCGCAGGCGGGCTCCGGCAGTGGCCCCCCGTGGGGGCGCACACGGGACACTGAAGGGAGGAAGAGGAGGAGGAAGCTGGCGTTGGTCCGAGACTGCGTCACACAGGAACCGGGCCCACGGATCTCAGGACGGGGTCCGGGGCCACACGTCAGAGGGGTGCAGTTAGGTGTTCCATTTTCCTCGAACACCCTTCTTTCCCAGAGCACCGCCTCGCTGCAGGACTCGGCCTCTCCGTCCCCGCCACTGGCCTGCCTGCCAGCCCGCCCCCAAGCACCCCCGACGAGCCCGTGCCCCTCTCCGCACACGTTTCGGGCGAGTCTGGGCGGGTGGGAGGGGAGCGTTCTGACACTGTTTTTAAATAAATGTTTTTTAAAATATAATTTGTTATTCTGACTAAATCAAATCACATGTTTAAACTACCTATTAAATCAGAATTGCTCCTCTAAACCAATCATCTGGCAGGGGCACCCAGCCTGCTGGCGGCTCTGGGCCGCACTGGGAGACGACTTGTCTTGGGCCACACATTAAATACACAAACACCAACGAAAACCGATGAGCGAAAAAAAAAGGCTTTAAGTAAGTGTACGGTTTTGCGTTGGGCCGCATTCCCAGCCATCCTGGGCCGCGTGAGGCCCACAGACCAGGAGCCGAACACCCCTGAGTTGGGGGCAACAGTTTGACCCAGCTGAATCATGATTACGCTCAACTCGAAACTCGCTGAGGTCGGGCGGATGCTCCCGACGCCACGTCCCTCTTACATGGGACCGCCGTCACCGGAAGGCGAGGACCCGCCAAAGCATCGTTCGCAGGGGCATCCGACCCACAGCCCCGCAAGCCGCACGTGGCCTGGGACGGCTACAGGGGCGACCTACACAAAATCGTAAACTTACTTAAAAGACTGTAAGATTTTTGTGTGTGTGATTACATGTTGCAGTGTATTCAGTGTGTGGCCCAGAGACGCCAGAAGTCCGGACGCTCCTGCCCGACCGCCCCTGAAGCCAAACAGGGTCCTGTCCACGCTCGCCGTCCTGAGCCGGGTCTAGGTGAGGCTGGCGGGGTGCGCTTTCGAGCTCTGTCATGGCAAACAACCCCCTTTTTTCCAAACTCAGTCTTGTTTACAACCCGTCACTGGAAAGTGAACGAACCTCTTCCCACCCAGGGGACCAGGGACGAGGAGGGCGGTGCTGGCGCCTTCCCCCCCCACCCCCCACCGCCTTAACAAACCATCCTCTCGGGCAGCTACGTTCCAACAACTCTGTTCGCAAGCGTACCTACCAGTACCTCCGGCAGGATGGTGGTTAGGTAGTACTTGCTAGTAAGTACATACCCGTGGAAATACATTTTAAGTGTTTCTATTTTAAAGTATGTAAGTGCAACTTACACACTTTAAAAAGAGTTTAGACACTTAACTATAGAAAAGATGATAGATGACCATTCCCCCTTATCTAGTTTTACAGGGGCCGGGAATCAGACCCCGTGTTCAGAGTTGTTATCGTTCCGTCCTGCACCGAGTCACATGCGGCACAGACAGGGTGAGGTCTCCGTCAGACTGAGCACTCACCGTCGCAGTACAAGTCCACGTGCATAAAGACTGAGAGGAGGGCAGAGAAATGCATCGAGCACAGGAAGAGAGAGGATTTCAAGACAAAAACTAGAAGGATATGGTCTATCGAGCTTGAAGACAAAGCGGAATCGACAGTGGCTTTCTCGGAACTACGAGAAGTGACTCCCGAGGAGGCGGCTGAGCGACCTGCTGTCCTCCCCCAGAGCACGGCCCGCAGTGCGTTCCAGCCGCCCCAGGGCCGCGGGCAGCTCCCCCGGGCCCCCCGGGCCGGGATGGGGAGTGACCTCGCAGCAGGCTCCCCGCACCCGCCTTTCCGCTCATTCTTACTACAGTTGGGGACTCTGTGGTCTGAAGGTACACAGCACGTATCTTTCTTGGATGACTTCGCTCTATACCCATGAAGGCTGGATTTAATAATACCTTCAAGTTATACTCAGCATCAGAATTCAATAGTGACAGGGCAGTTTACCTCTTCGTATATTCTTAGGTCATTTACTTAACACTATAAAACATTGACCACCTCTATATAGGGTTACTGTATCTCACACACACACACACACACACACACACACACACACAGATAAGCAAACCCCGGACCTACGATGTATGAAAAGCTATTCTATGTATTTGTCTTGCTGGAAAAAAGTGGTTTATAAGTCTTTCAATTCCTTGACTGAAATTGAGAGACTTCCCTTTATGGGTCATTATCAAAAAAAGTTAAATAATTCTTTACAGTGGGAACTTTCTGCTTGTCACACGAACTAGCTCATGATTTTTAATCCTATTGATCAACAGCAATGCTTCCAGACGAGCTCCGAGGGCAAGAGCTAACAAAATGTGAGACCGTTCTGTGCCGTCACGAGGGCCAGAGCCGGGGCAGGAGCGGGATGGGGACACCGCGCCACAGACGCCCTCCCAGTACTTTCACGGCCTCACGCGCTCTCCTCTGTGTGAGTGGTCTCCTACATTATTTCGGGATTTTTGAGCTTGGAATTTTTTCTCGCTCCATAAAATTCACCCGTGGGAAAGCTCCCTCTGTAGCACCCACGGCTGCGCCAAGGTCCGTCACTGGTTTGAACTGTGTGGTCTCCCATTCGCGTTCTTCGTGACCTTGGTAGTTGAGTGGGATGGCAGGCAGCGCTTGCTGCAAAAAGCCAGTGCCAGCCCTCTGAATGTCACATGTGTTCGAGGATGGGGAGAAGTTCACTAAGCCTACTTTTACTTATCTTCTAGTAATTGTCAAATAGACACTTGTGTATTGACAAGTCTCCTCCCTCCCCAGGGTAAGCTGCCACCCCCACCGCAGGCTGGCCCACTCCCCTGTCCCCGCCGCCCCAAGTCCATTTCTCAGCTCTCTCCTCGGTGCCCTTTGGCCGATCCGTCAACAGCGCTGTTCTAGTCCCTGTAGGTTTACGGCAGGTTTTCTTCATCCGGCAAGGTGAGACTTGCTTGGGTTTCTTTTTTACATTTTTTATTTTAATGGTTGTTTAAGTACAGTTTTCTGTCTTTTACTCCCATCCCACCCCACCCCCCTGGGCCCCCCACCTCCCTCCCATTTCCACCCCTAACCCCTAGTTTTTGTCCCTGTGTCCTTCATACTTGTTCCTGCAAACCCTTCCCCTTTCCCCCTGACATTCCCTCCCCTCTCCCCTGTGGTCACTGTCAGTCTGTCCTCTAGTTCAGTGTCTTTGGTTGTATTTTGCTTGTTTCTTTGTTTTGTTGTTGAGGTTCCTGTTAAAGGTGAGACCACATGGTACTTGTCCCTCGCCGTCTGGCTTGTTTCACTGAGCACAGGGCCCTCCAGCTCCATCCGTGCTGTCGCAAAGGGTAGGAGCTCCTTCTTTCTCTCTGCTGCATAGAATTCCATTGTGTGAATGAACCATAGTTTTTTGATCCACTCGTTTACTGATGGGCACCTAGGTTGCTTCCAGCACTTGGCTATTGTGAATTGTGCTGCTATGAACATTGGGGTGCAAAGGTTCTTTTGGGTTGGTGTTTCAGGGTTCTTAGGAAAGAGTCCCAGCAGTGGAATTGCTGGGTCAAAAGGCAGATCCATGTTTAGTTTTCTGAGGAAGTTCCAGACTGTTTTCCACAGTGGCTGCACCAGTCTGCAATCCCACCAACAGTGCACTAGGGTCCCCTTTCCTCCTTACTACGAAGAACTGTATGCCAAGAAATTTGAAAATCTAGGTGAAATGGACAAATTTCTAGAAAAATATAATCTTCCAAAAACTCAATGAAGAAGAAGCAGAAGGCCTAAACAAACCAGTAACGATAAATGAAACTGAAGCAGCAATCGGAAAACTCCCGACACACAAAAGCCCGGGACCGGATGGTTTCACAGGAGAATTCTACAGAGCGTTTAAGGAAAATCTACTCCCCATCCTTCACAGACTATTCCAAAACATCCAAAATGATGGAAGACTCCCAAACTCTTTTTATGAGGCCAACATCATCCTAATCCCAAAACCAGATAAAGACACAACGAAGAAAGAAAACTTGAGGCCAGTATCACTGATGAGATGCTAAAATCCTCAACAACATACTGGCAAACCGCATCCAGCAACACATTAACAAGATCACACAGCATGGCCAAGCGGGATTCATCCCAGGGCTTCTTCATGTTTCAGAAGAATCACAACTTGATTCATCAGCTACAGCTAGTGCTTCTGACCGGGGAAGGGCCTGGGAAGGTGTGTTAACAAATCGGGGTGCAAATAAGTTCCAAAGAAACTCACAAAGGAAGTAATGAAGGGCTTTCTTTTTCAAAGTCCGTCATGATTTTCCACATAAGGATTTGACTGGGCTGTTGAGTTTAATAAGAAACATATTGTATCATTTCCATAAAGGATGAATGAAAATCTGAAAAACAACACACGCTATTGTAGAACGCACTGGCTACTCTGCTCACACTTCCCGTGTCTAGTTGGCCTACAGAACCGTGCTGAGCCGAGTCCCTAAAACTGACTGCTGCTCTCATGCTGGGAAAATCTATGAAACCCTTTATTAGCACGAGCACTTTCAGCAGCTAGAGCTAAAACCTACCACTAAAAGCAAGGAAAAGGCTCAGAGTTTCAAACCTCAGCCACCAGAGGAGAAATTCACTGCGCTCGGGCATGCGGCCCACTGCCGGACAGCGGGGGGGTGGGGGGGGTCCTGTGCCCACAGGAGGCCTGGGGGTCCCCAGCTGGCCTCGGCCCTGCGGCCCGCCGGCGGCGTCAGGAGCCCAGGCCGACGAGCAGGACAGCAAGGCCACGCGGTGCATGGCAACCAACAAACAAGCGTTTCCTCTGCTCAAAGAGGCTCACGTGAGCTGGCCGATGTTTTCTAATAACAGCAGGTTTTCATATAGATTTCTACAGTTAGGTGATGTAACTAGAGAAGATTGGTAATGGTGGTTATTATAACCGGTAGATTGGCTCCATGAATACAATAACTTTACAGTTATGAAAAAGGATATTAAAAAAGATTTGGTGGAAAACAGAATAGACTATCACAATTTATTTTAAAAAACCTACTTTTTTAATGAAATAGGATCATGCGATTCATTACCATCAACAAATAGAAGATTCTACTTCACTTGGTAAATGCCTGCTCTGAAATTTCCATTCACAATCCAAAGACCTCTTCACTCATGAAAGTTCATTTTCATGTTAAGGCTTTAACTCACAACCAGTTACATTTTAGAAATACTTTTTAAGGTGAAAAAAATGACTTCGGTGCACCATTCTTTTTATTTCATGACACTAGATGGCGCTAGGTAGTAAATGACTAGATCCCATCCATCTGGAATTGGAATTAGATAGGAACTTCGCATAATTCTTAAAAATAAACCTACTAATACTAAAGCTTACTGACAACTGAAAAAAAGTCACACAATTATTGGAAATTGCTGGCTCTAACCTGGCTTCTGAAACCAACAGGTGAAAAGTTATCTATGTACTTTATGCATTAAATATTTTAGAGTATTATTAGAGTCCTCGAGGTTTTCAGCGTCCACCAACTCTTAGGGATAACACAGAACGATGCAATGACAACAACATACAGCATGCGGCACGCCAGTCAGCTGGAGGGCGTGGCTAGGTGTGCAAGCGACTGTAAAAACATTAAAAGTTGAATTAAGCAAAATCCTAACCTTGGAAACACTCGGTTTTTTTCTAGCCAGCGTTCCCAGAGTGGCTTGCTCACAGTTAGGTGTCCCCACTGCTCCGGGCCAGGACACAGCGCCCCCACTTCCTTCCAGAGCCCCGAGTTCTCACAAAGTTCTGCTTCTTCCTAAAAAGTCCTTGCATGCCCTTCATATTACTGAGGTGGCGGCCTTCCACGCTCTGCTCAAACCGGGCTAATCGCCCAAGCTGTTCCGGTGTGACCCACCCCTGCACCCCCATCACACGGAGAACCCCAGAGCACCTCGGGTGCCTCTCTGATCCCTCTGAACACTGTGCGCGATGACTCAGTGTGCATTCCCCCCTTTCTCCTGCTGGTGGCGCACTTCGCGGACAAGCATGACCTGTTACTTACCTTTGTGTGCTCAGCAGTTGAGCCGTTTGGGGCACATAGCAGGTTTGTTGAATGAACACCATTCTCGATGTAACATTTAAGCAGTGGAGGTCAAATTACCTTTTAGAAAGTTTAAGACTCTTACCCAAGTCACAAAGTAGTGCATTGCACTCACTCGCTCTAACTCCAAAACCAAACTCCTCTGAAAAGCGAAGTCCTGACTGGGGAGTCTTGAGACGGGACAGATGCACAGGAAGCCCCTCTGCTGAGGGGGCTGTCCCCGTGGAATGTGACCGGGGCGGTGGGGGGAGCTGCCCAGCCCGTCACTGCCCCCAGGCTGAGCCTCGGCCTGCACACGGCTGCTGCTGGGGACAGCACGTTGCATAGGGGCCCTGCTCGTCTTCAGAAAAGCTCCTTGAACAGCGTTTCCCGTTTCCTCCATTTGCCGGTTCACTGGGTTTTCTAGCACTGTTCAACTATTTTAAGTGCAGCAACTTCTGTTTTCCTTGAAAACTGTCCATTTGATTTAAGCTTTCAATGCTATTAGTCCAAGGATCCTCTCATAATGTGCCACTTTCACTGTAACTATTGTTTTATTATTTCTTAAACTACTAGACACACATAACGGTGTTTTCCCTTTTTTGTTAATTAGGCTGGCAAATGGCCTACTTTAGCGCCCTGACGTTTCCTCGCTCACGCAGACTGTCTTTCCCCGCGTCTACAGGTGGAGCTGGCGAACCCCACGCAGCAGGAACCGTGACTTACGAGTCTCCCTGGGACCAGGTCCACGGTCACGCGATCCTGCCCGATAAAAACACGTCCAAGTGATACATTCTCTTATCTTTGTTCTCTCACTTGTTAATGTTTCAAAACTGTGTATAAAATGTTTCATACCTTAAAGTGTAAATTTTCTTGAATTTCACTTGAAATTCTCATATTTCACTTGAATAGCTTTGTTCACAGACTTAACAATACTGTAATTCATTTCCATCAACACTGTTCTCTAAATATCCCATTAACTGTACTTGATTTTTTCCCCTTTGTTCAAAGTGTCACTTGGCATATTATTTATGTTCAAATACCAAGGTTTAATTTCCTTGCTTTTAGCCATCACGGGGACCTGAATTTCTTAAGTGGGGCTAAATGTATCAAAGTAGGCTCTAACCTAAAGAAGAAAGGGAATCCCAAGTTGGGAAATCATAACCCAATAAACTGAATCACATATACAAGTTTTTTGAAAAACCTAACTGCCGATACTGCTAATACACATCCTCTAAACTGTGTCTTGGACCCGTCGGGAATTCCTGCGCTCTTCTGCCCATTTTCTTCAGTGAAACCGCTCTGCTTTATGCATCCCAGTGCACCGAGTGTTCACCGTGCAGACTTCAGGACAGCCGGCCCGTCGCCTCGGAGCAAGCCCCTCGCGAGTCAAGTGGCCTCCTCCCCAACCCCAGGCTCTGCCCCTCACACTCAGCTTCGCGCCGATCTTGCGGGGCTCGCTCCGCTTCCCCTGCATTTTTCTGGGGCACTTTTGCTCCGATTACAATCTCCTTTTAACGTTCATTGTCTCTTGTCTCTATGTGCTTTCTTTACACGTCCCTCTATGAAACAGAGCAAAGTGGTGAGGGTTTTACACTGATTTGCAATTTTTGTCTTTCAACCAGCGGACCTATTCCGCTTGTACTTTGTGACACGTTTTCAGAATGAGTTTCGCAGTCACACTTGGTGTCCTGTTCTCGGTGCTTTAGGACTAGCTAGTTTGTTTTCTGCGTAACTTTCTGTGGCCTCTAAGTTTTTGCTCTGTGGTAACACGATGCTGCTTTTCACTAGCGGAACTTCTGAGGGACTGAGATACTCTGAATGATGTCTCTCAGGACTCGACTTCCAGAAAGTTAATTATTTAAACTCACTCTCATTCATGAAAAAAACCAAATGAACACTTTTTTAAAGTACAAGGATTTTACAATTCTTCCCACCTCTGTCTTAATCACGGTCTTCACTGATCTGCACTAAACATTTTATGTCACTCTGGGTTGCACGTTGTGACTTTGTCACCGAATCATAGGCATTTTGTTTTGAAAAGAAGGTATCTAAGAAAGCTTTCCAGCTGTGATTCAAAGTCCATGGGCAATTTTTCAAAACGCTGGTAAACGATAACGTAAAGTGCTAACTTTCGTGTACGGAAGGATGGAATGTAAGGAAACACACGTGTATCTGCTCACCTGTACACAAAGTGTTATTTTTTACTTAGTACGGTTAGCTTACATGCTAGAAGTATGCCCACCTCTGTTGCGAGCAATACGGCAGATCAGGTGGGCTGGTGCCCCTGAAAAAAGCCATTTTAAAATTATTTAGAGGCTGGGTAAAGTGTAAGTTACAAATCTTTTATAACGCGCTGCCGGGCTTCAAGGACGGAAGGAACCCACACGAATCTCAAGGGAAGTATATACAGGAACTCGGAGAGGCAAGCCCCGAACTGGTTTTTCTCGCGTGCAGCATCCAGAGCCCAGATGGACGGACACCGCTCAGCAAAGCCACGTGGCGAACGGGCACGGGCCGGAAACCTGGGCCGGCTGCCCATGGCCGGCTCACGAGGACCCCTGCCCGGGCCAGGCCGGCAGAGGCTGAAGGGCCCCCTGACCTTCCTGCAGGGGGCAGAACAGAAATCTCCTCCGAGGAGCCGCACTGAGCCTCACGTGGACTGGAGGCTGCGATCTAAGCCGCCCTGCAGTCTGAAGAAACTCCCAGCGAGATCGTCTCGTTAAAGCTGCCCTGGGCCGGCAGAGCTCCTCGGGGGGCCGGCAAACAAGCGTCATTCACACCCTGCGTCTGGGACAGGCGCTCCAACGCAGGCCTCGAGAACGCCCGTTTCTGAAAGGCCCAAGGAATAACAGGATTCACAGTTTAAAAAAAAAAAAAAAGAAAGAAGAACACCGCCCTGGCTGGCGTAGCTCAGTAGATTGAGTGCGGGCTGCGAACCAAAGTGTCACAGGTTCGATTCCCAGTCAGGGCACGTGCCTGGGTTGCAGGCCATGGCCCCCAGCAACCGCACATTGATGTTTCTCTCTGTCTCTCTTCTCCTCCCTTCCCTCTCTAAAAATAAATAAATAAAATCTTTTTTTAAAAAAGGAAAACATAAAACACACAAGCAGGTAGGTCACCATCTACGCAAGACGAACGCCGAACCTCCGAGCTCACTTCGCCCCGCTGCAGACGGCGCGGGCGCAGGGCGCAGCCGGCCCACGGGGCGGGAGTGACCACGCGAGGAACTGCGTGTCCAGCAACTGGATGCGCACCCGAAACGACCCACCCAGGACGAGGTTTGATGCCTAAGTGCTGCCTCGTTGGTAAAGTGCTTGGCTGCTAATAACCACACACATAGAAAGAAATTACAACAAGGCGATTTTAAAGTGCTTAATGACAATATGTCTATTACATTGTTAACACAAATAGTTTATCTTCTTTAAAAAGCTTACAACACCAACATCTAAACGTAGATACTCACATTATTGCACTCGCCAAGGAAATACAGTGCAAATCCATCAGCTTTGGTGGCTGCCAAGGTAATAAAAGAGGAAGAAACTAGTCTGAATAGAAGAACACAATACACATGCATTCTCTAGGGTACGACCTCAGATACGGGTCTTTTCTGGGGATGCGTTAACACAAAACGGCCATGCAGTGAATCGAACAAACTCATTCACGCCTTTACTCAATTACATAATTGGAGTATTTTCATTCATTTTGATCCGCTATTGCGAAGCTTAAGATGTGACCCCCTCAAGTCATATAGCAGCCTGTGCACTATGTAATAACGTGTCAAATGTTAAAGTCTGAATTATTGGGAATTATTTTCAAAATCTGAGAATTGCATTTAATTTTTAAAGTATTAAATCTCTTAGAATTGATATCCATAATTCTGAATAACCAACATAAGCATCAGCCAAAAAGAATTACGCTTACTTCTGCCTATCATCACTGAAGAGAGCAAAATTTAACTTTCCCAAAACTGCTTCCGGGTCATCGGAAGGCCACTGCCACAGCAGCGAATAGGCAAGTCTCGGCGGAGTGGCCGGAGGCACACCGGGCACAACTTCTCTGCGCCTGGCGGCTCTGGGGAGGACATCTGGCCCACCTGCCACAGCACTCAGGCGGCGGTGACACAGGTGTCCTCTCCACGTGGAAATGTATAACGCTTCTTCCTTAAAAGTTAATGATTTCTAGTGTCACAGGTTCGATTCCCAGTCAGGGCACATGCCTGGGTTGCAGGCCATGACCCCCAGTAACCCCACATTGATGTTTCTCTGTCTCTCTCTTTCTCCCTCCCTTCCCTCTCTAAAAATAAATAAATAAAATCTTTTTAAAAAGACATAAAAAAAATAATGATTTCTCTTCTACATGTGATTTAGTTCGACAAAACTTTACGAAGAAAACCGGGCTTTAAGGAGAAGGCACGGTATATTCCACCTAAACGTAAGGCAGACCCTTTTTCCGGAATTCCGGCAGGTTCATAATGAAATACCCTCGCTTCCAGCACAGCAAGAACAGAGGGAAAGGAAGGCACCCGCGGGCCCCTCCGCAGGTGCGCCGTCCTTGCCAGTCGCCGGGCCGCCGCGGCGCAGGGCCGCCTCACCTATCTTGATGACGCTGCTGAGCTCGTACAGCAGCAGCTGGTTGTCCCCGCCCGTGTCCAGCCGCTGCTCGATGTAGCTGTTCAGCTCGTACACGACGCCCTGCATATTCGTATCTTGGTACTTGGAATAGAAAAAAATAAATAAAGGGCATAATTCAGTACAGTAAAATAAAAATCCCTTAGTTATTATTCTAATTCCACAGAGGTGGAATTAGAATAAATAAGCGTAAGGAAGGATGCACTGGCTGGCCACTGCACAGATAGGCACCGGCGGTCCGGACGGTCTGTCCCGCGGGGGCACTCTGCCAGCACCGGGGACACGAGCGAGCTTCACCTCCGGCCCTGAAGAAGCAGGCACGCGGTTGGGAGAGGAGGAGTGGGCGAACCGCGGGGTGGGCCAGACGGCACAGGGGGGACGCAGACGAGGGGGGGCAGGGAGAGCACTGTCTTTCCAACAGGACCCGGGAAGGGGGGCTCCGTGGCACTCGGCGTACGGACAGACGCACTCGGTGTGCTGGGCCGTCCCCAGCTGTCCTTGGGGGGGGGGAGGGGCTGCCGGTCACCCAGCCCTCTCTGGGCTCCTGTCCCGTGGGGGGACCCCACCCCCTCTCTGTGCTCCTATCCCGTAGAGGGACCCCACCCCCTCTCTGGGCTCCTGTCCCGTAAAGGGACCCACGCGCAGGGGACCCCTGGAAATGACGTGCAGAGGATGACGTGTGAGGACCTCCGCACGCACCAGAGAGCAGTGGGAAGGCGGAGGTAGGATAAGGGAGGGCGGAGGCACAGGCCTGAGGGGGCCGCACCAAGCAGAGACCGCCCCTTCCCCCAGCTCCATGCAGTTTTCGATGCGCATCTGGGAGACCCGTTCTCAGAATCCAGCGGGATCCCCACAGTGGAGGGTCCCCACCTGGAAATCTGGGGACAGCTCCCCACGCAGAGAGTGCAGAAAGAGGCCCTTTCTGGGACCAGAGCGGGGGGGCGGGATAGAGGCCAGCTGTCACCAGGTCTTCCAGAGAGGAAACTCCGTCACACCCAAGCGAGAACCGGAAGACGCTGGGGTGCGGAGGGTGCACTGCTGGGAGGTTCCCTTCAGCCACGTCCCTGGGCTCTGGCCTTCCCGTGTGCAGAACGAGGAGGCTGAAATGCACAGTCTTTTCAGAACCTCTCCACACTCGCTACGAGAAGCTGTGACCCCAGTTTGCGTTGTTTAAGCTTCAAATGCTTATTCTTAACCTCACAGTGGGGTTACAGACCCTGTTTCCTTTGACGACCGGTGACAACTGCATAAACACCATCATAAAGAATGCCTTACTGTAACTACTATCCGTGCGAATGCGATGCCCGTAAGATGCAGGACTGCACAAACGAACGTGAACAAGTGGGCGGAGCCGCTGCCCGGGGGCTGCTGGGACGGGAGAGGCAGAGGGGACACGGACGGGCACGTGGCCAGTCACGCACTTCCGACAGCTGCTGGGCAAACGGTGTCACGAAAAAAAGCCCGCTGAGGGGTCAGTTGAGTCACGTAAACTTTCAGCTCTGTGGCTTCAGTGCCGGCAATTCGCAACAGCCTACTAATGGTATCATCAAGAACTTGGCCTTTTGAAGCATTGTTAATTAAGTGCACCAGGGTGACACTGGTTAATAGTGTCACGCAGGTTCCAGCTGCACTGTTGTCTGACCCTCAGACCGCACTGTGTGCCCACCACCCAAAGTCAAGTCCCCCATCCCCACGTGTCTGACCCCCTGACCCTGCCCCCTGACCCCGGCCCTCCCCTCCGTGCCCGTGGTCCCACCGCTGTGTGTCTGCGAGGAGGGCTTGTCGTCGGCTCCACAGCGCCCTCTAGCTGCCGCTACCGTCTGGGAGTGCCCCCGTGGGGCTCGCGCGGGGCACACCTGCCGTGTCCCTCCCTCCACGTGGGCGGAGCCCCGGGGCGGCGGGAGGAACGGAGCCGAGTGCCACTCCTCACGCCTTGGGGCCGAAGTGGACGCCGAGACCCTCAGCTCCAGTCCCCGCTGACTCTCGCGGCCTGGCTCTCTCTCAGGGCACACTCACCAACGACAGGGACTCAAGAAGACACGGCCTCTCGGACAGGACTCCGGCTGTGACCTCTGCGGGCCGTGCTCCTGGTGGCTGCATCTCCCAGGAAACGCTGGCGCACCCTGTCTGCTGTGACACCTCGGGGCCTGCAGAGCAGGGCTGGGGAGCCAGGGCCTGGCCAGGGCGTTTGTTTTCCGAGGGAATCCCACCCCGTGAGACTGGGGGGAGAGCCGGTCTGCCCGGACGCACTGGAGTGACCCCACCTTCCCACGCCGGAGGCAGAGGCGAGACGCTTCTCCAGGGGAGGTCAGAGGCACGGCGAGGGGCGACGGGAGTCAGAGTGAGACGCGGACTAAGGTCTGCCACCCCGTGGGCACCCCAGCTCTTCAAGGTGTCGCCCCGACACCTGGGAGGCCACAGCAACACCCTCGGGGAAACACCACAAGCTGGTGTGACTTTGGATAAACCCTTAATCGCATGCAAAACAGCCCTCAGTTTTCAGCAGAAGCCTCAATAGCTAGACAATACCTTCTCATCGTTGCTTAAAATGTCCTACCGTTTTCTGTTTTTCTATCATGTGTTACTTTGACGTGATTTCGGACGTGCAGAACACTGCAGGAGCAGCGCGGGAAGCACCCGCACACCGTCGCTTACCTGCACTCTGGTGCGCCCACCGCACCCCCCTCTCGGCAGGTTGCCCGCCTCCCTCCCCTCCCTCCCCTCCCTTCCTCCCTCCCTCTCCCTCCCTCTCTCCCTCCCTCTCTCTCTCTCTCTCTCTCTCTCTCTCTCTCTCGTGCCCATGAGGGCACCACTCCACAGCACACTGGTCCGTACTCTGCAACCCACCACTTCCCTCGTGCCCTCCAACTCGCTCCAGTCGCTGCAGGGTCACGGCTGCCCCTGAGGTCGCTGGTGCCCTCCATGGGGCCAGGGCCGGAGGCCTCCCTGACACCCCGCAGCCTCTGGCACAGCCAGGGCTCCCTCACCGGGGCGCCCCTCCGCCACCAGGGGGATGCACACGGACGGCCCTGCGTCCACCTGCCTCAGGGACGAGGCCGGTCAGCGCTGCCCCTCGGCCTTCTCTGCGTGTCTCCCCGGGAGTCGGCCGGCCGTGTGGGCCATGCCCCAGCTGCCCCCCCCCAGCCCCCTTTCTCCTTCAAACCCCACCCACTCCCGGGTGCTCTGCACACCTGCTGTCTGTGGACAGCTCTTAAGTCACCCATGCAACTAAAGACTCCCCAACATACATCTCTCAATCACACCATCCCCCTGCGCTCGACTGGCCACCCAACTCCTGGACGTCTCCCTGGGGAAATCCGTCAGGCGCCCCTAACTCAGCGCCTCCCAGACTGAGCCCCTGACGCGGGCCTGCCCTCCCGCACACCCTCTGGTCCCAGTCGGGAAGCCCCGCCCCCAGTCCGGTGGCCCCGCCCCCAGTCGGGCGGCCCCGCCCTCTGTGCGGGGGCGGGACCTGGACGCCAGCACTTCTCCTCCCTTCCTTTCTCCAACCACACGTCCAGTCGATCGGCACCGCGTGTGGACGCCCCCTTCCAAAGGCCTCTCTCTGCGAGTCCCGCCCTGAGGGCCGGGGACCGCCCCGCCTCCGGTGTCCCCACCCTGGCCCACGCCCCGTTCGCCCTTCGCAGGACTGCGGGCAGAGCCTGCCGCCCACCCGCCGCCGCCCGTGGCGGGAGAAACGGGTCTCCCAGAGCAGCCCGGCTGCCGACTTCGGGTTTCCGAGCTCACGTCTGCAGGGGTCAAACGGGTGGGTAGCTTTTCCGTTCTGTACAATGCACCAACTTTTGTGCCACGGACCGCTTTCCTCTTGGAACGAGCTCTCTTCCTCCCTTTTGACATACATGCTTGCTACTAAGTAGGAAGATTTTTCATCTTTAATGTCCAGTGGAGTTATTCAATAAAAGATTCTGGGTATCATGCCATTTTTGGTTCTCTCATTAATTTTTTCAGCTTTTTCATTGGTAAACAGTATATTTAGGTCCCTTAACTCTTCTTTAATCAGTTTTAATGATTTACAATTTTCTCGAAATTGGCCTTTTCCTCTAAATTTTCAAAAGCATTTGTGTGTGTGTGTATATGTAGTATTTTTATGAAATTATTAACAATCGCCCTATGTATAGTCACATGCCCTTTGTCATTCTTTAATGTTTGTATTTTCTTATTTCTTCAACAGATGGACAAAGTCTCTTTTACTGACCTATTTCAGGAAACACCTTTTGCGTTATTAATCCAGTCTTTATTTTAAATTGTGAGCCATTAATTCCTTCCCTTATAAACGCTTCCCCTCTGCTTTTCAAGAGTTTAATTTTGGTCCTCTAAAATGACTGTAAGATATAAATTCCATCCTATTTTGGCTGAGTCCCTTAGGTCTAGTAGACTTTATCCCCATTTTACATTTTAGGCTTTGAAAATCATGTTTTAAAAGATGACCCAGATAAATGCAGGCAAAGCAGGAACTCGAATCTCAGCGTGATGACACCGCACCAGAGCAGCGCTGGTGCACGTGTCACGAAATACGCAGAGTCGCAAGTCACACAAAAGGAAAGAGTTACTTAACGTGTGGAAGTATGCCTGCTTGCTTTAAATAAAAATATGTAGACAATGCCAAGCCACTTACAGACAAGAAGATTATTTAATTGGTCATTTATTTGGGTTAAAGCGAAACTTTAAACTGGAAGAGGAATTTGATAAGCCCACTCAGCCATGTGTATTATCAGCCATAAAATAGCCATGTCCTTCGACCTAGTAACTTCAAGCCCCAGCATTTTTCCTTAGGAAACATTTCAGAGGAATAAAGCTGCTAAATACAGAAAAGCATTCAGTGTACGGAAAATAAGAAACGATCTAGAGAGTCAACAGCAGAGAGAGGAAGTAAAAGCTTATCCCACGGGAACTCGAAGGGAGTTTTACAGGACCGCCGGGAGTCGTTAAAGGCAGCGCTGGACCGCCCGGCACCGTCAGACAGTCCCGGCGCGGGAGCGAAGGGCAGAGACACGAGCAGGACAGGCGCCACCGTTACTCCTATGTGAGCGTGCTCGTGGGAAACGAAGGCCAAAAGGAAACATTCCTGCTCTTCCTGACTGGCTCAAGGTGACGTCAATGTCATTTCAGAAACATCGTTCTGCCGTGTAAACGACCGTGCCCGTGTCCGCAGCGCTGGAGGAGCCGCATGAGGACAGGCCAAACGCAGGGCGCCAGGCCACTCGAGGGCGACCCCCGGCCGCGGGCCCAGCAGCACGACCCACTGGAGCCACCGTCTGACCCACGGACGATCTGACCCACGGACGGGCAAGCGAGAGGGGCCCGGTCCGACGGCCCGTCCTCTCGGACGCACAGAGGCTGCTGTGACGTGAGGACGATGAAGACGGCCGAGGGCTGCTGGTTCCAGAGAAGGAAAGCTCTGGAACAGCTGCCCACTCCGGAGCGAGGGTGGACACCACCTCCCGCCCGCAAACGCAGCTGCGGCGGGACGACGGGACAGCATGGACAGCACCGCAGGGGCAGAGGCCTCGGGGCCCTGCCCGGGCGGGCGGCACAGGCTGAGCAACCGCCGCACCCGGAGAAGTCGCGGACCCGCTCTGGGCAGCCACCCGCTCAGGGACCTGCGGCTCGGGCCCTCTTCCTTTCCCAGTCACTCCTTCCCCCCAGGGAGGAAGGCCGCCGTTCCCCCGACGGAATCATCCAGAAACCCTGGAATCCTGAGGTCTCCCCGCAGGGACTACCGGTCCGCAGGCTCCTTCAGATGCGGCTCAAGGTCACCTCACCCCGGGACGCAGCCGCGGGCGCCCGCTCGTCCGGGGAACGCCTGCTCCAGGGTTCTCCCCTCCCGAGAGGAGAGGAGGGGGGTGTCTCTGGGCCGGCCCTGGCCGGGCTCCGCAGGCTCCGAGGAGCAGATGCGCCCCAGAGGAGGGAAACCCCACCGTCCAACCCACAGGGTCCACCCTCTCTACAGCATTTGTTACCAGAAGAAATTTCAAGTTTCAAAGAGGAAATCATGAAGCTGTACAAACAAACACAAAAGACCCGGACGGGAGGGAGAAGATTCCGTGTGCGCGGTCGCCAACATCTTCCACAGACGCAGCGAACGCTGCTGCCCTCCCCGGGAAACTGGGCCGTGCATCCCCGGGAGGCCGGGCGAGGCCCTGACTCCGCTGCCGTTAGCGGGGACCAGACCTGGAACGTCAGACCTACAACCTCAGCTTCGATCGCACCGTCACCAAGCAGCATGACCTCCATCAAGTAAAACTAGACTCTGTGAAGAAGAAAAAGCTTAATCTCCAATGTTGAGACAGAGAAACAGAAAGGGAGGGAGAGAAACAGACAGAGAGAGTGACAGAGACACAGAAAGACAGAGAGAGAGAGAGGGATGCCCCGGGCTCCCACAGGTCGGTGCTGCCATCCCAGCCTGGGCCGAGGGGCCGCCGCCCCCAGGGCCCTCCAGCACGCTGCGCTGGGAATGGAGGAACCGGCCGCCCTCCCTGGTGGCCGGCTGCCTCTACCGAGCCCTTCCCCTGGGCCCCGGGAGTGGCTGTCCCTGCTGCAAACCCTCTGTAGCCTCGTCCTTCACTGCCGTGCTCCAAAGCCATCCTGCCCTCCCGATGGATGGAGGCGCACGCCTGCGGACCGCACAGCCCAGGCGCTCAGCAGGCAGATGTCTCTGCCAGCGCGGTGACGAGCCTGTTACAAACACGGGCAGAAGACGGGTTCTCCCAGGAGAAAGAGGAGTTGGGATTCTGTGACTTGCCCTGCCTCGCTTTATTAAATAACCAAAGAAAAAAGCCGAGAGAAGTGGGGCCGTAGGGCCCCATGCCACCAAGTTCAAGGCAACCTCCCTGGACGTACCAGTGAAACCAAACTGAAGAGCGTCACCATTCCTTACTCACAATGCCCCGTCCCAAAAAACGGCACCGTTGCTGAAATCGGTAAAAGACTCTCCGCGGGAGCGGAGGACACCGCCCCCTCTCCGGCTGCCGGGGACCCTGAGGCTGAGTCCGCACCCTCCCTCCGTGCAGTGGACCCTGCATTTGCTGCAGCAGCACCACTGAGCAGGAGCCCAGGCCGCTGCGGGGCTCCCGTGCAGGCCCTGGAGCTCAGCCCCCGGAGCTCAGCCCCCAGAGGCACCACAAGAGGGGCACGGGCCTGCGCTGCCCCAGCCGGGGAGGGTGAACACACGCCTGGGGGCCAGCACAGTGATGCACTTCCGTCAGCATGCACCGCCGCCCCGCTCCCAGGCCCAGGGGGGCCGCTGACCCCGCAGCCAGCCCTGCCACCCGGCGTCGACCAGAAGAACCGTCACAGCACTGACACCCACAGTCAGCAAGGGAAGGGAACCCTAACTACACGTAGAAACCTAACCCCACTTCAAGATAAAAAAGCATTAAAAAAAAAATCAACAAACGACCTCCCAACATACACAGCAGCATCCCCAAAGAAAGAGAAGAACACACCAGGGCCACACGGGTGGCAGTCGGCACTGCCACGGCGTGCCCAGGGCAAAGCTAGTTCTGCGTGTGAGACAACGGCCACGTGCGAGGCCAGTTTTAGCCAAGACTCTGCTTTGCGAGCTCCAAAAACTAAAGAGTCGACAGCAGGAAATGATCGATGACATCGTAAAAAAGACTGAAATGCAGAGAAGGCACCAAAAGACAGGAGCAAGCCTGGTTTCCAGGGCCGCCGTGGTCTAAGCGGCGTGGGAAAGGGCCCGGAGCAGAACCGGGACCGCGCCGCAGGCTCCAGAGTGAGCGCACAGTGGGGGCGCAGGAGACGGGGGAACAAATCCGACGGCGGGGAACCAGCGTCCCGGAGGCAAACAGGAGCCCCCTAAATCAGAGCGACCTTCCCGCCGCCCTCAGGAACCCCCGTGTCTGCACCGCGGTGGGCTGCTCGGGGAGACTGGGCTCAGGCACGCCCAGCCCTGGAAGCCGGAGCCAGTCTGGTCTTGAGGGAACATGGATGCGTGGCTCTCCCTCCTGCCGCCAACGACGTGTACACGCACCGCTGCTCCCGAGACCCGGACAGCAGCGTGGCAGGTACCGCCCCCCCACCCCCACCCCGGTGTCTGCCCCTGGTGCCCCTGGAAGAATGCTCCCTTTATCCTCAACCGTCACCCCCAGCCCAGGGGCTGCTCCCAGCAGCCGCAAACATGCCCGGCCGGCCCGTCCACCCCTCAACACCACGCGGCGGAGCGCTCGGTCCCGGGACTCTCTAACCCGGAGCCCTGACATCGGGGTGACGTCAGCGAGAAGGCGCCCGGCCAGACCCGGAGACGATGGAGAACTGGGCATCGGCTGGGACAGAGGACGCTCTGCCCGGACGCCAGCAGAGACCCTGGTGACGTCAGAGACTCCTTTCTGCACACGACCGAGACTACAGGAATGGCTCCGGAGGCACGGCCACACGGAAGCACGTCGGTCACAGCTCAAGACAAAGAGTGTGTGACGACCTCTTGTACGTGGTTTCGTCAGACGCAATTTGGACTGATTATTTTCAGTATTTCATCCATCTGTAAGATCTGTATCTGCATACAGGACATATAAAATACGTCTCACGCGTCATTAATTCCACTTGAGCAGCAGTAAACACACACAGTGTATGCTGAGTGCTTCCGGTGCCTGCCCCCAGGGGCTTTCCAGTCTGCTAAGTCTCCAGAGTCAGCGCTAAGTATTCTCCTGGACACGACAACAGTTCGCTTAGTACGTCTAAACAGCCCTGGCTGGCGTAGCTCAGTGGATTGAGCGCGGGCTGCGAACCAAAGCATCGTAGGTTCGATTCCCAGCCAGGGCACAGGCCTGGGTTGCAGGCCACGGCCCCCAGCAACTGCACATTGATGTTTCTCTCTCTCTCTCTCTCTTTCTCCCTCCCTTCCCTCTCTAAAAATAAATAAATAAAATCTAAAAAAAATATATATGTCTAAACAGGCTAGAAACTCATGTCTCTGGCACCCAAGGGGTTTGTTCCCGCACAGAGAAGGCGCCTGGACTCAAAGGCAGGGTCAGCCAGTCACACATGTGACCGAGCCACGGAGCATGGGCCGTGGGGAAGGCAGCAGCTGCTTCGTGGCCCTGGCGACAGCTGCCATGTGGGCAGGCAGCATGGCGTCGCCCCAACCACGGCTTTCCGCGAGCCCGGGGCCCCGTCTTGACGCGCAGTCTCACGGTTTCTGCGTGCTGGCCACTGACCCAGAAAACCCCTCCCTGGGGTCCGCCCTGAGGCTCCGCGCTGCAACCGCCACGCCCGCCGACTTGGTCCCACAGGAGTGAGTGCCACGCGGGGAGGGCCGCCGCCATCGGCCTCCCGGCCCTTGAGCACGCCCCAGCCCCGAGAAGCTGCGCACGACCGGACTGACTTCCCGCCCGGTGACAGCACAGGCCACGCTCACGGTACTCACCCTGCTGACTTCCTTAGGCGCCGTCTCGTCTGGGGGAGGGGAAGGAAGGGAAAACACGGTTAGAAACTCGGAGCAGTCGGAACACACAGCACAGCATCCGCGCGCAACACAGCACAGGCTCCTCTGCAGAGCTTCTGCTTAAGCAATCTAGAGTTTCGTCTTTTAATCCTGCAACAGCAAGTTCGGGGCTACGTGCGCACGCTAACTCCAGAGGGACGTGACACAGCCCAGCTTGCTGGTCACTTCCAGAGTCTCTGTAAAACCGCCGGGCCTGCGAACGCTGCCACGCCGCGGCTTACGCACACGCAGACGGAGGGAGGTCTGCGACACCTGCAGTGTGCTGATTACACAGCCTGCATGCACGTCCCAATGCCCACGGACACCCGTGCCGCCAGGGTGATGCCAGCGCCTCCTGCTGAAACACGGCACGTGCCCGTGCGGCACCCCGGTAGGAACACTGCCCCTCTGGACCACGGGCCTGGCCGGGGGCGGGCGTCCGCACCAGCTCGTCAGCACCAGTGCCTGGCGCAGTGCGACCCGTGGGTCACGGTGGGCCAGGGGAGGCCCGCTGAAGGGCCCTCCCCGTGGGGCTGGCCGCGTGGCAAGAGCATCCCTGTGTGGCCAACAGGGTGCAGGGTGCAGGAAACCGGCCACGACTCCACCTGCGGCCCAGCAGTTCCGGCTGTCCCACGCCCAGGTCACTGGTCCCGACCCAGGGAAAGTGTGTCTGTGCGGCCTCTCCAGACGCCTCCGGAGGGGGGGGGGAGCCTTCCCCCCGCCTGCTGCTGCCGCCGGCGCCTCGTGCAGCGATCCGACCTCGTCCGAGGCCGGCACAGGCGCACATGCTCACGCCCAACTCCTGGCCCACCGCATTGCTCCCAAGCACAGCCGGCCGGTCTGCACACCGATAAAACACGCCCTTTGAGCTCAAACGGGGGGTGTGGTTCTTCTCTCTCTTTTAACAGCCTCGCCCACTCACCACCGGGTCTGCTGGTCCCTGTGTTCTCTAACCCCTCTCCGGCTGGCTGCTCGCCCACCGCGTCCACACCACGTCGGCTCCCAAACCACACACCAACCACGAGCCCCCGAGCTCATCCCCGAACCCAGGATCTGCCCGGACAGTCATGCCCCCACACACACAACACACATACTCACACACTAACACATGCACTCACACAACACACACACACACCACGCATAAGCATGCTCACACACAAGCGTGTGCGCACACCCTCTCCCACCCAGCTGGTCCTTCAAAGTGCCCCGCCCATGACGCCGCTCAGCTGCTGCAGACGCTCGGTACACCGTGCGCCCACGCGGGCTCCGCCCGGACGCCCTCGGAGCCCCCTGCCACTCACCACGCTGGGACGGGGGTCCGGCAGTGAGTGCCCAGTGAGAAGCACCTCTAGCGTGTCATCTTCTGATACACACAGCGGCGTACACACTTTTCTTACAGCTCTACAGTGATCTGGCGGTGCCGCCGACATGCCTGGGAATAAGCATGGTATCGGAGAAACGCTCCCCTCCCACCTTACTGAAGGCCCGTCACAGAGACGCTGCACTCGCTCTTCAACCCCCAGGCCCTCGCCCCCCTCTCCTAGGCCTCTCTGACGAGGAAACTGTTTGTCTTCATCACCGCCACAGACTCATGAACAACAGACTCTGAAGTTAAAGAGGCCTGTATGCTTTCGATCCCTTTCAAGTTCTCAGCTAAGACATTCGGTGAGATGGCGGAGAACCCAGGTGTGAGCGGCAGCAGGGGCGGGAGCGGCAGCAGGGGCGTGGCCGGGAGCAGTCCCCCACCAGGGCCGGGGCAGCCACTCCGTGTGAGTGCCAGCTCAGGGCGGAAGCGTGTGCCGTCCAGACGTCTGTGTGAGTGTCCCTTTGGCTCTGCTGACGTGCATTTAGAAAAAACTTTTTTGCCTAATGGACAGTTGAACGTACTGGAAAGAATATTTTAGCTGAATTCCAGATTCCTCGCCATCTGCCGTGATTTAGAAATGCATCCTGTCTCTCTTCCTCCTCCTCAGACGTCAGACAATTTTCGTGCAATGATCGTCAAGTCCCCTGCATGTGCAGAACTGCTGTTGCAGCTGAGAACGTTAACGACCACGCCGAAAAGTCCGCCGGGAGGGCCCCCTGCCTCCCGCTCCCTGCGTGGGGAGCTCTCGCTCGGCTGACGGCTCCCACCCCAGGGACACTGGAACAGGTCAAAGACTCATTCCCTCCCGTTCCAAGGGGGGCTGCGCGGCCAGGAGCCTTGGGGGCTGAGACCAGGAACTGCGTTTGCAGCCCAGAGCGGCAGACACTGGGGGCTGAGGCGGCTCCTCCCACCACCCCATAAGTCTGCAGTGAAACAACATCCAGACAATGCAATTTGGCACTCAAAACTTTTTTCCACGAAGACACTTTCAAAGGAACCGAGAAGAAACAGGCTCCGGTCTCCACACGCACTGCCTGACTCTTTGCAGGTCACCCCGGGCGGGGCGGGGGGGCGGAGAAGACCCCTGACCCCGGGTGTCTGTCCGCTCCCAACACGCACCCGGGACTGGCCTGCTGGCGCTGCCGCATGGCTCAGCAGGGACGCTCGCTGTAAAGGAAAGGCCAGGGGACGACAGGAAGGAAGGGGATCACCATGGACACCGGATTCTGAATCATTCATGAACAATTAATCCGCCACAAAAATGCTCACACAGCAGACACTAATTTTTATGCAGCCTCAGGGTTCCGCGAACATGCGCTTATTCAGCAAACACCTACTACACACCCACCGTGCGCCAGACACTGACCTGCTTTCTAGGGGCTCACACTCCAGTGAGGGGGATAAAAAAACAGAAAAATTGATTTTGGAAGTAGACTATCTATGCTTACTAAAGAGAAATGTATGTTAAAAAGAAGAACCCATCTTAAATCTAAAAATCACTTTAATATTTTTTAAAGCTTTAGGAAGGATAATAGCTCATGCAAAAAAAAAAAAAAGAGAGAGAAAAAAAAACCCTGGTGAACTTCCTAGTAAGTACACCCTTCATGGCAAGTACTTATTTTGGAATATTTTATAAATCTTTATAACAATACATATATTTGTACTTTCCCTTGTGTGATCACTCTCGATATTCCTTTTCTATGCAGTGGGATTTTAGGAATGAATCCAAATGTATAACTAGAACTTAAAGGAATTTATATTATGATGGTTGATTTAGAGTTCAATGGCTGTTTATAATATTCTTCAGCGCTCTGAATTAAGATCCCGGAAACAAGAGGAAATTCCACTGAAACTCACAAACTTCAGAATTAAAAGGAATTATTATATTTCCTTATAATTTGATCCATAAAGACTACACACAAAAGTAAACACTATTAAATGACAAAATATGAAGAGAAAAATTAGAGTAAACAAAATAAATTCCTCAGTTCCAGGAGATCTGAAGAAGACCCATTTAAAATCAAGCATTATCAGTCTGCCCTCTTAACGCAGTAGGCAGCGCATCAGTCTCATGAAGTCGAGCATCAAAGAGCTGAAAAGGATTTTGATTGATCCTCGTAATCCTTAAGTATTTTTATTCTTAGTTGATGTTTAAACATTTCCTACTAAAACAGAAAGATTTAAGTAGGCTTGCAATTTAAAAAAATATAAATACAACACGATCCAAAAACGCAGCTGCTAAAAATGATGATGACTGTTTATTTTTATAATTTCACATAATTTGGTTAAGTTAAAATCAAGGGAAAAGCACAACTATATATGAGCCTATGTTGCCTAAAACATATGTATTAGCCTACATATGTATATAAATATAGAGACACAAATTGGTTTATATTATAAATTTTTTTCTACAGTATATCATGTCATCTCACAAGCCTGAAATTTAAAAATGTGCCCACATATGCTTCATATATGTGTAAATATGTGTTAATAGTATCTCTGGGTGGTGAGATTATGGGACCTCCTCTTTCTTCCACTCACATTTCTGAATTTTCACAATCACAATGAACTGCAGTGAACTTCAGCAGGAACGCTGGGTCCTTCCCCACCTCTCCCAGCCCCCGGCGCACACCCGCACCAGTGGGGAGGACACAGGAGCCGTCAGTGGGAGCGCGGTCGGGACTGGGACCCCGGGGCTCCCAGAGGCAGCCCCCTCACCGCTCCCACCTATCCGTGCCTGCCTGGGTGCTCCTGGTCTGCAGGCTAAGGCCCCCACCCCTGGGTGGGCAAACCCTGCACTGAGGGGGACCCCGCATGTCCCATGTTCCCTGAGGCGAATCACTGCCACACTCGAACAAGAAAACACATCACTTCGGTGCAACAGAGAAGAAACAGCATAAGCAAAAACAACTAACAGAGAATATGCAAAGTCAAGTAACAGAAAAAAAAAACGGAGGAAACTGTAATTGAAAATCCAAGACATGAAAATCCAGGATGACACATCTCAGTAACCAAAGTAAAACAGGAAACTATGGGTGATGGGGTTTTTACTGCTTAATATATACAGTAGATGAACTAGAGCATTATGGGAGATCTCCTTTTCCTCAGCCATGAGTTCTGTAGAGATTAACACTATGCTTGCCATCTGCTTCACACATACGAAGATATTTCAAAGTTGGTCTTTGTTACACTGTTGTTAAGAAAACACTGAGATCTGGTATTAAAAATACTGCAGGTAAAGTTCTACGATGGCCAAAGGAATCCTGAGAAAAAAGAATGGAGCTGGAGGTATCACACTACCTGACTTTCAATTATACTACAGAGCTGTGATTATTAAAACAGCATGGTATTGGCAGAAAGCAGACAGTCCGATGAAACAGAACTGAAAGCACAGTAAAAAAAACAAACACGTATATAGGCAAATAATTTTTGACAAAGGAAGCAAGGACACCTGAGGGATAAAAGAAAGCCACTTCAATAAATGGTGCTGGGACATTGGAAAACCATGTGCGAAAGAACAGAACGAGGTCACAGTGTGTCCCTATGTCCAAAAATTAATTCAAAATGCATCCCAGACCTACGTAGAAGACCTGAATCGGTACACTA